AGGTGCGGTCAAGGAAATCCGTGGCTAGTAGACAAGGGTGCGTTCAGGGTATGCTACCCCTTTTGGTTTAACGTCCTTCCCGTCCTCCTTTTGTATGTACTATGTAGTCCAACCATTCCCAATTCCCCAATTCCTTGCCTCTCCTGTTTTGGCGGTCAGTGCCTGTCAGGTTTATTAGCATGATTCTTGCATCATCGCCAACCGCCCTGGCCGAGCTTGCACCGAAATCTTATCCTATCATACCGAATTCAGGAACCCTTTGCCCCCCCATCTTCGTATGCGAGGTTTTTCATGGCCGTGTGACTATGCATCGTCTCTTCAATAAATGTGGTAATCATGTCAAAGACGAGACGATATTTCAAGTGCCGATACCGCCGCTGTTACGCATGGGAGTTTTTCCAAGCTCGACCGCAACATCGTGACCCCCATTGAGAAGGGAGGAGTTGGAGTGACAAGGGACCATAGAAGCTCCCAAGCTTCCCAAGCTTTCCCAAACCAAAATAACTCCCCGCGACGGGGACGGGTCCCGGGGAAGCATAGCCAGAAACTCTAAGGAAAACCCATACGGGTATTATTATTATTATTGTTATTGTTATTTATTTAGGAGACTTGTCTCATTGCGAATTCTACAATACATACCTACGTATACATATACAAATCCCCTAAACCCCTTAGTGACGCAGTTACAGGTTACAGATTATTGCAAATAACCCTTAACCCTTAACCCCCGGGACAGGGCTGGCACGAACCATGATGAGTACGTGTTATCGTATGTACATGCGTGTATACGTGGGATAGTAAAATGTATGCATGTATGAAGGTAATGTGTGGATGTAATGTAGGTACGCTATGCCGCCGGCAATGATTCCCCCACCGCCACACCCAACGATCATTATATAAAGTTGCTGGATGGCGCGCTTGCGGGCGAGGCGCGCATCTACTGCTTCCGAAATTATGTAGACACTGATTATTCATAGAACAGGATCCAGATGCCAGCTTCCCCCGGTCCTATCATGCGAAGACCGCCTATGAGATGCTCGTGCCGCAGCGACTCAGACCAAAGTCTTCATACATCACACATCACACATCATACATCATACATTACCATAAACCATAACACATTACACATAACACATAACAGCATAGTTAGTAACTAATCCAATATTACGGACAACAGGATCTTTGAAGTATTGACGATTGCACGCACGCATGGTTCTGCCCCCCCCCCCCCAACGTGGACGGTTACACCAGTTGCGACAACAGGGCAAGCATCAGCTGGTTTCGCCCTAGGGTCTGATGGTCGTGTCCGGGGATGGCCTGTCTCGAGTCCTAAAGAAAAGCATCCGGGCTTCCGATAAAGGCAATCCGCAGGGGAGCAACTGATGAAGATCTTATGAGCTGCGATCCTGATAGGCTTCTATCAGCCGAGTTTCCAAACTAGACAAGGTTTACCTGAAATACCGTGCATTAAGAAAAGTTATGCATTCGGCATGGAAAAAGATCAACGCCTAGGATGGCGGCCTTGACGCATTTTCATCTACACGCAGAAGAATCACTCACGATGCTTGCATCCACGTAACACGGCTTCTCTAAAGACTTATATAACTTTAACTTGGATCACTTGGAACCAGTATTATTCCATCATCCAGGGTTGGCAATACGATACCATCATGTATTAGTTAAGTCGCTTATTTCAGCATTCGAATTACTCATCAAATTATATACATTTATGACTTAGACGAGCTGTGCCTTAGAGGATTCTCGGCTCTGGCTCCGGCTCTGGCTCTGGCTCTGGCTCCGGCTCTGGCTATGGCTATGGTTTTCCATACTTGTTTATTTCGAGATGGTCTAGCGCTCAAAGTCTTTCTTCCCCCGCAGCCCGTTGGGTAGGGCACGCGAAGCATTGGCTCTCGTTGGCACGCAGTGCAATCAGAAGCTATCTATAAATGAGCAAAAAGAGGTCAATCTCATGTGGGAGGAGTAAATCCCGAATTCTCCGGGATCTGTTCGAGTCATGTTACTCGTCACTGCTGCAAATAGGAGGAAAGGTAGTGCGGGCAGATCAGAGTCAATATTCTGCATCTAGACCTGCCTAGACTCGGTGATGCACGCTGGCTGCCCGTACGCCTACCATTCAATATGACGAGTGGTGAAGACATTCCGCATCCCGTACTTGATATTACAAAACTCGGTTTTAACGGTGCGTAATCACGAGATGATCGTCTACTATGTATCAACTAGAAGCTGTGAGAAACCCCGCCAGGAGAAGCAAGCCATCACGATCGTCCCGAACATGGCTAGTTCATAACGCAGGCAACATACACCCGTCGGAATCTATCTGACGAAGCACTTGTTAGTTAGATAGCTTGACGATAGCTTCCGCTAACCCCGGCGGAGGAATTCGGTAAATACTGCGTGTAGATTCTGAGCCTCGATACACCGTCTAGACGGTAAATGCCGTTTAGTATACGTCGACGTTCTGTATATTTTGTAGGATAGCTTGATAACGTAGTAAAAAGTTAAACATGTCAAACGCCTGCCTTTTCCCCCATCTAAATATGCGTATTTTGAAGTATCTATCACTAGTTTCAGCTATGTTATTCCAGCGCCTCTATTGTTATGTCGAGTCGAGCGTCACGATTTCCGTATAAACCCAATTACATCCAACGAAGACAACTCGTCCACAGCTTGAATATAGAACGAGGCATAATAAATACAGTGATGAGATATTTGCGTATCGAATTAAGGATGACGTGAAAGAAATATTACTAGTCAAATAATAGCTAGAAAACAGTTTTTGTAGATCAAAATACGACTTATATGATCACGACAATAGTATATGTCCTAAAGAGGTGTTTTGGCTGACGCCCTATCAATACTTCATTTTGCATGAATATTTACAACCCGAGAGATTCTACCAAGGCAGGGCAAAGGATCTACATACACACGAAAATGCTAGCTAGATAGGAAAGAAGCGCGATATCCAGATCCTTGTTTTCGACAGCCATAATAGCGTCGCCTATTCGACCCCAAATCTCGGCATCAGCCAGTATGACCTGCAGGTTCTGCGCTACCACGTAGCATTATGGTAGACAGTACTACACATGTAGAGTGAGGCGTCTTGACCAGCCTAATCGCTAACCGAAATCGCCAAGCTAGACATGCCTTAAGGTAGGTATATTGGATTATTCTCGACAGAGGAGCGCTTAGTCCGTCCTAGTGCCGGCGCTTCTAACGTAGTATAGGTCGGGATAGTATCTAATTTCTACCTACCTACTGCGCCGGCTTACGTACCAGATGAAATATCGAGGAAGTTATTGGGCGGGTGGTACTTCTTTACCGCCATCGAATAGCTCAATTTGCCTTGCGAGGATTTTGGAGGCTGGACTACGGCTGGACTATTCGCCATTACACCGAGCCTACAGTAGGACGGTTGTAAGCTCGGTGAAGGCTAGGAGAATTCAGACGTCGTGGTGGGTCTCTTCTCCTGCTTGGATTCTTTGCGGCGGATGTACCTACATGGAACATCCTCGTTGCGAAATACGGACTGCTGTTTCTAAGACGTTACCCTCTTTCTAGGTACGTATTGGCCTGTAGTTACAGGAGTTACAGTAGTTACAATGCGTGTACAGTATTCGAGATAGACAATAGAGCAAACGTATGGTGATAGAATCATCCGGTTATATTGTGTCTTTTGTGTGTTATAATATCTATGCAAGGAGGTATCGAAATATATTTTGCATTTAGCATCAGAGGGAGCGCTATCCGAGTTAAGAAAGGCGTCCCGGCATAAGCACGTCCGCGCTACTTGCAAGTTCAGGGGTTTCCTCTTATAAACCTATACGGGAAATTTCATTGTAAAGAAATACAACAGTAAGGGGTCTAAGCCAGGCTCGAGAGCTGCACCATCAAAGTATTCCAAGTGATGCTCCTGATGGTTGTGACAGTCCTCGTCGACGACCCCTATCTCTATCCAAGCAACTGTCGTAGCGTAGGTCTTCATCCGCTCATAAAGTTCCCCCCCCCCCCCACACGAAGCCATATGGATATGGAGTCATGTCCATTCCCCAGAAGCTGGCAATAGTCCCCAGTGCTCCATATACCCGCCGTGAGCTTGTCTTTTGGAGAAAGCGGGATCTAAAGACAGAGCCTCAACTCGTATCCACTGCCCAGAGCTTATCATCAGCAGAACCTCATTTCTTGCCGCGTCGATTCTTGCCGTTTTGGCCTTTTGTTACGACAATAACAACGCCCTTTCTAATTCCACGTCCTCGATAATTCCTTCGCCCTCCTTTCGAAACGCGTATACGACCACGATATTATTTCCTTCTCCCACGATGACCTCTGATAATTACTTCAATTTGTCGATACAAACCTCCCAAGACGGCATGCTAAAGCTTTTGTCATCTCCTGTAAACGCCAAAAAGCAGCAATACCATAAGAATGCAAATTCTCTTCCAGTTAAATAAGTCTCTCTATAGAGAATATAGAGAATAAACATGGGTTTCTTCTATAACGACTTACGAAGACACAAGCTTCGACAATTGTCCCCGAACCGACCGCGAGCTAGAACGAGAACAACACCTACTTCCTCGCATCAATTCAAGCCCGAAGTGCCCTAGGTTATAATAAAGATTGATTTGCATACATCCCGTGCTAAAAAGCAAAAGCCTTACTTACATTGTAGATCCTAGTCGTATTGATTGGACGAAGGAGTGCTTTCCAGGAAAACAAAAGAAAAGATATAGGGATACTTGATAGGCCTAGGGGCGTACACGTAGAGCAAAGTCAAGCATCGGAGTATACGTCTACGTTTACTATTTGGCTACTATACAAGGAAAGACAGTCTCGAATACTTCTATAGAATTCTATAGAAGGGGAATCGGACTGACATCCTGCCCCATCAGTCCAGCCCAACCCACTCTGCCCAATTTACTTCATCGGGTATATAATAGAATACTAAACATGCCAGGGAAAAGCTCAAGCAAACCTACGATATTACCCTTGTGACGAGTCATATATTTAATCAACAGGACCAAGACACGATAGAGACGGGAGGTTTGCTACCAGCTCAACACTACCTACCTATCAAACACCGTCTAAGCCTAACAATCAGACAAAAGTTTTGTCTAATACCGCACAGTTACAAGCAAACATTGGTCTATTTTGTAGCTTCCTACTATGACAGTACCGTGCCCTTTTAACAACGACTATTTTCCTATCTTGTACCTAAGCCAACTTCTTCAGGACGCGTCTCGACTTCACTGACTGATCGTATAATACAATTATCTTGTCAACTTGCATATTTGAAATAGTAATCGTTATATACAGTAATCCACGATAGATGCGTCAAGCCACAGCTCTGGTGGGTCAGAACATTGACTTATGTAAGTAAGGAAATTACCTAATATAAGATGCCCATATGTTTATAGGTACTATGTACTGATAGCTTATCGGATTAACCTCGACAATATCGGATTAACCCAAAAATTCAATCCCGTCCCAGTCAAAGATCACATTAATAGGTACATATCGCATACCTACTGGGATATCCCACCTATACGGCATTCCCAAGGTACGAGGTAGCGAATTCATGGCGACAACTACCTCCGTCCGACCTGCAATTGGCCGGATAATAAGCGCTGCTGGGAGCCAGCATGTCGCTAACCCGTCCTTTCTGAGCGTCCTCTTGATAAGAGCTGCGACTCAAAGTTGCCCGTTCTCCTCGACCTCAGACCGAAGTATGCGCCGGGCGCGCCGCGACAACAATAAACAGCGTGGGCTGAGCAGCATATATCGGTCCGGTCCGCGGTTTCGGATGAACGTCGACAAGAATCAGATACCGAAACCGGTAGATTTCAAGCCGGACGTTAAGGTCGACCCGAACCACGGGCTGTGGGGATTTTTCTACTCCAAGGAGAAGCTCCTGCTCACGCCCGACGAGGATTCCGAGCACGGGCGCGGGTGGACCGTCGAGGAGCTGCGGCATAAAAGCTGGGAGGATCTGCATAAGCTCTGGTGGGTTTGCGTCAAGGAACAAAATCGCATTGCTACGGCGCGGAAGGAGAAGGCCCGGCTAAAGCTTAAGAACGGAGTGGAAACCATGGAGGATAGGCTATCAGAGGTAAGAACCTAGGTCTAGGATCGATGGCCCTTACTGGCCGCTAACCTATATGTGCAATACATAGGTCCGCAAGACGATGAAGTCGATCAAGCACGCGCTGACAGAACGATACTACGTATGGGAGGACGCAAGGAAGCTAGCTGGGACGGACCCGGAAATCGATCTTGCCAACACAAGCCGCCCTTATAACCCGAGCTCGTATTTTGACGAAGACGTGAAGGAGACGGAACCAGCAGAGGAGCAAAAGGAGGCGCAACAGGAAGCATCCTCGGAACAACAGGAGGAATCAGGAAAGTCGACGGCTGAAAATGTTGACCCGTCTACGCTCCCGCCTAGTGCTACAGAGCCTCAGCAGCCGTCGACGAGAGCATGAGCTTACGAGTATATGTGTTGATACAGAGTATACGCTCCGAGGATGGAGCATGTAAATATGTTGCATCAAGTCAAGGGGTCTCAAAGATACCTACCTGTCTTAGTGCCCAAGCTTGAGTACATAACTCGTAACTCATATCGGATGACTTGACATAATTGCTGAGCGTACAATACATACAAAAGGTTGGTAAATTAATGCAGCGCCGGCGGTAATTATACATAGGTAGTAGCAAATATAGGCAATCAATAGTGCGCAATACCCTGTAGTAGACAATAAAAGATACTGAAGATAAAGGGGGGATAAGGAAAGTTAGAAAAAAAAAGGGGGGGTTGCTTTAGGTACAATACTAAGCCAAGCGCGGGGTCGGTGTTAACCAGGCTAACCAGAGCTGATTGGCTGTAGCTCCCTTTAGAGGGGTTCAGTGGTCCAACAATCTTAGGTACCTAAGGTTAGTGGTCCTGGTTCAGTGGTTCAGTGGTCCAGCGGTCCAGCGGTCCAGTGGTTCAGTTCCATTGATTCTCGAGCTTCAGAACCATAAACGAACCAGCAAAGCTACTCTGTTGTATCCACCACAACAACCTTCCTCTCACCGATACTTTTTTTTTTCTTCCTTCTCCTAAACATCCTTCCTCGTTTGGCCTGGAGTCAATAACATATCTCTCTATAATCTACTTTAACGATCTAAGACTCGGACTCTTACTTAATACCACATAGATATACCGCACCACGGAAACACCATGGACGAGATCGCAAAGGAGTACGATGTCATCGTTTTGGGCACCGGTAAGTTCCCTTTGGGCCCCGCATTCCCTACTTTATACCTTAGATCTGCTTGGACTTCGTTTGTCTGCTACAGCCTTGGTGGGGTTTGGCTTGGTGATGTTGAGATGTTGAGATGTTGAGATGTCGAGATGTTGAGATATCAAGATGTTGAGGTAGCTAACATCCATCCTCTCGCGCAGGTTTAACCGAGTGTATTCTCTCTGGGTATGGATTACATCATAGCAGCTCGCTGACGCAACCTGCCGGACTGGACTGAGCTAACAACTCCAAGTGTGCTGAGTGTCAAGGGCAAGAAGGTTCTACACATCGATCGCAATGATCACTACGGAGGGTGAGTAACAACAACTAACAACCAACAATAACATATCCTCTTATAAGCAGTCGACGTTCCGCTAACAAGTATATCCATACAGAGAGGCTGCATCCGTAAACCTCGAGACGGTACCTATTCCCACTTCCCTACTCATCAGTTTCCTACTCATCAGTTTCGCCGATGATCTCGATGAACTAACTATGTCCTTTTCCCGCAATAGCTATTCAAGAAGTATGGCAACTTCACGAAGGGCGAGGAGCCATGGAAGAAGTACGGTCGACCTAACGACTGGAACATCGACCTAGTTCCTAAGCTCCTCATGTCGTCCGGCGAGCTGACCAACATCCTCGTCTCTACCGACGTTACCCGCTACCTCGAGTTTAAGCAGGTCGCAGGCAGCTTCGTACAGCAAGGCGATGGAGCAAAGGCCACCATTGCCAAGGTTCCCTCAGATGCCGCCGAGGCCCTGCGCTCTCCCCTGATGGGTATCTTCGAGAAGCGACGGATGAAGAGCTTCATAGAATGGGTCGGCACCTTCGACCAGAATGATCCTGCCACGCATAAGGGTGAGTAGTAGAAACGACTTACAAGGTGATAGATGATGGATGAGATGGCTGACGGTATATTTCTGGCTAGGTCTTGACATAAGCAAGTGCACGATGAAGGAGGTTTACGACAAGTTCGGCCTTGAGACCTCTACTCGCGACTTCGTCGGCCACGCCATGGCCCTTTACCTTAACGACGAGTACAGTGATGAAGCCGGCAAGGCCCCCGAGGCTATCGAGCGTATTAGGATGTACGGTAACTCGGTAGCAAGGTATGGCAAGTCGCCTTACATCTATCCCCTGTATGGTCTTGGCGAGTTGCCCCAGGGCTTCGCGCGGTTATCTGCTATCTACGGTGGTACATACATGCTCAACACTTCGGTCAACGAAGTCGTGTATGAGGGTGGCAGGGCGACGGGTATCAAGGCTACCATGACCGGCATCGAGCCCGAGATGAAGTTCGAGACCAAGGCCAAGCTAATTCTCGGTGACCCTTCGTACTTCCCCGAGAAGGTCAAGGTTGTCGGCCACGTGCTGAAGGCTATCTGCGTCTTGAAGCACCCCTTGGCTGGTACCAACGACTGCGACTCCTGCCAGTTGATTATCCCCCAGTCCCAGGTTGGCCGTAAGAATGGTAAGTCTACACGCTGTAAGAATAAAACATACGGGCTGATAGCTAACAAATTTAGATATCTACATTGCCTGCGTCTCGTCGGCACATAACGTGTGCCCTAAGGGTTACTACATCGCCATCGTTTCCACGATTGCCGAGACCTCTTCCAACCACCACCTCGAGCTGCAACCCGGTCTTGAGCGCCTCGGCCAGATTGAGGAGCAATTTTTGGTAAGTCGAACATTGATGCCCCCACCCCTGCCGGTCACGTATGTTTATGCTCACCATTCATCCAGGGCCCCCCTATCCCGCTCTACGAGCCTCTCGAGGACGGTACCAAGGACAACGTCTTCATCTCCAAGAGCTACGACGCGACGTCGCACTTCGAGACGACCACGGACGACGTCAAGGACATCTACGCGCGCGCCACCGGTGAGGAGCTCAAGGTAGAAGGCCTCAGGGACCTGCAGGTCACCGAGGAGTAGACGTAGTTCTGACTAGGTAATTCGGCGAGGTGGGTTTGGGGACACTTCGATTGGTAATACTTGATGAAGAAGGGGAAAAGCAAGCTAGCTAGTGGCGGAGCGTCGAGTATACAAAGCACGCATGTGTATCCAGAGCTGTGGCTAGAATACCGACCGGACGAGGGATTACATGACATTCCATACATACATTCGTATATGCGTAGGAGGCTCCGTGTGCCGGATTTGAAGTCAAAGTGTAGCTCGTCGCTTTTATTTTTATTTTTCGCTCTGATTCGAAATTTGCAGAAGGGGGGGGGGAGATAGTGTAGTGTGGTTGGTGCTTATTTGATAGACGTACGACTTCGTAAGGTCTGTTTTTTTTATATTGGTTGTTTTGTTGTGGTGCTGTGACTGTTTGATTGTTTGTGGTAGAGGGATCGATCAGGGTTTTCCCCACGACTTTTGTGTATGCATTGAATTACCTGCTATAGGGTTATGTTCTAATGCTAAGGTGTACCGTGGTTGTAGTAGCTGTTTATGGGATAGGATGCGTCGTGGCTTGTGAGGCTATATAGGTATTTTACTCGTCTTCTAGATATGTAGATACTACTTCTTGTGGTCGGTAGAGGGCTGTAGGTCGGGCTCCTTGCTACTGCGGTGTAGGCACATTCGTCCTTAGCTAAGAAGCTGCCTAATGTACCTAGTCAGTGTAAACGCTCTGTGTATCTAGTAGGTTTCGGGATAAGTTATGATCCCCCCTTTTTTTTCCGTACTTCCTGGCGGGTTACTACAGTTCGTTCGGGGCGTGTCGATGGGTCAGGTCATAGGGATATCTAAGGGACGAGGCTGGAGGTACGGAAATATATATATATATGCCTATATATACCTGCGTAGAGAAATGTGTAGTTAGAGGGACACGGACACGAAAGCTTGCTTCTATAAAACTAACAATGATACTACATAGCGAGGTAGCTTTGGGCGGAGCGTCGAACAGGTGGATCTTGGAATATTGAGAGTCATTGCTAGCTAGCTAGGTTAGGTATTATGCTATAGGCTCGTCTGGCAGGTCACTTTTGGCTTTGACGAAAAATAATTAAGTTACTACGGTAAGTACCTAACCTAGGTAGTTATGTAGGTAGATAGGTATATTATAATTTAAACGAGACATTTATTCCCCTATATTCCAAATATAAGTCCTCCAATATCGACACAGCTGAAGTATTTTCAACAATTACACGTAACTAATTAGAATGATACTGAGTTCTAGAGGAAGCCTCGGGTACTCGTATAAACACTTGAAAGCCAAACAGCAGGAGGTGTAGTAGGGGGGCGTTTAACTTGAGAAGTATCGTAACTGTAGTTAAGTGGAATTCGTGATGGCGCTTTATATAAAGGAGTAATTAATGCTGTAGTAGAGAGGTAGTTATTGCTATAACACCTTTTATATTGGATATCTTACTTGCCAACTACCTAGGTACTTAGGAAGACACTACTTAGGTTTAAGTCCTGGAACTACCTGCGTTATTCGGTAAGTAGGTAGGTAAGTATTTACATATATACGAATAATAACACAAAGGTGCTAAAATATAGTCTGTTGCCACGCTTTTCCATGTAAGCGTAGTTCTAGCATATAAACACTACACCTTTAATTCTCAAGTAATATATCTAACTGTCTATCCAGGTAAATACTTCAATAGCTTAAGTACTTTATATATAAAGAATTCTGGACGTATATAAAGGTAAACGCAAATGCCTTGATATCTCTTGTTAAAAATGTAACAGATAAATGTGTATGTATCATGGAAACCAGCATAATCGTGACTATAAACGCAACCCGCGATATACTATAGAAAATAATGAAATTACAACCTATATATATATAACCTTGCACTAATTTATTTCAATATCATATTCCCATTCATAAATACCCATCTCTAAGGACTTCATCTAGAAAACCAACCAAGCGCATATATAGGTCCTTAAACCCCCATGTAACTCGAAGCCGTTAAAGACCCCTTCCTTAACAATAACATTAACACCAAACATAAAACTGCCCTAACCCCTAACCAAATAAATATACCTTACCTACCTAGGTACTAAGACACACATGTACCTAATCTACCTAATCTGGTAGGTATGTTAAACGTCCCTAAACATACGATGTACCACCTTCCATCCGGTATCCCACGTCTCTCGTCAGCACGACGATCTCCCATGCGTTATCTCACCTTACCCTCCTACTTATCTTAGACCGGGATCGGACGGGGGGAGGGAAGGGGGGGAGGGGGGTTAAAGACTATCTCTATTTTTGTTTTATTCTATTTTATCTTATTTATCAGGTAGTTATTTGGTTAGAGTGTAGCACCACATGTCCCTAGGTATACAAACAGCCCGCATGCATATATGCAATAATATATCTACTCTCTCACGGGTTACCATCTCGGGCAATACTTACTTTTCTTTCTTTTAAATCGTATTTAAGTCTCGCGACCCTAAGAACGTACGTTAAAAGCGAGCAAGTTATGAGGTCTAAGTTAATTAGCAACTCGCTCCTACACTCGAAAGAAAGAAGACAGTTGTGATGATAACAGAACGATGGATTCATCAACAGAAAACCGCACGTTGCGCAGTATCAGGTAGCTACCTGGCTACCTACCTAGCTAGTAATCTATGTGTCTTGTCTATATGCTCATTCACTCCCAGCTCTAGTTGCTATTATCATTTATGCAAATGCCGAAAAGTCTTCGTTCCACATGGCATATGAACAAACTGCATAAAATCACCGCAATTGGACGATATAAGCAGCGTCGTGTTTCTGTCCTCGCATGTAAATGCCGACCTTTTTCTTTTCTTTTACCGGTAGCTTTCCTCCGCGATTGGGTATAAAAACTCGCAAACTGTTGCTTGTACGAATTCAACGCAAATCTCACCTCACCTTACTTCACACCTCATTCCGATTTACCGCCCGGTCTGGCTTAAATATTAGGAGTGAAACTCCGAAATGCCAATTAGCCTCGCGATTGTGGTCTCGCCGAATAAGAGGGTAATCCCGTGATACTGAGCGACATGTTGTGCCAACCTCCGCCGCCGAATCCTGCCGAACTCTCTCCCAGGTGTGAGAAGCCGAATCGTTCATAGAACGTAACTAGGTACTAAGGCCGAAGGCGTTAGCATGACGAATCACGACCCGCGCAGAGATCAAGAATAGAAACAAGAAGAAACAATAAGAATAAACAAGTAATACTCACGTCTCGGCAGATAAGCGAACAGCGTAGCGCGCACTCCGAGTTCCTGAGCTGCTGAAGATACGACTTCATGAGGAGCTTTCCGAGGCCGCAGCCCTGGAGTTTAGGGTGGACGGCGAACGAGTGGATGCAGATGGTGCAGCCAGCCTCCTGATGGCCCAAGTCGGTTGTGTTGCGCTTGTTAGTGCGGAAGTCACGGGGGTAGTCCATGGCCTTGTCGGTCACAATTTCGTCGTGCGATCGCGTCGCCACGATATGCGCCATCAGAACACTTTTAGCGCCATTTTCGCGACCTGTCTCGACGGGATGCGCCGTCGGGAACGTGTCGATCTCGAAGCCCTCGGTTTTATCAGGGGCGACAGTACAGAAGAGACCGAGACATAGCTCTGGACATACTGTTAGTCGGTACTCAAACTAGTTGCGAGTTAGTAATTCCTTTCTTTAGAGGAGTATGGTATATCTAATAGGAGTATGGGCGCGTATAAGTGATATAGGGGTAATCACGTGTAACCCAAAAGCGACACAGCAGCAAATATGACATATCAAACCGAGATATGATAATTCAATAAATTAAGTATGAAACTGAAACAAACGCAACTCAACTCACCTTCTCCCTCGTAGCCCGATGCGCCGGGTCCGCAAACGCAGCATCCTCCAGTGCGACACAGCTCTCAAGGTCCGAGATGGTTAGCGGGCGCACATTCGGCAGGAATGGGAACGGAACGAGCTCCTGGACCCGACCGAGTCTGCCTAGGGGCCTGTTGTGGTGGTGTCGCTGGGTATAGTTCTTAGTCTGGGTTGCTTCTATAAAGTCATCATCCGGCAGGTCTTCCGAGTCGTCGACAGCGTTCTCAACGACGTCTTCTCTAAGCAGAGAGGCCGGCACCTTTATGCCTGCTGTGCCTGTGACTGTACCTGTACCTGTACCTGTACTCTCGTCGGTAGCGGCGACGGCAGGGTTGTCGCTGTCCCCTCCGGGTCTGGCGGAAGATTCCGACATTGCTTGTCAATCTGTCAAGCCTTTTTTTCTGGTCTCCGATTGGCTATAATAGTCCGGGATGTCTAAGATAAAGAGGAAGTATTTATTGGACGAGGGACGAGGGACCGAGGCGGGGTGCAGATGATAGACGACACACACTGGTTTTTATCGACCCGGGAATGCGCTGCGATCAGATAAGTGTTACTGTGGCGTCGGGAGTTGAATATTATAGGTGACGGAATGCGTAGAAATATCTGTGATGTTAGGGTAATGTACCTAAAGTAAGCTTAAGCGTTTCCCGTCCGTGTTGGCGTCGTGTCACCTTGGATGGTGATAATTCTTATTACCGTAGGAGCTGCATGTAGTTAATGGAAGAAAAGGATAAGTAGAAGAACCAATTGAATTTACCGAAATTGGAAATTGGAAATTGGAAATTGGAATAAGCAACTAGTGCAGAACAGAACATAAGGGAGAGGAAAGAAAGATGGAATATGGAATATGAGGGAATAAAATACATTACATGTAGGTACGTAAATCAGGATAGGAAAGCACAACTACATCATCTTTAAATTCCCTTACCTTTGGGAGGCACCTACCTAACCTGGCCCCTGGGTCACTTCCAATACGTGTATATGTGCAATAGCGGCAGCAGCAAGAGTAATGAATTTCCTCTTTTTTCCTCTTTCCACTTGTTTCCCCTGTCCGCGTGACCTTCCGCTTAAACAGGTAAGGCAGAGATTTGCGTAGATTTGCGTAGATTTGCCTATGTCCAATTATATTTTACCATCATGTATCATTCCCCCCTTTGTCTCAGTCATCCTCACACTGCCTCTTACTCAACCTCTCTTACTCGCGTCAAGGTCACGGATAATCTACTGGATACTTGTCAACAACAACAAAATATCAAAGCTGTTCAGAACCAGAGGGTATCATTGCCTATCATCTCTGTGGTATCGTACAGCCGTAGCCTGTTAGCTACGCCATCAAACCGTCCATAGTGGTATCCGCCTGTCCATCCTCCAAGCCCGTGTTGCAGTCTACCTCCCAGCCAACCCTGAACCCCCCTTTCTCCCTTCCAGTCCGCCCTGTCTGTAAGCATGGCTGCCAAACTATCATGGAAACTGGTCTTTGTATGTCCTTCGTCTTGGGAACGGATGGTGAGGATGTGGGATGTCTGATAGGCACCCCCAAAGTAGGCTAAACCCTATAAAAAAGAGAACCAACGCCACCTCATCGAGTGCAAACGCAACAACTATGGTATTTTCCCCCAAGCTGTGTCAAATTTTCTGTGCTTTTCTGTGGTATCGTCCGACGGCGTCCTCCCGCTCCAATCTGCAACGCCGTATTCCGCCTCGCGCAACTCGTGGTATCATGTCCAGATGTACTCGTGGATATAAGCGTCAAGTAAAATCGTTCGCAGCCTTCGCCTGGCTGCCATCGAGCGAAATAAAAGAGAGAAAAGAAGAAAAAGCCGTAAAACCTTGAACCTAAAAAGAAAAATAAGAGATGAATCAAAACTATAAAGCAGAGAGTTGAGAAAATCGACCGAAAAACGCAGAGCCGACCGATGCATGATCATAGGATCGGGTATTTGTACGCCAGGGTATATCCAGCCGGGGGTATTGCACGTAGAGCATCTAAAAGACGGAATCTAACGGTATGGTCCAATCGGACCGGGGTATCCTGAATTTGTGGAATGAGAAGTCGACGGTCGACCACTGTCGCCAGACGCACGTGTGCTGTGGCGTGGTGTCATGTCACCGCCGTGGGGTATGCTGTTAGGTGTTAGTTTGTTGTCGTAGCCGTTGCTGAAGTGACGGCTCGACCAGGGGTTGCTGTCATCGTCTGGAAGATTGACGCCGCTATCGTTCCAGGGGTTTCGATCAGCATTGAAGCTGCGAGTCGATTCTATCGAGATGAGAGATGACTTGGACACATTGTTTGATCCCTTGAAAAATGTGTTCATCGAATGAGAGCTGTTCTTTCTGCGGTCAAGAGAAGACAGGAGCTGAGACGGCTTCCGGAGCTTGTCAAAGATGGTGGTGGTCCGCTGTTGAGTCATATCCTCGCCAAACGCTGGTTTCGTAGGCGAGTCTGTGCCGATGGCGGTGGGGGCGTGCTGGAGCAATTTCGAATCGAAGTACTGAAGTGAGTCCTCGAATGAGTCCGACTTCGGACGCGGGATTGCACCCTTGACAATGGTACCATCAACGCTGGCAGCCGCGAACTGCTGCATGAGGAAATCAATAGCATCGCGGAGGCCACCAGTATTGTTGCGAGTGAGCTTCCAAAGCAAAGTTACGGTGCGTTCCCCTTCCTCGGTCTTCTCTTCGGGATTCTCGTGCACTTCAAGAGATACCTCATGCTGAGTCTTGAGCTTCGAAATAAGCTCGTTCACAAATTCGGGAGACTCGAGGAATTTGACTACCGACGGAGTGCGAGTCAAGACCAGTTCATGAGTTTCGGGAACCATACCCTTTCAGTAGATGTTAGCACTATACATTGTAGGCTATGGCTCAGGCTCTGCTAGGCTTACCAGGAACTCGTCGGCACACAAGGGTACCTGCCATTCTGGACCGGTAACGGTCACCTCATCACTAGCTTGCTCGGTGCTGGGAAAGACAATCTTGCAATTCCACTTCTTCTCAAGTTCCTCGATCTCTTGAAGACGAGAAATAAGCTGTCGATGATAGAGACGGTCAACGTGCACGATCTGAGAAGTGAACTCGGAATGCTACGGAAAGACATGTTAGTGGCTTGGACAGATCATATAAATTCGAAATGTCCGTGACTTACTGCTCTATCCACCATGTCCAAAATCTCAGTCTTGACTAATTCAAGATTCTGAGCGTTTCGAGCGGGAGTACGGCAGATGACATTGTCAACTTTGACGTCGTCATCTTCACGACCCATGCCTCCTAGTACGCCTGTTAATAAGCCCGAGCCTTGGCCGCGCTGGCGGGGGAGGTTCATACCACGATCCATAGCGTTCGAGAACTTGACAAAAACAGAGTGTTTTTTCATGATCCGCTGGATGTGTTGACCGCCGATGCCGATGATTCGCTTGTGGTATTGGTCAGGAACGTGGAACGAAATAGAAGCAGGCATTTCCTGCTCTACCAACGTCATTCCTTGCTTCATGGAATCGTACGATGGAGCGATAACGTCGATATCAAAATTATACTCTCTGAAACTATCAAAGATGATTTGAACATTGCCTGTACAGTGTTAGCTAGGCTAACGAATCATTCTTATTTAACTTACTCTGTGTCATGATTTTGTTGATCTTGCCATTCTTCTTGCCTGAGACGAATTCCTTGTGTTCATTGGCGAGCTCAATCTTGACCCGAATCTGGTGCTGAGTCTGATTGACGAACTTAATCTGAGAGAGCACGCCGAGGGCCTGTTTCACGGCATCATCAGAGCCGTTGATTGTGAACGTCATTTTGTCAAAGGAGATATCCGCGTCGGAACTGGCGGAAATATCACCAAGCATGGCACGGATTTCGTGAGGACCCGGAAGCTGGGAGATACCAGCTTGTTGGATCCACCATGACGCAAAGTAGAACTGGCCGGCCTACGCTATGGATTAGTATGTTATCACTTGTTGTACAGCTTAGGAACATACGAGAGACATGATTTCTTTCATGGTGCGTTCGATGTGAAGTCCTTCCACACCTTGAACTCGAATCATGTTGCGCTGCGAGGCAAGAGGAGGGAACATGATAAATGTGCCGTTGGTCTCCATAATCTTTCGAACCTTGTCCATTCGTCCAAGTAAGATGCTATCAATCTTGGGGGGTGAAACTACGGCATCCTTGATGAAGAGCTTTGTCCTGTTCACTAGCTCGTGGATCTTGCGCTTGGCTAATTCTATACCTTGAGGATTCTCGCCAGTGATAAATATCTCTTCTGGATTCCGACGGTTCGCATTCGGCGGGCAGTAGCGGTGCAATTGGGCGAACGGGGGAAAGTAGATGGCCGTATTAGTGACCGACTCAATCATTTTGATGTTCTTTCGAGAACGGCCGCACACGATCGGGTGCAACGTGCTCTCAAAACGCATGATATCCAGCTGACGTCCAAGCTATACTCCACATTAGTTCCGGTTTGAATATTCGTTACGAATTCGAGGTTCGGAATATACCAATTTGTCAATGAAGATGAGAACCTGGGTCTTGGCATGTTCCGTAGACTCGATGTCTCCATAGATAGCGACCCTCCACCTTTGATCTCGAATAACCTCGACGTCACCATTTAGACCGTCGACCGTAGGAGTGAGTTTGGGGCCGAGAATAAAAATATCAACCCCGCAGAAGACGGAAAAAGTATCTAGAGCATCGGTGACGTTCTTCTGTAGCGCACCAGCTTGAGCATCGACGATCAATCCATAATCTACGTCAACAGTAGTACACCTCTACAATTCTTAGTTTAGCGGCACGAATCATTTATCACATTACAGAAAGAGCCGAGATGTGCATACCAATGCTAAAGGGGTATCGCTCAAGATGGTCTCACGGCTCTTGTGGACGAGTTCCGGAGAACCGGAAAGGCACACGGTTGTGACTTGCGACTTGAAACCCTTCGGTACGCTTGAGACGACGTGGGCTTCGATCGGTAAAGGTCCTTTCGTAAGTTCTCTACATAGATTCTGCAGATTGGCTAGGTTCTGAGCGTGGACGGGCAAGTCGTAAACGGGGATATCATCGGGGGCATCTCCTGGGTGCGTCCACCTAAAGACGGCTTCTCCAGTCGCATGCAGAATCTCCTCCGTGTTAGGGCCGGCGAGATCGGACGCGAACGGAACGTTAAAGGCGAAGTGAATAGTGCTGTCGGCGGCAGGCGAGGGACTTAGCGAAGCTCCCGGAGCTCCAGCCTTCTGGTGGGGATTTATGGCGGTCATGTTCATGTTCGGTCGTGACGACGCGCCGAAGTTAGGGCTCATCCTCTCGGGCCAGTGACGCATGTTGGCGAGCTTTTGCATGGTGAAACCGTGGGGGGGAAGGAAAGGGCCTAGGAGTGTAATAGGTAAGGGTAATTGAGGAGAGGAGTTGGAAAATGGGGTATCTCGTGCGGGAAGTTCAAAGAAGGAAGAATGAGAAAGAAATTAGAGAGAAAAAAAAAAGAAAGCAAGCAAGGAAGAGAGGAGGAAACCGGAGAGTGTCGTAGGCGGCGGTTTCTTCTCTAACCTTTTCTCTTTTTGCAAAGATGGGCAACCTCTACAACTACTGGCGGGGAGGTTGAGAGAATGAATAGTGAGGAGAAAGTGGAATTGACGGGATGGATGGACGGATGGATTTTGGGACATGAGATGTGGTGGACTGGAAGAATCGATGGAACGAGCCAAAAGCCCGAAGTGTCGGGTGTGTCGAAGCTGCAGTCAGCAGCTTGTAGCTGGCCAATAGACATAGCGGATTCCGGGGGAAGTGAGTGAGAAAAGCCCTGGGGAGCCCTGAGCAGTGTGGTACGTATCGCAATTAGCTTAGTCGAATGCCCTGTAATGTTGTGATGTTGTGTGGGCTTAGCGCGGTTGGTAGACGGTCCAAACTCATTCCAGTTCTAGTGGGGGCTATCGGGCCACTGATGCACCGTTTGGCGCAAGTTACCTCAGAGCTACGGCAAGTTCTACCGTTAGGTCAGGTATGTACAATACATGTACTTGCTATTAGCAAGCACAGTGGGAAGTTGAGCTAACCCTAGCCAACGGCTACATGCGTAATGATAGACAAGCAAGTACTAGATCTAGTTATACCTTGTATACCTTGTATACCTTGTAATGGCATAGGTGGTTTCTTCCTGGCGTCATCATTAGTTGTACATCACGTATTGTACAATCAATTTACCTCTTTCCATACCACGTACCTTGGATTTGGATACGGATTTATCTATTCAATACATTTTAAATGTTTGTTATTATTGACCATCTCTTTATGATCTAATAAGCATAATCCAATAAGCAGAGAATAGGTAGTTTTATAAATGATGGTATGAAGATTGCTTTAAACTCAATTATAAGGCCCAAGGCATTTTTCTTGTCTTGGCTTTATGCTCGTTACTTTTTTATCAAGTCTAATTGCATTGCTAGGTTATAGTAAGTACATGTGATAGACCATTGACCATACGCCATACGCCATTAGGTACGGTTTGATCTCTTACTCGAAATACACCCGTACGAGATGAATGCAACGTATATACTTGATTCAATGTTTTTACTTGACGTTATGCATGTAAGTCACTCGCATGTAAGTCTCGTCAATGCCACATACTATACCACATACTATACCACATACCTGCTCAAATTTCAACACTCGAGTCTTTGAATGGCTATTAACCCGTAGAAGTGGCTACTATTTAATAACAATAAAAAGAAAAAGAAAAAAAAAGAAGAAAAAAAACCGTGGCCCGTGGTTGGTTTCGTATGTGGTGCGTTCTAATGTAGGCAACACGAACTTAAGCAATAAGAAACAAGGTAATAAGGTACATCTAATCTAAGTGGTCTGCTTTTGTGGTATACAGGTATACAGGGATGTTGAATTATTAAATTTCATGTCTGTCCTTTCTGTCTTTGGTTAAGTCCTGGTCTACCCGATTTGAGATGTTCGCATGCATTCCAAACAGACATAGCCACGGTGCACAAGACCACAGTTGGCCAAGTACGGTACGCACTTTTCCTTCTCATCCCTACATATACATATACACATCATACATACCTATGTAATACTGTTGATACATATAACACATAATTGTTAGTCCGACTTCGACCTTGTTCGACCTTACGGATCGTGGCCGGACGTAGGTACTTACATATCTACTTACCTACATACCTATCTACTTACATATCTGAGTTGGCAGATCTTCCGCCTACCTACCTAACCTACCCTATTCTTCATCCCTTTCTTTAATCGTCCCCCCCCGGATCTTATGAGAAAAATCAAAAACCAAAACCGCAACACGTAGCGTAACAGCAGCATCAATTAGGTTTAATTCTGTGGAGAGACGCCGTTTAAAAAACATTCGAGAGAGTTCCCAATTTCTAATTTCCCCTTCTTGCCATTTTATTTTACGTCTCACCTCACCTAAGCTCACCACGAGTCTTAGCAATAGACTCGCTCGATTCCTCGATGTTTACCTAGTTCAAACGTCGAAGAAAAGGCGCCACATGCTAAGCACGGACGCTGTTTTGTACATCAGCAACCTTCGATCGGTGGGTAATGGTAATGCCACGGCGCGTCCTACACTGTATTAAATATAAATATTGAAATAGGTATTGAAATATAGACTCGTATATTTCGGCCTGCTGCTATTTCCTCCCTCCGCCCAGCTTACGGTCCTTCCTAGCGGTACAGTACTTCTCTATAAAGAGCATCGGGCTTATCCGGGGCCGCGCGTCTTTACCTTCGCCATCCCTACCGAAGCTCCGGTAGTTGGCAGTTGATACATACGAATAGGGCTCCTATCCCCATCGTAATTCCATGGATTCCTGTTCCTCGGCCTTCATGCAAGAAGGATATCGTCCCAAACCACGCCTCATCTCTATTGCTAGCTAGGTACTATCGTGAGCCAATAAATGGGACGACGGGGAAAAGCAGGCATTAGAGACATTTATTAATAAAGGTAAATCCTACCTAGAATATAGATACTATTTAATATTTAAGACCTCTATTCTTAGGCAAAATATTCATTAACCTTGACATATTGAATCTGGATAGTAGTCGGCTTATAGGAGAGTGTACTGCCGAGCATATCTCGGCTAACACTATACAGCTGTATTAAGAGTGATATTAAGAACGACGGGAGTATATACATGGTTGCAGCACCACATGCACCTATCTTTCTCGCTTATGCAGATCAGAGTTCCTGTCAATCTAAAGTGGAGGATAAACATGCACCGCATCACTGAACTAACGGAATGTGGAATGCTTTTGAGCCCTCTTTGGTAAAAGCCATCTTGGTATATTATTTATATACAGTCCATGCAGATAAGCACTTGGCTGCGTCGAGCTTGGTCCCTTGGGGGAGCTTTGAGTGCCACCACCCATTCCAAGCCACGCCCCTAACCCAACTCCTACTACCTATAGAATCCCCCTCAATACCAACGCCGAGCAGATCTTTGTCTTGCTATTATAGTATGATGCCAAGAATCATAGCAAGTTTCAACCTATGTTCCTCGTGTAGTCAACTGCAAGACTACTTAGAATTAGAGGGGATCTAATATCCCACCAGCCCTCCTCAGATCCAGTTACAACATCGGGTTTGTTGACGTACCACCCTTAGCGTCCGACACGTATTTATTGGTATACTTGCCTTCGACTATTATCGGCGTAAATGATGTCTTGCTGAGGTGCTCGGGGCTGCTCAATATAAGTGACATCCCCTTCTGGGTGAGGCGGCCTATCATAATAACGCTCTACCGGCTGGATGCTAAACTCGCGCCTGGGCATATCACGTTCCAACGGTCTCGGGCCGAACTCGCGAACAACGGCAGACGCCGCATCCCTTCTTACCTCAGGGTGAACGCTAGCAGCATATCGCCTGGATGGCGCCTCGGGTCGTATGGCCTCAGCCCTGTTGTAATACGGCACGGCCTCCGGCGGTCGGACGCTTGTAGCTCTAGGTAGATAGTCCCTTGGCATGTCCTCAGGAGCCCGCCCCGTCGGCGCTCCTCGGACCGAAATAAACTCCTGGTTTGGTGCTCCCATAGGTTGTATAGGATAGTCGCGCTCACGATAGCTTCTATAATCAATACCATACTCCGGCTGCGTAATGACACGTCGGGGAGCATATGTAGGCGATGCACGTCGGTAGATGATTCCATCTTCTTCAAAGGTCTCTCCAGCCATGCGAGAAGGGGCACGTAGCGGCACTCTTTCATAGACTAACTCACGCTCGCCCGGTCTTGGGGGTGGCACGCCTGAGTGACGCGTAGCGGTGCTGGCACGGGGAGGATCAAAATACTCGCGGCCATATTGGTCAACTAAGATACGAGGTGGGGGAGCAGGAGGTGCCATAGCAGGCGAGCCTCTCCCCACAACAACGGGTGAACGTGATCTAGCACGATCAGTATAAGGTCGTACACTCATCCGTCCATCACGTTGATATGTAGGAACATCCCGGTAGGGAGGGTTTACTGAGTAACTCGCCGAGCGTAGAGGGCGCGGTTCCACAGCACCGTAAGGAGCCGGATAGCCGTAAGGGGATTGGACTCGCTGGATATACTGCACGATCGTCCCGTCCGGCCGCCGTTCTTCGTATACACCACGATCCAACCTTTGACTCGCCGGGGCGACCGACTGTCGCAATGGCCTTGCATACGGATCATCCAGCCTCCCAAGCCCATACGGAGGCCCCTCGGTTGGCACATGCGTAGCAGGATACTGGTCGCGGTGTAGCACAGACACTGGTCGTTCGATTCGCGGTTCATCGTACACCAACTCTTGATCGTGTCTAGCATCGGGTCGAAGGCGCTTTTGAGGACGGACAAACTGAGGCACTGATAGGGGCGAAGGCGATCGCGGTTCGGGTTTGATATAAGGAGATCCTGGGGCATCTGGTGCTCTCATTTCAGCCTTTCTCTTGTTCTTTTTCTTATTCTTCTTCTTGCCTCCTTTGTCTCCCTGAGGGGAACTTTCTGGACTTGTGACAGCTCCATGCTCCTGCCTTAGAGCTGTGACTTGAGCCGGCGCGCCCGGTAAAATGCTAATATCCGGCTCAGGCATAGGGGGCCGCCTAGCTACCGCTAACGGTGAGACATGAGCAGGCTGGGGCGCGAAGGGGGAAAGATCGTGAGCGCGAACCACGGGCGACTCTTGCTGTCTGAAGTGAGCACTAGGAAGCAACTGGTGGGGGTTATGGATACGGCTGAAGTCAATAGGCTGATCCGAATCTGTATTGCCAGAGTTGTCGGATCTACTAGCAGCACCACTGTCTGAGCTGATGACCTGTGCCTCTACCTGACGTGTCTGGCGTGAATGTACCATCATATCTCCTTCACGGCTAGCTTTTGAGCTGTTATAGACTGCATGATCTTGCACAGACGTGGCTAAGCCAACAACGCTCGGCTGTGGCTGGCGGGAACTACTCGCGGTATGGACGGGCTGTACGCTACGACTAACATCTGCCTGGTAGGACGATGCCGGAGTGTGGACGGGTTGAGGAGCAAATTGCTTTTGCTGTGGAGCATGTGCAGCCTGCTGAGACGCCGGAGCCGGCGCATCTCGCATTTGTACATCCTGGCGTATTGGATTCTGAATTCGGGGCGAGGCACGAGAGTCGGGTGTTTCAAGTGGGCTGGAATAGAAGGTATTGTCGTCGAAGGAGTCACTCGCATCGGAAACAGTACCAGCATTAGGAGTATTGGAACTTAGTGGGGGAGCGGTAGCTTGAACGAGAGTCAGTGCCTTTGCCAAAATGTCAGAGAGGTCTAAGTCAACGGGCTGCTCAGAAGGTTGCAGAGGAGCCTTCGCCAAAGCTTTTCGACACTCGAACTCTTCTTTGAGTTCTTGTTCGAGTCTTATTCTTTGCAGCTGTAGCTCTGCCTTAGCGATATACCCGGATGTTTGAAGCGAAACAGAGTTGGCAACGGCCTTAGCTGAATCTAATGGTCTCGAGACACCTGGATTGGATGTATTAGAACCTGTCGAAGCTACGGCAACAGCTGGCTGCTGCAAGTTTGCCTTGAAGGACTGAATATTGTCCACTTGATATGAACTTAGGTTAGGTGCATTTTGCAAAGGTTGCGTAGATGACGAGAGAGCGACGCGATCTCTCGCGAGCGATGCAGACTGTTGAGGAGTGACCGGCTTAGCCACCTTGATACGAGGATGCTTCCCAGATACTATTGTATCTCGAAAGTTAATAACTTTCTGATATTCCGCGATCTCGTCGAGATCAATAGACGTTAGAGCGCCTGGCTGATAGCCTAGGGCTATGGGTTCTCGTGCAATACTGGCTTGAGCCATGTTTTTTTTCTTTCTTGTTCTCGGAATCAGCTTGTAGCAAGAGAACCATCCATAGATCAAAGGTCTAACACCAAGTTAATATCGACAATGAAGAAAATACACGATTACTATATTGTGATGGAAGACGAATATCACTTGGAAGAGAAATCAGGTTGATAACTTCTTCGCTGCTTTTGCATGAAGTCGAAGAAGGGAGAACGGAAGACGTGTCGCACAACGGGTCGAGCTCCAGTTAGAACTTGAATGGTTTTTTTTCGTGTCCATATGCATTTTAGTACAATGCCGGGAACTGCACCGTGCATGGATCCACATGTACAGCTACGTAGGTACCTAGGTATGTAGGTATCTACCTAGGTACATACATATGTAATTCATGTAAATTTACTGGAATGTACGTACATAAGGTGATACCAAGCATTAGATAAGCAAGGCCTCGGCAACGAACCGATTATGGAGAGAGGATACGTTAATCTTCGTTTGCTCTCACTACAAGTCGCTAGGATATCCAAGACTATTTAGTGGAGATGTTACTTAAAGGAGAAAAGTATCAAAACACTCGAAATATTATAGCAAAATATAATTGTAAATATATCTCGTAATATTTAGGTAACTTTTGCTACTTAAAATCACTTATTTAAGCAAAGACTAAGCTAGAATATTCGAACAGGTTTGTATTTTGCTATATAAATAAAGCAGTATAATACTTATTAACTGCTTCAAATAACATCTCCACCAAATAGCATTGAAGATCCTAGTGACCTGTAGGATGTTTAAAGTAAGGCTGGAGTAGGACAATATGTACCTAACATACATTACCTACCTATGCATGTCTTCGTTTTGCCGGTGACTCAAAACAAAGCGTAGAGCAGTATTAATTAACACTCATCAATATGTTTAGAATATATTTAGAATAGTCATTAACTACCTACCTACATATATCAATAAGAGGAATCGAGTATAAATATGTTTGTATTAGTCCTACTTGCCGAGTCTTAATTATGATAATTCTTTAAATTTTTACTTCCTTGACCCTGGATCATTCTCCCCTCACCCGCCTCAACCACTCAACCGCTCAAACAGGCCAACATCTAACAAAAGTTTCTCTCCCGCCCTTTGATATTGACAGCTGCTTTCAACACTATAGAGTTTACATGTGCAGTCGTATTTCAAACAGTGGCTTTCGTCAAGTCAGACGCATTATCACTCCCCCAAAAGCTTTTACATTTATGTCAAGCATGAGGTCACAAACCACAGTGTCCAATGGGGCAACAGACTCCAGACCTGTTTTATTTTTGTGAGACCATCCTCTCTTAATTACCTACCTAGACATATATGTTGAGACTAATGACTTAAATAGCGATATTGATAATTGTCTTTATCCCAGAAGTATGCCCAGCTCACCATTAAATTACAAGGAGGGATTTATTTTATACTGACCGCCAATCCAGGTACCAAAGTCCATGATCTAATGGCGGACCTAATAGACAGATATTTTGCGACACATCTAGGTCTTCCTGAAGAAGAAGCCATCAAGCTTCACCAAGAGTACTACAAGAACTACGGTCTTGCCATCGAGGGTCTAGTACGGCATCATCAAATCGACCCCCTGGACTACAACGCTAAGGTCGACGATGCTTTACCTCTCGAAAACATCATCAAGCCTAATCCGCAGCTGCGGAAACTACTCGAGGACGTCGACAAGTCCAAAGTGAAATTACGGCTTCTCACTAATGCATACGTCACGCATGGTCGGAGGGTCGTTAGGCTTTTGGGCATAGAAGACCAGTTCGAGGGCCTTACTTACTGCGACTACTCGCAGATGCCTATCGTATGCAAACCGCATAAGGACATGTTCGCTAAGGCGATGAAGGAAGCCGGAGTAGAAAAAGCCGAGGACTGCTACTTTGTTGGTACGTACACATACACATACACATACACATATCTCATTCGAAGGTAGCTAACTCGGCCTAGACGACTCATTCGCCAACGCACAAGGTGCTCAAAACCTAGGCTGGACATCAGTCCACATTGTCGAAGAGGGACTACCAGTACCGGCGTCCCCGGCGTCCAAATACCAGATTAGACACCTAGAGGAGCTACGGGGAATATTCTCGCAATTCTTCAAATCGGAAAACTAAGCATAAGCAACATATAATATAGAGCCCGGGGATGGCATACGGCGTGGATCGAGGCGTTTTGGGTATATCATCATCAGAAGGGGACAATAGAGCTCTATGTTATAGAAAACCATAGTTATAATATAGGTTAGTCCATAGCCCTCTGGGTTTGTTGATAGACTACGAGAAATTCATAACGATAACCTGAACGCCTGACCGGGGTATCAATATTCTACCACTCTGCTCCACTCCTTTCTTAGTGCGGGCGTCTGATGCTGCGGATGACTGCGTCCAACTTCGCCATCGTATCTTCCTTCTCCTTGATAGCTTCCTGCCGCTGCGCCTCGGCGACCTTAAGCTCCTCCTCTAGCTCCTTGATATTGCGCTCTTGGTCCTGTTCGCTGTTGTCGAGGCCGGGGAGAAGGGAGATGAGGAGCTCGATCTGTTGCTCTTTCGTAATGAGGTCCTGAGCGAGCTCGACTTGCGCGGCTTTGAAGACGTCGTCCGGGTGAGGATCCACTGTTCGGATTCGACGGGTTAGTATATGGCGGAATAGCTAGTTGTATAGGAATGTCTGGACACAGGTTAGGCTGGGTTGACTTGCCCTCTTCTTGACCAGGCTCCTGCTTCACATCTCTAATTTGATCGTTGGGACCTAGCGTCTCGAGGTTGTGGTGTCGGTTGATGTAGTGAATGCATGCGACAAATTGCTGGGCTAGCTGAATCCTCGGAAGTCAGTCATTGTTGGAGGAAGCCAATCCTGTTGAAATACTAACCTGATCAACAGCATCTTGTAATTGAGTAAGTCTGTCTCCCATGATGGCATGCTCATGAGCTCAAAGTATTGTGTTGGTTTGCGGTTCGGAGCTTACACGCATTCGCATTGGTTGAATCGACAAGGTACGAAGTACGGAATACGGAATACGGAATACATACATGTACAGGGATAATATGGTGGGGCGGCAGGTTGCAGATGCATGTGTTACTGATAAAGGTTTATCGATAAGAATATATAAGACAAGTACGTACCTTAGGTTAGGTACTCAACTTGAAGCAAACGGGCTGAAGAGCTCTCACTTCTCACTCATCCATTTTCTCAACTACATATACATCTTGGTATAGGTACCTATTTCGGTACCGACCAAGGTCCTTGGACTAGTAATGGAATGAGGTCTATCATAAGCCACCGTCCGATATGGCGCCAACGGTTCTCAACCCCTCCGATCATTAACACCGTCTCCTATAAACGCCCATTCAACCACCACCATCACCACCACCACCATGGACGGCCCTTCTCAGACTCGACTCGCCCTTTAGTATACCCCGATGCCATAAATAGCGAGCACAGTGATCTGGCATCATACGCCGCCTACGCCGCCCGCACGGGCCTAGACCTCAAGTCCAAGACGTACGTCGGCACGCAGTACGAGTATACCGTAGCCGACTCGCTCAGCACCCTCGGGTTCGACTTGAAGCGCGTGGGCGGGCGCTCCGACTGCGGCATCGACTTGCTCGGCACGTGGCATGTGCCCTCCTCTCCAGACTACCCCCTGCGTGTCCTCGTGCAATGCAAGGCCTCCGCATCGCACAGCACAAAAATCGGCCCGCATCACATACGCGAGCTCGAAGGCACATTCGCGGGTGCGCCCCCTGGGTGGCGCAGCGGCCCCGGCCTTCTGGCTTTACTTGTCTCCCAGAGGCCGGCTACCCAGGGCGTCCGCGATGCGATGGCTACTAGCAGCTGGCCTATGGGCTATGCCTTGTGTTCGCAGGACGGCGGGCTGGAGCAGATGTTGTGGAACAGCAGGGCCGAGGAGGGAGGACTGGAATCAATGGGTGTCGCTGTCAGGTTCTCTAATGGTGCTGCTAAAGAGGCTGGGAAACGGCTGACTTTAACTTGGAAGGGCAAGCCATATCTTGCCGGCCCAGTCTTCGGCAGGTGAACCGGCCCAGGTCTTTAGGTGTATATTACGACTGAAGCAAGTGTTTGTAAGACATGAAAAGGAGCAAGGAAAACGTTATCCAACTGTACAAACTTAGGGTATCATAATATCCTATGTATATAGTTCCCTATTATCCAACCATAAAACTGTATACTAGCTAGAGATGTGTATAAAGCACCTACGAGAATAAAAAGCACCACCACTTCAATTTATTATGATGGTAGTAAATATTTCCTCCTCGTATATAAATTAAAATACTTCGTTCATAATATATCTACCTAAGATATCATTGAAAGGGCATCCTAAGACCCGTATGTATTATTCTCTACCGACACCAAGAATCACGGCACAGACACTATAGCTTCATTCTAGATAGATACAAGGCATTAGAGACAGTGTATTAATTAACCAATTTTCTTGAAATCCATATCCTACACGGGCAAACCTAAGGTCGAATTTGAACAAGCGCTGAAAACACTAGGAACCACGCACAAAGCACCCTCCCCTATCCAATATACACTGGCGGGTACGTACGGAAGCGCTCTCTGAATACCACATACAGACAGGGCCATCCGTGCTGCACCGATCCTAAACCAACCAACCAACCATCCCATCCATTCCCCCCTACCTACCCTATAGGTTTCGATTGATAGGCCATACCTTTACTCCAACCCCCCTCAATCCTCCCAAATCGCCACCTTCGCCCTCTCCGCCTCCTCCAGCCTCCTCTTCTCCGCCTCGCGTTCCTCCTCCCTCCTCTTCCGCTCCTTCTCCCTAACCGCGCGGTCGTACGCGCGCTGCTCCTCCGTCGCCCGCGGCGCCCGCACCCCCAGCGCGCTGGCAATCATGCGCCGGGCCACCGCGTCCGTCTTCTCGGGCCTCTTGCCTTCCGCCTCGCCGCCGCTGCTGCTGCCCGATGCCGCGCCGGGAACGGACTGCCACGGAGGCGTCCCCGAGCTGTAGGATGGCGAGCTGGGTGTCGGAGGGGGTGCGGCGAAGCCCGAGCCGTGGATTTTGGGGTCGGCGGAGGGGGAGAGCGGGGAGGAGGAGGCGGCGGGGAGGGGGGATTGGGATTCCGTGTCTGAGGGCACGTCCTCGTCTTCCCAGGAGTCGGCTACTGGGGCTGCTTTCTTGCTCTTGGATTTGCCTTTGGGGGCTGTGGAGGAGGGGTTGATGGATAGGTCTGACATTGCTCGCGTGGCCATGGTGGGTAATAGAAAGGTAGCAATCAGCGCGGCGGCTTAGTTGTAGCGAAGGGTACGTGGTGTTGGCATGCGACGGGCCCAATTGCTACCATACGAAGGGAGCCGAGTACCTATGTATGTAAAGGTGTGATCTGCCCGGAAAGTCGATCGAGGGTAGCAATTGCAGATTACCTCACAGTAGGAAGGTTGGACTGACGTATGCAAGTCTGGCCTGTTGTGAGACGAAGGCTCGGGAGCTTGAACCTATGTATGTAGATCATCGAAGGTGGGGCCAGTAGATCCACTTCCCCGCAAATCCAAACCATGCACGGGCTTGGCGCATGGACCTTCACTCATTGCCCTTCTTTAAAGAAGGCACGTGTGCTTGTGTGCTTGTCATCGTGTGGTGTTATAAGAGTTCTTCTTGATATACTCATTATGGTAATGAATGAGGATGGTTGGGTTATTAGAGTTAGTGTCGAGGTATAAGATAGTTGATGGGTCATTTCTATTTATTAGGATACCCAAGGTGTCTTGGTGGAGCGAGATAAAAACATGAGCCGGCTTCAAGACTTAGACTCAGTCAAATTATACGAATAATTCATAAGTTAATTCATAAGTTGACTTATATGTAAGCAAGGCAATTATCAATGAAAAGAGGCCGCAGTCTTGTTTACGTGAGCTGGGAAGATCGATGGCATATGGAAGAAAACGGCAGAATAAAGGGGCAAAGTTCATTAGTACTACTTCCGACTCGGTTGGAGTAACACGGCAAACAGTCCCGTGTCGGGATATCACGGCTTCACGGACCACACAAACACGAACAAGTAGCTTTTCATATATCTTCATATAGATCTACCCCTACGCCCCGTAGGGCATCTACCGCCCACTTCGGGTAATTAGCTTGATCCGGGTATAAGTTCGCGAAAAACCGCCGCAGGAAAGCCGGATACCTGTCGGCAATGATCGCCTCCCTGACCTGCTTCATCAGGTCCAGCTGGTACCAGACATTATGCATGGTTAGCAAGTGCGCCGCTACCGTCTCTTTAGCCGTGTTGTGGTGCACGAATGCCCGGGTGATGCCCATCCCGTCCTTGCGGCAGCAATTGCACCCACAGCCATCTTCTATAGGCCCGAAGTCGTTGGCGTATTTGGCGTTGCGTAGGTTGAGGACGCCGTATTGTGTGATTGCGTTTCCGAATCTAGCCGTGCGCGTAGGCCAAACGCAGTCGAACATGTCGGCTCCTAAGGCAACGCTGACAACCAGGTCCTCGGGGTACCCAATTCCCATCACATACCGGGGTTTCAGCTCAGGTAAGAGCGCGGTACAGGTAACTACTACTCTGCAGTAGTCCGCCTTTGCCTCACCACCGCTGAGTCCACCGATGGCGATACCCGGTGTATCTCGAGCGACCATCTCCTCACAACACTCCCTTCGCATATCGAGGTCCAATCCGCCTTGAATAATGCAGAACAGATTCTGTGCGGTTGGATTTTTGTGCGCGGCGATACACCGATCTAACCATCTAACGCTGCGCTCCATTGCCTCTCGCATCCGCACGGCGTCTGGTGAGGTAGTCACTAATACGTCGTCTAATTGCATCATGATATCGCTGCCGATAGTGTTCTGAAGAGATATGGAGTGCTCAGGGGTAAGAAGCATCGGCGTGCCGTCATGAGGACTCAAGAATCTAACACCCTCTTCTGTGATATTGGCCAGCTTGAGTAAGCTAACCATCTGGAATCTATTTATGACAAATTAGTCGTCAACTTTTTCAGTAGGCTAGACTTCCCATTTTCAAAAAAGAGGTAGCATACCCTCCGCTATCTGTGAGTAGGTTGTAGTTCCATCCTTGCAGTTTATGTGCCCCTCCAACTGCAGCAAGCACCTCCTGTCCAGGCTTTAGGCCCAGATGATAAGTGTTGTTCAGACATAGACGACAGCTGGTCTCTTCTAACTGTTCTGGAGTTAAGCCTTTCAACGATGCCTGTGTTGCCACAGGCATGAAGACTGGAAGTTGGACCGGTCCATGAGGAAGGGTTAGGATAGAAGCTCGTGCTCGAGTTGTCTGAGGGTGGTCAGACTAAGTCCTGAAACGATATCTTATATTTTATGTTCATGTTCACTTACGGAACACCTCGCGACCAGATCGAATGTGAGAGCCGCCGAAGATGATGAGGCTATAACGCTAGTCATCCTGCTCAACATCAACACTGGGTAGATGAAGTATTCACTGATTTACTGATAGAATTGCTACGTCATAGGATGAGTAATGAAGCAAGGTTCATCGGTCCCTGACTTATTAATAAGTGGGGTTAATTGCATGAGGCTGCATGCCGAAGTTATTAATTGAGCGGTCAAATTTTGATGGAAGGAATTTGCACTCTGGAAATTGGTTTCTATTTTCATCCATGTCCGCTTCATGAGATGCCATAGAGACTTGGCAGCTTGGGCAGATGAAATTTTAATTTTATTGAGTGGCCCGTGACCTGACTTCCAATAGTTGACCTATCACATTTCGCCGATTCCACCGATTTCTTTGTACTACATTGTTGATTAGGTACATTTATTTGTAGGCTTTTCTCGGCAGCCGTATACTTGTTTGAGCTATCTGTATTAGTGGCTTAGGGTAAGTCTATCGGTACCTAAGGTACCTAGGGTATAGGGTACCTATGTATGACAAGAGATACGCGAATGTACCTAAGTAAGGCATAATGATTAGGTACATACATGTAGTTGGGAATAGAAGGAAATTGTCCTTTTCTTCATGTAAGACTTTCCCTTACGACCTTATCATACAAGAAGTCATTGGACAAAAGTCGGATCGTACCGCGGTAATATCCTTTATTTTTTTTATGCCGGTAACAGGCTCTTTCCTTCGTTTAGTAAAGATGTCCCCAGTTATACATATCCCCCAGCACTTTCAATTTCACCCGCTTGGCTTCTACAGCCCTTTCCCACAAAGCCTCGTGGCCCCCAGCAGATTCCCCCCCCCAGTCGCGGGAGAAAAAAAAATAGTGGGCTGTGGCCTGACAGACCCTGTAAGTAATTCCGAATTCGGGAGCGATCGGGCATAAAGTACCAACGACGCGGCTCCTCTGAACTTGCACCTGGGCCGCCCGGGGCTACCTGGGCCTAAGCTGCTAAAGTAAGAAATCATTTTTGTCACCTCCTTCCTCGACCTGCCACCAAAATCATACGATCTTGGCATTTGTTGTACATTTTTGGACATTCTTGGAAGGGGACTCGGCCAGTCCACCCGCATTTTTCTCCTGTATCATCCTCTATTTTCCTCTCAAATGGGACGCTAGGGCGTAAAAAAGACGCTTCTGGCCTTTCTTTTTCTCACTCCTGTCTTATTACTACAGCAGAATTTTTTTGGTAACCTAGGTTATTATGGACCTGTTTGATCTCGTGGTAGTCATCGTTAGTATCTTTTAGGCGTCGACGACGTTCTGTGCATCGTGTGTTCCGAGATCCTCCTTCGTTTACATACATAGTACACGCTATCTTCAACCCGCAATCTGCAATCCGCAGTTCGCAGTTCGCAGCTCGCAAGATTCGCCCCGGCTATATCTCGTTCCTCACACACGATGCGTTCCTCATCCCCATCCTCATCCCCATCCCCATCCCCATCCCCATCTACGTCTCGGTAGATACAATATATAATTGCTTATATTTCTTGCGTCATCTTGACCCCAGAAAGACCGAGCTTAAGCGAGCTGCCTCACTTGGCCTTCCGGTCGGTCTACATAGTACCTACACTCGGTCTGTTGTCGGTATGTATGTGTGTACTACTGTAAAACCTGGTTGATAGGAGACTTCTCGATCATCAGCTTGGCAATTCGTTACGCTCAAGTGCCCGGACGATCTGCTTCCTTGGCGCGTTCTTTGTTGTATTTTGTACAAAGCTGTGCCCAATCCAGTGTCACAGGCCGCAGAATTACATACATCGCAGGCCCTATGCGACAGGGAACCTGTCTTTCTTCAACGTACGTACTTTGGTATTTTTGCTTTAGCTTGGGTCTTGGGCAATGTGGATTTTTTAATTTGAATCAATGCCCTTTTCCATGTGGCTTGGCCTCCGTTCTTCATATATACCTGACTCATCCTACCCGTACTACGATGGTAATTGGATTCTCCAGATATCGTAGCTTTGATCTCGTAGTCGTGTTTGGTATTATTATTATCATCATCATCATCATCATCATCATCATCATCATCATCAACCCATCGCTCTACCTTATGAGCTTACATGCGATGTCGGATCAGGCTTCATTTATTTATTTATCTCTGTTGCCTACCGAGTTGAGGCTCCAAATATGGAGGCATACCTGTCACCAAAGGGTAGTCGAGGTCTTATACGATAGCCAGGCTGATCTATGTACATCATCAACGGCGCCACCGTCCGCTCTTCACGTCTGCCAAGAGTCTCGATTTGAAGCCTTAAGAATTTATAGGAGATCCTTTGGCACAAAGTCCCACGAACCAAGGATATATTTTTGTCCCGATATAGATATACTCTACCTTCCTCGACCTCCCTATATGGGCTATGACGACGCCTTACGGTCTTTTACGGAACTCGTTTCCGGCATCGATGATACCGTCAACCTTGCTCTCGACTATGTTAAGCCTGATATCAGACGACCATGGGAAACCTACAACAAATACGCCTTAATGCAGAGCTTTCCTAAAGTGAAAGAAGTTGACTTAGTCCTGGGTCCCGATTCACCGGCAGAAGAACATGGCCACGAAGATATTGGACTGGTGGATCCGACAGGAGACATATTGGCCTTATGTCGCCTACTTTCCGACATAAAGGAATCATTCTTATTTGAAGTTGGTTCCAACTACACGATTGGCGACACGAAAGAGGAATTCTTCGAGTACCCTGTTTTGCCTCCCCTGGTCTTGAAGTCGAAGATCACCTGTGCTCATGCCTAACTCTGAAATCCAGCTATAGCTACGCCAGAAAAGTCATATTATGTTTGCTGCGTATTCTACAAAGTAGGCCTAGAAGTCTGCACTGTACACTGTAATGCAGAAGCTTTACTTCGTCGCGGTTGGCCAAATCTCTCTGTTAATAAGCATATACTTGAAATATAATTTATCAACACTCTTATACCAATTGTCCATAATCGCCATCCTACTACGACCCCTGCTGGCCTTCATCATAGTGTCCGAAAATGACTTTATTCGTTATCCGAGTGTCGACCGATATGACGGCCTCCTTTTCCAACATGAGAATGTAATGCCTTAACGGAATTCCAGGTACAAGCCTGTCCAACTCCCGTATAAAAATTGCCCATGTATTCTCTTAGTGATTTCATAATGACGAATTCTCCATCACTAGTCAGTTTCGGTGTTCTTGACCCGGCCAATAGACATTCTAGACTGTTAACGCTATACTAGTTTATACATGGATATATATAAACATCGCTAGCTCTCGACAAGCTACGAGGAGAGCGTCGCCAGGCCATACGGAGATGTCAATGTTGAAGGTTAGGGCCGTGCGGGTAATTAGCTTTGACTATGGGGGACTCCTCGAGGGTATCGTCATATATATCATCGTATGCGCTGATATCAACGATGGCGTAAATACGGAAATCGTGGCATTCGCCAGGATATCCTCTCTGATTGCTATAGACTCGCTTTTTTGTCTTCTCATCGACATAATCGCAGTTATAGTGTGTGCTGCCAAAGGCCCACAGCTTCACGGTATCTGCTTCAATCCACGGATGCTCATTCGTACAGTCGGACGCGTATCGGTACTTCATGCCCCCACGATCTACCACGGGAGGTTGCCCTACAGCTTCGGCATTTATGGTTGGACAGTGGTGTGTGAGGATGATGATAGAGCGTCTAGGGTCTTCGCGTGCAAGTGCTGCAACTTCATGCGATAAGTAGGACATGGTGTCGAAATGGGCGGACATCTGTTTTCGACTATCGTAGTTAGTCAGTAGATCGTTTCGATAATAAGCATCGGTGCAGTGTCGTTGACCACGAGGTGGATTAGTGAACAGCGTTGCTCCGAGGATAGTAACCTTTTCGTTGGGTATGTCATATCTGCTATTGTCGAGGAAAATGAAATCTCCCAATTTCGAACCTGGGATTTTCCTTCTCATTTGTACGTTATGGCGAAACTTCTCGACCGCTGTTTTGGCCACCTCCTAGGATAATCCATTTACCTCCTTAGGGCCAAGTACGTAGAAGATGGCTTTGAACTGGAGGAGATGGCGCTCGATGAATTCCGCGTATTGCATACCGTGGAAGGCGAAGTTGCCGAGATCTCCTAGAAGTGCTAGGTACGGTGCTTCCGGAGGGATATTGAAACGTCCATAAGCCTCGTCGAGCTCCAAGTGGAGGTCTGACATGATCTGTATTCGGACCATCGTGACGGCGAATATACCTATTCTTGTATACGATGATACCACACCCGTGTCGATATGGTCTATATTAAGTTAGGTAGTTAATTAAGAGTTAGGTACCTAAACCTAATGAATCAAAAATATAATATCAATACGATGAACTCGCTGAGCGATTGCTACGCCTCGAGAAAACAGTTGTTGAAAAGCCGTGTATGAATATGTATAAGCAAACGTAGGCCTTTGTAATATTTACTTAACCTAAAGTAAAAAGGATCAAGATACCGAGAAGTCTTTAGCTGCGAAGCACATGAATAGATATGCTTTTAGGTATAGTTTCCTTTCATATTTGCCAATATTGAGTATATGTGTGAAAGAACAATTATAGGTAGTTACACCTTCTCTGCCATGTATGTATAAAGATAGTTAACTATAGGTTGAATGTAGGTATTGAAAGGTGTATGCACATTGTGAGACTAGTTCCTTTACAACTAGGATGGATAACCTAAGGGTCTTACCCAGATGTAGGTACGATAGAGTCGATTTGGGAAGGAGAGCACACGGTAAATGGTACCTTCATAGACAACGAACCAATAATAGAATATCTAAAGAGGTACCTTAAACTTACGAGAGAAAGTACATCATGTAGGATCAGCCTAGACTCGAGAGACCCCTGAACAGATGTACCTGCCACCAGGGTAAATGTGGGGCGATAGCCATGCAATTAGCCGCACTTGCAGATAGAGTTTCGTGGAGGGTGAAGATAGCTGCGATATGCCCCGCGATTTGACTCACACCTACCTACCTAAGGTAAACTTTGAAGAAAAAAAGTCGACGGTCATAGCTACCGAGGTAGGACGTAGGTACTACATGTACTTACTCAGCTAAATACTCCCACTATTCTATAACAACTGTTAGGGATAAACCATCTTCACCATCTCCTTTTCCTTCTTATTGCTTGACGCAACCCCCCGCACTATTATATGGTAACAATGGCAGCCACTATTAATCAAAATGATATACCTATCCGCAACAATCCGGACCTGGAGTCCTTCGAGTAAGCTCCCCTCCCCCCCTTGTCTTCCTCCAAGCCCGCGCGCTCTCCTCCTCCTCCTCCTCCTCCACCAAGGCGACAAGTCTAACAATGACCCCTTGCCGCCGCCAGCATAGTTAGCACCTACGAGAAGCTCCTCGCCGACGACCCGGAGCTCACGATGCCGGTAGCCGCGATCGAAGCGCTGATCGAAGCGCTCAGCCAGTCGTCGGCCAAAACCGTCTTTGAGACTATGGATCTCATCAAGACGCAGTCGGCGAAGCTGCGCAACGCCGTGCGCAACCCCGTCGCCCTGACCCACGGCACCGACCTCTTCCAGCAGTACCTCGTCCTGTCGCTTAAGCAGCCCGGCCCGGACGGCAAGGAGACTAGCAGTCACGAGAACTTCGAGGTCGTGCGCCAGCACCTGATGAAGAACGGTCGCCTGTTTGCCCAGCGCGCGAAGCAGGCCCGCGAGCAGATTGCGACCGTTGGACGCGCGTATATCCGTGACGGGTATACCATTTTGACCCATGGGGGCTCGAGAGTGGTGGGCACGTTGTTGGGGAGGGCCGCGGAGTCTACTACGGGGGATGCTCGGAGACGCTTCAAGGTTATCCATGTGGTCAACGAGGCCCGACGCACTGAAAGCCTGAGAGTCGTGGCTGCCCTAAGGGCAAAAGGCGTCCAGGTTGCGACGATACCCGAGTCGGCTGCTGCTTATACGATGGGCAAGGTTGATATGATCATAGTCGGTGCCGAAGCAGTGACCGCAAACGGTGGGGTTATCTCGAGAATGGGAACGTACCAACTTGCCTTACTGGCCAAAGCCCGCAAGAAGGACTTCTTCGTCGCCGCCGAACAGCACAAGTTCGGCAGGACGTTTCCCTTGGACCAATTCGACCTTGGCTTCGACCAGGGTATACTAGATTTCCACGCCAAAGACCAGGAGGCGGGTGACAAACATCCACAAATAAATCCAGATCCTGTGGATTATACGGTACGTTGAGTGACTATGCTATTGCCTTTTTTAAGCATCCGTTTGCTAACCCTAACATAACAACATAGCCGCCGGAGTTCATCACGTCGTTCCTCTCAGACTACGGCGTCCTCACGCCAACAGCTGTGGCCAAGCAGGTTATAGATCTATTGTACTGAGGTTCAGCCCACGTCGCGGTAAAGTATTTTGCAAGCCTGGTTTTGGACTGCATAAGTTTCATATCACAGGTGTACATACCCTATGACGAGATGGGATACGGGATTTGTTGCCAACATGTCCTGTTAGCTTTTGGCTAAGTGCCACAAGAGATTGTTGTTTACACAGACTTGGAGTTTAGTGCCTAAGTCCTGGCATATTTGTAGACCAAGTAATTATAAAGCCTTACAACAGTGGCCCTCGTAGGCGGGCGCATTGTGTAAGGGGCTATTATGGTATTTGATCTCCTTGGTCCGGTGGGGATGATGGACCATTGCAGTCCATGATAGAGCAGATACCATGTACTGGCACAAATCATGGGCTTGAGTAGTGTACATATTGGCTACGATGGACGACTACCATGCTGTATGAATTACATGACGCCCTGGCTAGCACAATAGTAAAAGGAAAAAGGAAAAGGAAAAAAGATCAGACACATTTATGAGACCATCAAACAAGATTGTGATTGCAATAGGAAACTCCTAAGTTGAAGTGAGTGAGTACATAGATTTTGCCATTTTAGATACACCGGCCAAATGCAAGGACTTTTCTCTTTGGAGACACCGACAATGCCCACATACCCCTACCTTTTCCTATTGCGTCCCTGAAGTAGGAGGGATTCCTTATAGATTGATACTGTACTGTGCTGGATAGATAGCTGGTTGACTGCAGGTTGCTGAGTGGATGTTGAATCCGCTCTAGACGCCGCGGTACACACACCATTTTGGTGTATGAGTGAGTGGAATTTGGCTGAATTTTACCAGTTGTTGGAACTGGGTTAATGTCCTGAACTACTAGGGCAGACTGTCTCACTAGCTAGCTCCTTTCTTAGAGGTCGCGGACGAGTCTCGCGCCGACCCAAGCGTACAAGTAGTTGCGCTGGTACCAGTTTACACTAAAGCAAACGGCTTGTTAGTATTTATCCAAATTTCATGGGAAGGCCATAATATATATATATATATACGGAAACAGGTTTGTAGAGCGATAACAGCAAAGGGGGTTGAGAGAATATAACGTACAATGTCTTCCTTCCCGCGATACGAGGGTGGGTAGCCCAGGACCCGCCAAGTACGATATTATGCTTCTCATCAAAGAAATCGGCTGCAGTTTCTATTAGTACACTACCATAAAATTTAGGAAGGATGTTTTTTTTTAATCATACCCGTATACCCTGGATAGAGGGTTAAAGGTTGGAAACCCTCGTGCGGCCTGAGCGGGGAGCTGGTCCACTCCCATACGCCTCCCATCTCAGCCTGGCCCGCAAGGCGGTTGCCGTGAGCGGTCACGGCCACGGGATGCCAATGGCGGAAGCCCACATTAGCATCGCCGAGGTCGATGAACAGTTCGTCATTTTCAGATGAACCGCCATCGACGGCCTGTGCAGTACTTGATGGTGGGGTTTCCTCAACGCCGTCATTGACCAAGTGGCTGGACACATCATAGTTAGCCAGCATTCACCGCCCCTATATTATAGGTGGAGGACTTACGCATTGACTGCCGGGACAGTGCTGCCTAGCTGGCGTTCTGCTACTTTCCTCTTCATGCTATCAGCATAAAAGTAGATACTCCGAGCTTCCTCGAACGTGGGGATTCGGCCTCCTAGCCATGTAGCACATCCTGAGAGCTCATCATAGGATGCAAGTACTGGCCAGTCGAGCGCATACTTAAGCGGTACCAGCCCATAGATCGTACGCACGCTCTTACCCTCCAAGAATGATGCAGGAATAGTTTGCTGGCTACTGGCTCCGTTGCTATGGCCGTTTGTTTCCTTGACTTCATGGCCATTAGAGCCATTAGAGCCATCATTATGGTTTAGGCCCTCGTCGGCCCAAGAGGCAGGAGGGTTTTCTGTCTTGGTATTGTACACATATAGCGCGTACTACGATCAATTAGAGCTGTCTCTTCTTCAGCAACAATGAAGCTCACCTCGTCGTTAGTAATAGGCCTTCCCTTAGCTTGGAAGCCGTGTACTCGTACGCGCCTAGGTGGCTTCTCATTGTCCCTATGAATCAATTAATATAATTTTCGAATTAAGTCGTGCTATTATCACTGACCATCCGAAGTGATTAGTTGAGTTTTGCACATGATCGGGGTCGTCGAGTCCGATTGTGAGCTCTTGCTCAGGTATATCAAACCAATCATTGCTGACTCTCGCCGCGTAGGCATCCTGAGCTAGAGCTTCGAAGTTCGGCCGCTTTGTATGAGGCGGCGGGAGAGTCTTGTCACTCTGTAGCATCATATAGAGTAGTGTCTCCAAATGCATGATTTCGTGCTCGAAACCCACCCAAATAGCTCTTCCGACATTTCTAGGGATATTCTCTAGACCAACGGAATAAATGCTTCTTAGCCTATCCCGTACCCGTTCCTGGTACTCTATGATGTCCTCGACAGGTGGCCATTCGTCTGGAATTTCCGAATGTTGATGGCAGATATCCGGGTTATCAACGTCTGGGTCTATCCCTCGCTCGAAGATTGTGGAGTAGAAAGCTGGTTCTGTAAGAGGATTCTTGGTGGTCTTGGTCAATTGAATATCAAGGAACGTGGGGGTATGACCAAGGTAGAAAATGCATGCATTCCGAAGCTTGATGGGCTTGTCTAATAGCTCCTCGTTAGGCAACATGCGTCTAGTGACGATATCCCATGTATCCCATAGACCCTCAAAGTCCCCCAGAGATGGGATGTGAGAGCGGGCATATTGCGAAGGGTTAGGGCTAAAGTTCATGTTTGGCTTGGTTAGAAGATGAAGACCTAGCAAGCTATTAGTTAACCTGGTTTGACATCCACTCGAACACCCACGGGGGTTAGGACCGCCCCGCATTTAAAGCCACGATTGATGTACGCAAGGATATTACAGGCACGCCTTAGAGACGGTAAGGTCTCCTGACCTGCCTCACGTGGACTACGTGCTGCATGGCATCTTAAAACGTGGAATGGTCCCTGTTTATTCGTAGGATGGGATGTGACGGAAGTAGGACAAACCCCATATTCCCGGGGTTGGACAAAGAATTCGTGGTCCACTCACCGTAGTCTTCTTCTTCGGTCATCCAGCGATCAGCTTCGACCATGCCAGCAGACCGCCATAAATTCCTGTAGCCCTCTTCCGAGTACTTTAGACTCTGTTCGACTTGGATACGTTCCTGGGCCTTGACCGTCTCTCCCAAGACTACAGTGTCTCGTGGTGGCGAGTAGAATGCTTGGTGGCGTCCTCCTTCGATGTCATAGACGTATTCACCAATGACCTGCCAGTCATCAAGGTCAAATGCCTTATGTCCAAGAACTTCATTTGCATGAGAGAGTCCATTCAGGAGGAACCTTGGCCAGTCAGCACAAGGAGAAGCCGGAAGGATGTATGCATTGCGTCATTCTTAACTGACCTATGCGTGATGCCGTGTCTGTCTTGAGAGCAGCATATAGGGTTCAGTATAGCTCAATGTGGATTTTCAATAATACTAACCGTTGTATGCGTGACTATTGTTGGGCGTTAGAAGCCTGATAACTCTTCAAGTAAGCATGGTATGGGACGTTCCATGACTTACTAGACTTTGGAGGGATCTGTGCAGGAGTCCAACCCAATCAGAAAGCTATCCGCTGGCTGGAGAACATCGGCGAACCCTCTCAGGAACGAGGCTGCTTCGTCCCGGTGGAAGTTACCTAATTAGGCTGGTCAATTGCAAGGGATCTGATTTGGCGTCTATATGTATACGGAATATGCTCGAGTTCGTACCAATGCTAGACCCAAGAGATAAAACACATTTTCGCTTGGGGGCGATCTGCGGCCTCCTTAACCATTCACGGCCGTCATCGTATGTTCCTAATAATCCGTGACACCGGACATGACGGAAATTTGGGACTTGAGCTAGAGTTCTTGACAACTCATCTTCTGACAAATCAAGAGCATAATAATCGATCTTCTTGCCGGCGTCGTCGAGGGCTTGAAGCAAAAGAGTAACCTTCCTCAAGTTGCTAGCCAAGAAGGTCAACTAACATTGCTACCGAGTTACGGAGATGGTCCTATAACTCACCCGCTGCCTAACTCGAGCACCAAAGATCCGGACGGAATTGACTTAGCAATGGCAATAGCCGAACGCCGCAAGACTTGGATCTCATAATTTGTTAAATAGTACTCTTCTAAATATGTGATCTGGTGTTCCTGTCAGCTTGAGGTGATAAGTGTGACTATGTTCGTCTGACCTTTTCAAATAGTTGTAGACCTTTCTCGTCATAGAGTAGCAAGGTCGGTAATTTCCGGGGTCCCTCCTGAGGGCGCAGTAACTTATGGATTTCCTCTTTTAGGTTAATTTCGACGGCGGTTTGCCGTATGTCAGTAATATCAACATTTGAACGTCGTCCCGCGGTTAGGCCAGCACCCTTTTCTAACCTGTACTCCGGGTTGGGTATCTGAGGCTCATACGGTGACTCGACAATAGATGGCATAGCTGGTGGTGGTGATGATAAAATTGCCTTATTACACAAGAGATGATGGTTGCTAAGCTTAGAGGGTAGTTTCACGATTCTGCAGGGGTGAGGATATCGTAGGTAATATATATATATATATAAATTTCAATTGGGACGACTGTAAAGTCTGAATGGCGTAACATGAGAGTTACAATACAGGAATATGTACCTACTTAGACCTAGTACGAAAAGCATATTGTGAGATGAGAAGCCGGACAAACCTAGCTGCGAGGCCACACTCTCTGCCGCTAATAAGGGGAGCAAGGGAACAAGGGAACAAGGATAATAATGGTGATGTCAGTCGGGGACTAAGAGGTCCCAGTCTGGATGTGGTTGGACTAGCGACGAAGTTCCTAGGTACGTCAGCCCTAAAAGCGTTCGGTCAAGCTGCATCCACGGCGGCCATCCTGGATATACTATTTGACTACCACGATATGTAAATGAGGTATGTAGGATCCGAGAACAAGAGTGAAAAGGCGGATGGGGCTGGTATCTATCCATGCCTTCTTACGGCAAGATGATACGGTAATTCGGGTTGCCAAGAAAGGGTCTTGGGCGGCACATCAATGTGTATCCCGGAATTTGGATAGTTGAGAACTGAGGAGACGGAATTTGTTTTGTCATAAAATGCTGCAAGTCAAACTAGACTATAATCATGAGAGTGGGATGTTAAAGGAGAATAACAAATCACGGGCCAGAATAGGGAGGACGAGGAAAAGCTAACGGCTGTCCCGGCCCCGCAATGAGAAACCTTTGAAGTGGCCAGTGCATGTATCATATGGTACACCCACGCTACTACCCCTTAGGTAGGTACCGGGTTAGGGTACCTGTTAGTTCTTGCTGAACTTACATAGTTCCTACATACCGTATCCTGTTGTGCGACAAGAACGCTGCAGGCTCACTCGTCGTCCCTTACCTACCTACCCTTACCTACAGGTAAGCTACCACGGGTGTACCTTGGCTTGGTTCCGGTTCCCGGTAAAGACGTTTCCTTACGGTAAGAAAACTAATACGGAGGTGATTAGTCTTATTATCGGTCAGATACATGTATCGAATATTTGATACGGAATATACACTACCTATATACACTACCTACATACACTACCACAAGCAACATTCGAAATGCATTCGTATATTGGGCATCGGGCCTTTACTTTACAAGGCGTTAATAGACCTTGTCTATATATTAATTCTTGCCTATTGCCTAGGAGGTAGATATATATATTATGTAAAGGACAAAGTGGTGACGCGCATTCAATCATTATTGCATTGGGAAAACGCAAACCACGACACTTCCATCCCAATAGTACGATGCAGTACTACCTGGGGAGCACTTGCTTGATATTAAAGGTGACTGATACCTATTGGACGTGACTTACCTAATGTATATACATTACCTATGTAGGTACATGTAGGTAAGTAGTACAGTAACCGTTTGATACCTACATCAATGTAAGATCCCAATCGTTTTTAAACTGTGCTTGCAAGAAATCCGTTTCGGTTTGTGGCATAAGTACCTACCTCCTATAAATTATTATCCTTCATAGAAATACATCATACATCATACACCTCCGGGCCGAGATATTTCTCTCTAACTACCTACATGTACCTACCTCCTACGCACCTACGCACCTACGCACCTACGTCACCTATATGTGACCATGACCTGACGATCTTTACCGAAACCTCCCCCACTCTACCCCTCAACAACCGAAAGAGCCTCCCACACACGTGTAAGTCTATATTTGGCGATAAGCGACAAAGATTCACAGCGTCATTTACGGCCGTCGCAGCGTCTCGCGAAATGCAGCATTATATTAGGGAGGTAGCATTGACAAACGGCTGGCCAGATGATCATGGGGTACAGCTCACATGATTTCTAAATTGACCATTAACTAGTCTTTGCCTAACCCAGCGGCCTGCATCTTTTGTGTTGAGCTTTCCGAACTTTCTATTGCATCTTCTTCCTACATAATGGTGGGACAGTGCCTGGATGCAACCCCCCGACTGCATGTCAATTGTGGGGAAGTGCTTTCCCCGTGACACCCCCAGAGTACCTTTGTAGCCTTTGTAGCTTTTATGGTCGTATGTACCGAGGTATTTGGTCCCCCTTTACATCCCGTCGGGCAGGGTTTTTTCCTCTCGATAGTAAGCAACCCGAAGAGAAGAAAAGGGAGTGAACACCCCATTTGTTTTTGATGGAGCGTCTCATTCTTATCTATCGTAATGCGACTTCATCATCTTTAACAGGCTTCAGTTTTTCCGCGGCACTCTCGGCCATCAACTCAAAATTCACCAGAGCAGCAAGAGGTGAACCCTCTAGTCGAGCTAAACCTTCGGTCTAAAGTTTGCTGGAGCACATGAGCGACTTTCGAGAGTGGCAATTATACGTGGAGGGAAATAAGGAGGGTTGGCATCAATTCGTGAAAGGCTATCGGCCTTTAAAAGACGTTAGCCGCAATTCCGAAGAATATCAGCTGGCCTGAAATCGGCCAGCATCGAGGCGGTAAGGTATTGATCATGGGATGCCATTTGCGACTTGTAATTTTTGAAATTTATAATCTGCTCATCTTGCTGGATAGTTACTCGGCATGCATTTTAATCTAACCTTGGTCCGATTTTAGGTTATCAGAAATTGGCATTGGGGCGGGTTAACAAGAAAGAACCTCGGCTTGGACTGATTGTGGTGTGATGACTTCTTACGCTATGGGTTGTCGTACGAAAAATTCGGCGAAGCTTCCCTTGATGCGTTGTTCCTGGTCAGCTTTCTTATGGTGAAGAGTACAGAGCGTGAAGAGCACAGCATTAAGTAAGCATTATAAGCAGAATATAAGCAAAGAGTTGAGCAACTGTTCAAGAATATATACGATATCAATTAGTGATGCATATATGAAAGAAGGCGATAATAAAGACCTACGAATATTTCCAGCTAACTATGTAAAGTCTTCTAAGGTTGAGATAGAGTTAATGTAGAACATAAACTAACAAAGTGCACTGTTATACTACAATATAATACTGTGTGTCTGGCCTATCCTCTAGACTTACAAGGCCATAGCAAGAACGATTTCATGGCCAACAGCCCGTCACTAAGAATCGTTATAACATTATGAAGTATATCTAGATTGAGATACCTAATTATATTAACTCTGTATTCTCTTTGAATAGTATAGGATGACCAGGACTAGTTAGATTATGATGTCCTTCAAATTCTAGGAGCCAGCATTATGAAGACAAGAGAATAAGAGTAGCAAAAGTAAAGCTTCCATAGATTTGAGTATTATGTTTCTAGCTTAGATCAAACGATTATTATTCATGCCGGCCGTATGAGTCACAAATCCGTTGTGAGGAAGTATGCAATGGGGGTTGGTGTAAGGTTCTGTCTGGGGTGTTGGAAAGTAAGCCAGGCCATATGAAGTGTCATATCATATATATTTCAAATTAGCATAAAATCTGATACAAAATATAACATCTGGTGGTGAAGAGGGAACACGCTCGGTCACAGCACATGTCGAGGTGATAGTCCTGGATGAGATGTCTAAGTCCGAGAGGTCGTAGGTTCAACCCCTACCCAGGCAAACGGTCCTTCCTTTGATTCCTTGTTGGCTCTTACATTTCTTTAATTCTTTTTATTATCAGCACTTATTTCCTCTGTTGAGCTGGCTAGCATAGTGATGATAAAAATGAGAAGAAGATAATTGGGCCCTTATATCTGCCACGAGGTGGAACCGAACAACAGGGAAACAACCTTGTTACTCCGCGAGAAACTCCAACTTAAATACGGAAGCCTGTGGCTATAAATGCTGAACATACCCTTTGTTCTAGATATTTCATCTAAAATCCTGATAATACCAATATGTCACCAGGCGGATAGGCAACACTCAAACCAGGGTTGAGTGATACTCGACTTCTATACTTTACAGTTAACACTTAGTTAGCCAATGTTACTAGTTTAAGCCTAGTCAACGTACCTTAAAACAGTGCATAATACGGGGCAGAGAACTATATGTTAAATTACGAGACGGTTTTATATTCACTTCTCCATGACCTCAAGATGATTATTTTCTACTTACGCTATATCGATACCGCTAACTTTCAAAAACAAATGATAAAATTGAACTAATAAAGGCCGTTTAGTTCGCCTGGAAGACTATGGAGTCATCAAACTTGGCCTCCTACCAGGCGGAGTCATACTCAGGGGTAATTTACCAAACAACGAACCGACTTTGGCCTGGCATGTATCAATGAAATATATTCTAAGACCGGCCATTCTATTTAAATTCTTGCAAGTTTCATAATCTCATGCGCATATATGTATAGGGGTATATTTAATTCCACCGTCAAATCCTACGTTAAACTTATTCCTCGTAACTTGCCCATCCAAAAAGGGATCTATAGCAACTGTAGCGACTGGAAGTCAGAGACCAGCGGAATCCTAATCCGCTTAAGCACTAGTGGAAGAAGGAGGACCGCCGCTCATAGAACCGCTCGGGAACCCGCTAGGCATAGTCCCGTTCCCACCCGGGCCAGTTCCGTTGCCGCCCGCACCGCCGCCGATGCTGGAGCCGGTCGAGTGGCCGCCCTCGGCATCAAGGTATGCGGCTGCAATTTGCGAGTTAGCTCTCATACGATCACCTGGATTTCAGACGTGGACTAAACTAACCAACTCCGTAGTACTGGTCCTCGGTGTAGTCGGCAGATCCGTTAATGCCGATCTGGATCCAGGCAAATAGACCGTCCTCGATCGAGTCGCCGAGGTAGATGAATTGCGGGATGGGATCAAACGACTCGTCGGCCTGGACGATGGACCACATGTCTTCGTCGTTTGTAGTCACTTCTATCGTGTTGGTGTTGTACGGGTACGTCGCCTCGACCTCGACGCGTAGGTCCTCGGGCCAGAACAGCTGTCCGATGTGACTAACCGGCGCGTTCCTATTGTCGAGGGTTAGTAATGGTGTATCGAAAAGAAAAAGAATCGAACCGTTGAACTCTGGGATAGGCGGCTTTATTTTTATCGCAACTTACCACACGGAGATAGTACCGTTGGGCATTACCGTAGCATTGGTATGCGACAACAAATGTGTGTGGACAGCACGTCCGCTGTAGTGGCCAGGGAATATTGTCTCGAAGCTGGCGACGCCATCGTTGTCTGTCAACTGGATTCCTCGGAGGTAAGTAGAGTTGTATCCGCCCTCGGCGTAGTTTCCGCTAGTAGAGATGCCGCTGTAGACACCGGTGGCATTGCAGTTCCAGATATCAACTGCGACGGAAGGTATGGGATCACAGGTGTTGACGTCGATGTACTGGACCTCGAGGAACAAGTCGATACCGTCGCAATACTTGGCCTCCTTGACGTTGGATCTCATCTTCTCGCCGACAACATAGTACGGTCCGCCAGTAACTTCAGGGGATAAGATGCAGCTCGTGTTTCCGCTGAAGACTTCCTCGAGTGAGGTAAACATGTCGTAGTCGTAGGTCCCCGTCATGTTGTGGTTGACCTTCTCCCAGGCCTGAAGATCCGCGAGGTCTCTCTTGTCCTTTCTCGCGGCTGTGAAGGCCTCGTTAGTTCAACACGCATTCTAGTTTAACGTTCGGTACTAACCGGTCTGGATGCCGCGCTCCCGTCGGATTTTATTAACGGCATCGGCACGGCGCTTGATCGAGCGCGCCTTGAGTGCCTGAGCGGAAGCCGAGTTCGAGCATGAAGCCAGCGATCGAGCGCCGAGTTGAGCCGCATTGTCACGGGCTACAATCTCGCGCTTCATCTTGTGTGCATCGTGCTTCTCGCCAGGGTGAGCGGCGGCGTAGCTAACAAGAGCCGCGAGGGCTAGGTTGGAAAAAGCGACCATGATTATGATGATGATGAGCGAATAGAGGGTCTTCGAAAACGACGGACTACTACCGAACGACTAGATAGAGGATAAGTTGCTTAGGAGTTGGTGATGAATAAGAATGGCAACAGAGACAGCGACATGATGGTCTTTTATTATTGTTCCTAGAGGCTCTATCCACATGCGTGGCTCTCTTCTAGGTCCACCCAACGACGACTAAGGACATCTCTATTCGTAATGCTTGTCGTGCATCCTGGTACTGTATTGTCCTCGGTGACTTCGTGGCATACCAAGGACTCGCAACGATTCCTGGCTTCTCCATCACAATTGTTACCGTTGACCTCTCTAGTACGCTCTAGCCTCAGCCTTTGAGGATACCATTACGCGTCCCCTGCGTAGAGGTGAATGCATATGTATTGAGATATGAGAAAAAGCTGAGCCTCATTCAGGAGAGTTGCGTTCGCAGGGAACAGGGGGGGGACCCTAGTCATCTCGTCCGCCAATGAGGAAGGCAGGATTTTCAAATCCGCCGGACGATTCGACGATTCAAGCATCGTCATGTCTTCTAGAGCTGAAAGCCTTGAAACGGGACGTGGATGGTTTACGAATTCGACCCACATACACATCGACTGATACCCGTATCCGCATTTCGGTAGTTACCTATGCATAATACATAGTCCCGTTTAATCATCTAAATAAAACCCATCTAGCAAGATCTGATTCCGTGTTTCAATGTTTCGATGTTTCGATGTTTCGTGGGGTGACTATTTTTATTGCGCCTCCTGTGATCGCGTCGAAAGATGAACGCGTCAAATCTTCCATTCATGAGTCGTTAATGCTATGCTATGGCTTTGAAATGCCCGGGATTTATATCTCCCGCACTTTACACCGTATCGAGTGGATATGTGATGGGTTTGGGATACATACGGGTGCTTGCAGCCAACGAGCCCCATTTGTTCCACTGTGAGGATGACGAGTGAAGGTATACGTATATGCCCAGCGCACATAGGGGAGCCATAACACTTATTAGATTTTTTCTTTCTCAATTTTGCTAAGGACATATTTTGACTGCCGTTTTCGATAGAATGCTTAGTATATATGAGCTGTTATGCAGTCATGCGCGATCGACAGGCACCCATATATCCTTCCTAGTTGCGGTTAGTTGATATTTGCGTATAACAAGACTTGATTTATTAACTAACTAACCTAACCTAGTTAACTCTTAGTATGATTGGCTGAAATAACTTGGGTTGTTCCGCAAATGGTATGTCTAAAGTCTTAGTCGAAGTCTGATTGGCTACTTCTTAATAAATATAGGGTTTAGGTTAGGTAGTTTTATGTCTTATACTTGTACAGAGAAACATATACATCCTCATCTGTTTTAAGTATTGAGTATACAAAATAAGGCCATGCAAAGTATAACAATCTTATTTACAAGGTGAAATTTCGGAATGATTCTCAAAAGGACCATGGATGCTATACTAACTCGAGATAGGAAAATTCCACATCGCTTAAGAGGATATAACTTAGGTTAGGTACCTACCAAACTAAGACATCTACGATCTTCCACTTCTCTTATCATACGTGAGACTCAAAATCGTGGCATCCCTAGCGCCTCCCTCCTCCCAGTGCTCGCCGGGTCAAGATATGGCACTTCACCGATCCCCGAAGCCCGTACACCTGTCCTAATGCCCTCTACAAGATGCGTATCAGGCTGTTATAATAACCCACATTAGCAACGGCTATACGTAGACTCCCGCAAAGAAATAGGATAGATAGATAGGTAGGTAGGTAGGTAGGTAGGTACTCACAGTAGCAGCATGCAGAGTGCACACATTACTCCAGATGGCACAAGCCCCCCTCGTCCAATGCATCCGAGCTACGCAGTCGTGGTTCCGCGTGATAAGCCTCAGCGCGTAATCGCGGATCATCTGGTCCTCGTACGCGTACACGTCGTTGATGCGGCTGACGTGCAGCCCCACGCCCGCGAACAGCGACTTCCACCCCGTGACGGGGTGCGTGCGGACCACGGGGTGCGACGGCGAAAACTCGTAGCCCGTGTTGAGGGGCGACCCGCGGGGCGACGTGACGGCGTACCCGCCGGCCTTGCAGGCCGACTCGAACACGGGCTGCGCGCACGTCGCCGTCAGCGTCTCGAGGAATCTCTGGTACGGAGGGGAGAGCCGGTCGTACAGCTCGTACCCGGATACCCAGAGGGTGTCGCCGCCGGAGGGTGGCGTGTCTTGCATGCGGAGAAAGGAGAAGTCTGAGGGGCAGTTTTCGAAGAGGCCTGGAGGGATTGGGTATTGGTGTTTTGTTCTAAATAGGGAATAGGGAATAGGGGGGGTTGGTTAACATACTGTCGCTGTGCCATTCCCGGCCCAGGTCTCGAGGCTCGTTGGCCGAGCCGGGACGGTTCTTCATTGTGGCATATAGCTTTTTGGCCGCCTCGGAGTTGATCACATAGCTGAAGTTCTGTCAGCGCCATAATGGGCATAGAAGAGAGTAATTTCCTTCAGCCTACATCTGCTTGTCGGTGGTACCGTCTGCCATGGGGAGATTGTTGGGGTCATTATACAGGGGGTGCACGTGTAGCCCATTCTCGGGAGGTCGTCCCGTTAGCTTGCCAAGCAAGTCCGTGATGTGCTTCTGCTCCTCGATGGAAAGATCATCTTGGGGGGCTCTGAAGAAGACTACACCGCGCTCGCAGATGGTGATTGCAAGGTCTCGCAACTGTTCTTCAGCATTAGGCGCTTTGAGTACGTCCTTGAGCTTCGCGGTGGGGTATTCCCGGCCGATAATAGGTGTGCTATCGACATATTCGAGATGATCGATAGACGATCCCTTCTTTAAAGGCTCCCGTTTGAGCTTGTTCATAGAAATAGAACCCATTCTGTGCAATAAATAGTATAATATATCCTTTTTGTTCCACACGAAACTGCTAAGGACTCTGAAGAACTATTGAGTGACTAACGGGAGTGTAGATTCCGGTAAGCAAAGGGGAACCGGCTACTTATATTAACAAGATAATAGCTTACCGACCGATGATACCAGAGGATTCCCAAGCTACCCCAATCTATAGCACCGTCTATCGCTTAACTGTCTGCCGTCTAGGGTATGCGGGGGCAACCAAGGAGCTATATCAATTCTGGATATCGGCAATGTGAATCTGGGGAAGTTTGGGGTTAGGATGCGGAGATCTCATACCAACGGTTCGCTGCGAGACATCCTCAGGCAAAGACCCGAGGGCCGGGATATATAGTAGCGCGTCTGCTTCGTCGAGATAGGCAATTCATCGCCCATAGATTAAGGAGTCCTTCAAGAGGCAGCCCGTCCGTCCCTTCTTATAGACAGGATTCTCATCACTTTCATCTGTGTCTCGGCGTCAGCAAGACATATACTACTGCAACGATGGTGGCCGCTGCTATATCAGCAAATCCGCTGCAGTTGGATATTCGCAGTCATAGAAAGTGTCTTGCAATCTGTTTTGTTGTTACCATCTCGAGCTTTCAATATGGCCTTGACTATGCCCTCGTCGGCGGCTTCATGGCTATGCCTGGTTTCTTGAAAGTCTTTGGCTACTACGATGAAGCAGCTCACAAGTGGGCCATTGACCCAACTGTTCAACAACTTATTTCCTCTCTGATGACAATTGGAACATTTGTGGGCTCGCTTTCGGTTGGGCCGTTCAGCTCCAGGTTTGGGCGACGACAAGGGTTGTGGACAGCATCTCTCCTAAACTGTATCGCAACAGCAATAATGATTGGAACGACGAACCTCGGTGTACTCTACTTTGCCCGCTTCGTTCTTGGTAGGCCTATCATCTATAATTAACCCGGATTGGGATAGGACGTAGCTTATACGCGTATAGGAATCTCGGTCGGCTGGTTTCTTACTTTCGCCCAAGTTTATATCAACGAAGCCGCGCCCGCCCATCTTCGAGGTATTGCCTTCGCCGTATACCAGAGCCAACTCTCTATAGGTTCCATCGTCGGGGCCGCTATCGACTATGGCACTCACACTATGCTCGACAAGGAAGCCTATCGAATTCCACTTGCCATCTTCTTCGTTGCTCCGACCATCCAGACGATTGCTATGTTCTTCTTCCCGGAGAGCCCACGATGGCTCATGACACAAGGAAGAGAGGCAGAAGCTGAGTCGGCGCTTCGAAGACTCCGAAATAGCAATATTAAAGAGAATGAGTTCCAAGCCGAGTTTGAAGAAATCCGAACTTCTACAGCGACGCAGGCAGACCAGTTCAAGGGGAAGCACCTGTGGGTTGAGATGTGGAAGGGTACTAATCGGCGCCGATCTCTCCTTTCTATAGCTGTTATCTGCTTCCACTGTGCTAATGGTAAGTGATATCTTATGAAGGGATAGAATGCCGTGCTGATATTTATGCCCAGGTTCTTCTTGGGTAGATACCCCTATAAACTTGTGATCTAGGTAATAAGACTTGACTAACCTCTCTTAAAAAGCTGAATATTTATACAACTTACTTCCTCACTGTTGCCGGTGTAAAAGAAGCATTTTCGTATTCTACCATAATAACCTGCATGGGACTCATCGGTGTCTTGACTAGCTTCTTTGTCGTTCGTTATATTGACCGTCGTGTTATTCTTCTCGTCGGAGTAGCAGCCTGTGGTTTCTGCCAACTCGCGTTTGCGATCGCTTGGACTGTGGCCCCCGGAACAGTGGTCGCTGCGAAGGTGGTCATCGCCTTTATTGCGCTATTCACATTCTTTTATGTTGCCTATGGTAAGTAAACTATTTTTATTCCAGAAACAGCTCTCGCTAACTTGAATAGCGCCCTATGCTTGGCTCCTAGGAGGCGAATTGCCTAGTAATCATCTACGAGCTCATACTTACGGTGTGGCCACCGCGCTCAACTTCCTTGGAAACTGGTTAGGTGTATTTACCGCGCCGTACTTCATCAACCCGGCCAGCCTAGGATGGAGCGCCAACTATGGGTTAGTAATAGTAATCTCATGGTTGATCTTTCGCTAACAATGTAACCTGATAGATATATATGGTTTGGATCCAACGTAGTATTGTTCCTATTCACGTGGGCTTTTATACCCGAGACGCGCGATCGAACCCTAGAAGAAATAAATGAGATATTTGAAGCTAAGGTTCCGGCTCGGAAGTTTAAGAGATATATCTGCACAGGTACGGAAGCTGTGAGGGCAGCAGTCATTGAGGAAAAGAACAGAAGCAAATCTAATGTAGAGGAAGTCACTTAGGAAGGGGAATAAAATTACTGGCATAAAATTACCGAAGTCAAATGGTACTTCAACCCCTGATACATCAAGCCCCCTTTTCGAGTATTCAAAGAGAATAAATGCGCAAGATGTCAAAGCCTCAATATAATATAATATTTAATATCTACCATATCCAACTAGTACGTTAGGTCCTTAAGCTTTGTAGGGAACTTAGGTTTCGTACCTTGTACTGCACCTTAACCCCTTTTCCCTCAAAAAAGGAGGCTTCGAATGGAATAAATACCTACATATTAAAGAATAAGTTGTAATAGTACACGGTAGGTACTTCGTATTCAAATCATGAGTCACTCCTCTTGAAAAATCTTCACAAAAGATAACACTTGTGAGTAGGTAGAAACGGTTGTAGTGACGGCCGAAGTGCCAGCTGCAGCAACGAGCAGCTGGCGGTTTTGTATCGTACCGGCGGTCACTCAGACACCGAAGCTATTATGACGGCAATAATTCCAGACCGCCCTGACCGCGCAGGCAGATAATTATTTAAACATTTCGCCCCGGCGCGAGAAGCAAGAATTTTATTTTCCCTTTACAACTCCAAACTAATAAACTAACACAACAATCAACCAACCAACCTACCTCTTATAATTTACTCATTGGTTGAGTCTCACTTCAATAAAAGAGACAACTACAACGTCCTATTTGAACCAAGGATAATTTATTCACAACCCTAAACTTACTTATACTCTATCCATGTCAACATTCAACCCTCAGCAGTTAACATTCGCATGAGAAATGCATAATACCCTCATACAGTACATGGGGTCTATAGGCAGGGCTCAACCCTGTTATCATGCCAAGCCCTGCCCTATGCCTTTCGAAACGGCCTGTGTCTGCGGAACTAGGTCGTGGGGGGTGGTGGTGGTGGTGAGAGATGCGGAATCCGGGTGAGGTTTTCGGCAGCATACTATAATCTACAATTACAACTTGTCAACACTCAACTACGAGGTAGACGAAGATACACTCATGCCTGATGCTGAGTGATACGACGACCAGAAGAAGGATGAGAAGGATGACGAATATTATGAGGACGATGAACAAGGGGCGGCAGCGAGATTATCGCGTTCCATCTGCCCTGACCTACCCATGCTCCGCCTCCTCCTTCTAATATAAACTACCTAAGGTAAGCCAACTAAACGAAACAAACACACCTTCACAAGTCATTAACACTAACATCATATTCCCCAGATTATACTTCTTAACCTCCTACTACTAATCTCACCCTCTTATTAACCTCACCACAACACGCTAAGGAGTTTCCCCAATTCGCCATGTAATGGGCTTCGGCCTCATGACATTGCATCCTGCCGCCCCCTCCAACACCTAAACTAAACTAACCTAAATCAAGCCATAATGGCTGGACCTCTACGATCTAACGGCTCATCTCAACTCTACCCGGGTACCTAAGTCACTACAGCCTCCCGCTCCCTGGGAAAGGTCGAAAATGTATGCAAGTCCCAGTCATCTCTCTCCCAGCTCAACCGCGGGGAAGGAAGACTGCTGGCTTCCAGCAGCCAGCCCCTTACCCATGCCCATAGAAGGTGGTGGCTTCGGCGGTATTCTCGTCGCAGCCCAACCCCTAATACCAGCACAATTACCAGCACCAACTGCTCTCCTTCAACAACCGGACGTCTCGATCCAGGAGAATCCGGTAGAGGCAAGGGCGGGTGTGGACCCAATCCAGATTAGGGGGCTGGCGGCTCGGCTCGGGTAACAACAACGTTAAGATGAAGGATGTTGCGCTGGACGTCTCCTCGGAATATAGAGCTGATAACCATCTACCTAGGTACCTAACCTAAGGCGCGGCTACCCAGGAGATTCGAGCTCAAGGATGTGGGGGCTGTTGGTTGGGTTGGCAATGATTAAGGAAAGGAACGAAACAAAGAAGATGACAAGGAAAGGTCCAGGAATTGATGGTTTGGTAGTTCTGTCCAGCTTACCCGCCTGATTGTCTATCCTCATGGTGGCTGGCTGGCTTGGAGAACTTTGTCACTAAACCAATAACCATTAAAGCTTTCGCCACTAAATTAATAATTATTAAATGCTTTATCATTATTTATTGCTTATTGTCTCCTGTGATAATCACAGATGCCTAAAGAACCTCTTGATTTGACATATTTTCCGCCACGCTTTTGAATGGGAATGAATTGTGTTCTTTTTAATGATAGAACAGATAGCCACAAACCCTAACCCTTTCCCAGAAACACCTACCATTTGAGATCATGCTTCTTTTTACATTGTAGGTAAGTAAGAATAGTATGTAATTTGGCTTCATTGAATTCCCAACCGGTCAGATATAAAACCAACGAATTAGTACAGACAGGTACCTAAGGAGCGATGGATGATAGTACACACCACACCTCCATCATCCCATCATCCCATCATCCCATCATCCCCTACCCCCAAAGTCCATATCTACTTCTTCCCCAGCGCAGCCTTCACAGCCTCCACCTCCTCCCCAAGCGGCAAGATATCCGGGAGCGGACCTACCGGGGTGATAGAATGGGGGTTGATCTGCGTATGACTACGCGTGTAGTGGTTCTTGATATGCAGGAAGTTGTTCGTGTCCTTGAACGCGGGGTGCTTCCAGTACAAGTTGCGCGTGTAGTCGTGCAGGCGCGGGTACCCCGATCTGATGTCGCGTATGTTGCACTTGAAGTGCTGCACGTAGACCGGGTCGAAGCGGACCAGTGTTACGAAGCTGGCTATTGTGTTAGTTACCGTTGTCAATACTCGTGCCCCTTTCCTTTCCTTTTCCTTTTTCTTCTTTCTTTTTTTTAAAAAAAGAAATAGAAAAGAAAACTTATACATAGGGGGGCATCTCTGGTGTTTCCGCAAAAAGGGGTAAGAAAAGGGGTAAGGGGTAAAAGGTAAAAACTCACAGTCTAATATCCACCTCCGTCAACGTATCCCCAAAGAAATACGGCCCCCCCGTCTCCTCCAAATGCTTCTCAGCTCTATCCAGCGCCTCAAACAGCACCCTAACATTCCTCTCATACGCCTCCTGGGTAGTCGCAAACCCGCTCTTATACACGCCGTTATTAATATCATCGTACGTCCACTCGTGCGCCTCCTCAATCTGCGGCCGCAGCGCCTCGGGGTACAAATCGACCTTGGCGAACTCTGGCGGCAGCTGCTCGTCGAACGCGGTGCCGAGCATGCGCAGGATCTGGCTGCTCTCGTTGTTGACGATGATGTTGGCTTTCTTGTCGAAGAGGACCGGGACCGTGAAGCGCCCCTTGTAGTTTGGGTCTGCTGCGAAGTATAGCTCGCTTAAGTGCGTGTACTTCTCGTGCCCGGGAACTGGATCCGGGATCACGTTTTCCCCTTCGGCGTCCTTGTCTTCTGTAGTAGCGAATCGCCATCCTGTTGAGATTTTAGTTTTCTAGCCGTGGATACATGGTTTCTAGAATCAGACATACCCTTCTCTCCCATATTCCAATGCACGCTGGAGAAAGAGATGAAGTCCTCCAACCCCTTAAGCTTCCTCGCGATTAAGGTACGCGTAGCCTATTCATAGTTAGCCTGATGGCTCGTCATATACTAATAGGTAGAGTAGCAAGAAACATACCCAGGGACAAGCATAGCTAACGTAGAGGTGATACCGACCCTTCTCAGGCGGGAACTGCGCACCAGGCTCCGTAGAAATCCAGTTACGGAACGTGCTGCTAAGACGCTTGAATTCACCGCTAGGGTCTCCGGGCTTGACCCAGTCTGTGATCTTAGAAGCCTATTCCCCAAGTTAGAAACCATTGGGAATCATCTAAGACTAAAGTCATCTCACCATCCTGATTTGCTTCACGGGATTCGATGCTGAACCCGCGAGTATGCCTTTATCCTGTTGTTGTTTCTTTCCCCAGGTCGAATTGATTCTTATATTCAAAGCTGAGTAGCTTCCTCTTAACAGTAATCTAGACTGTAGAGAAGTTGAAATCAGACGTGATGATAACGATAGCTTCGCAATACGAAAAGCTGCGAAATGAGGAGTAATTATATTCATAAATGCGGGGAACGTCGACTTGTATGACTCCCCAAACCTAAGACGCCTTTTATAGCTTTTGGGTTTGAAGCTTTCTTCGTCGAGGAACAAGGCGTCTTCAAATCAGATGTTGTAGAAATGACGTGCGCTATGTAGCTCTATTCGGCTTTGTCAGAATCTTCCCTTATTCATGGCTTATACCACGATTACGGATCGTGACGTAAAATGTTCAAGTTATCCTAGCATGATCCTAGCATGACTAATCAGCTCTAAGAATGAAGGTGGAGTTGGACGGGAGCCATCTTGGATGTGGAGAAGTTCGTTTAACAGCTAGAACGGTCAATAGAGCGGCTTGGGTAAAACTAAGTCTATTTGCGACTAATTCCCTTGGGCATTTGCGGTAGAAGTTGTAATTTAGGTAAGCTCAAAAAGCAAATCATGCACTAATGGCGCATGCTAACCCTCTCCATACAAGACATCTATCCCCATAATCCCTAAAACTGAATTAAATGCACGAGTAAAATGCACCGCACAGCGCGTGGTATACCGGGCACCTAGTCATCTAGCGGATCTTGACCTTGATGTATGGCACCTCCACGTCTTCCTCATCCATGTCCTCAGCCACCATCTCGAAGATGACCTCCGTCTGGTGTTCCGGAATGGGCTTCTTAGAGACAGTCTCTACAAGCTGACTCAGCTTGAGCGGGTATCGCTCCTTTAACTTCGCGGGCGGGAAGAAGCTGGCGTAAAGCAGGCTTACTCCCGAGCTCAGCATGCTAATGTTAAGACCACGACTTTGGAAGTCCTCCAGCAGCTCAGTTAAGGTTATATCTTCAATCTCAAATCGATCCCAAATCTTGTCCAGCGTGACCTTGCCGTCCGGTCCCTTGTATTCAACCTTAGGGCTGGCAATGGGCTCGCTGAAGCCGAAGAACGGTAGCGCGAGGTTGATAAACCCGTTCTTGAATTGCTCGATATCATCTTTTCCGTCGATGATCTTGTACAGCTCTAGGATGACAAGACCTGTGACCAACGCGGTCGTGGTGGCGATAGCCGGGATAATCTTCCCGGCGATGAATTTCGTCTTGTGTTTATCAGCCTTCTCGATCTTGTAGTTGTCAGCTCGCAAGTTGCTGGCCGCTGTGATGAAATCAATGTGGTGATTGGTGTCGTCGTCCTTCTCGAACTCAACGGGCGTCAACTTAAACCCGGCCAACTCGCTAGGCGCCGGGAGGCTATCAACGATATTCTGTATCTCGCTGTTATCGTCAAATGCCGAGGCGCTTTTGTCAGAGTTCGGATCCTAATAAAAGAGGTTAGATGTGGCTCTTGTAAAATAACAATTAATGAATTGTGTACGCTTACAGGGTCGCTATCGTTGGCCTGGATCTTGACACCCGGATCGGGTGAGAAGTCAGGAACGATCATGTTATCCAACACCTTCAGGTAGAGGTCTTTGTTCACACCCTTAGTCTTGATGCCATAGTTGAATGCGTGGAGGTTGGCAGCCGCAACGATGAAATCGAAATGAGAAGGATTCTTAGGGTCAAACTTCAATGGATCAGGGGCACGTTTGGGGCCGGACCAGAAGGGAGTACCGCTGGAGGACACGGAATCTTTCGGGAAGTTGTAAAGGAGCTGTTGGATTGCGTTATTATACTGCTTCTCGAATAGCATTCGCGCCCAGATGACGCAGTCTTCAAAGCTAAGAGGCTTATCCGTTACAAGGTAATCACGGATCGTCTCCAGAGTCGGCTTCTCGTTACCACCTTGCTTAAGTGTTGTGTCAAGATAGTTGGGCTGAGACAGATACAAGTTGACTGTTTCGGCAGACTTTACGAAGGACGTCTCGAAAAGCTCGCGGGCCCACGCGATCGTGTGCTCAATCTTGTTCGGGAAACTTCTTAGAGTGCACATAGGGAACGATACCTCTGGCGGGTCCTGAGAGGACGAGTAGGATTCAGTTAGCATAGGGAGGACCACCTGTGTGTTTCCTTTAGTGCCGAGAGTACCGCTCTCGAGAAGAGGTTTGCGGAAGAAGACACATCGTCGGTCAACGTAAGTTCGTGCTTCTACGTTGTCCAGAGCGTTTGTGACTCCATCCAAGGAATCCCAAAATTTCTTGTCGAAAATGTGCTCGGTTTCGGGGCTGACACGGTCTTTCAAGCATTCAATGTGGCCTACGAGCTCGGGGTTCATAGCCTGCACGGCCTTGGCAGCGCAGTCGCTCTTCATCTGACCAACATCCTTAGGTCGGAACAGAAATTGACGGTTCAGATTGCTCTTCTCAATCGAGTCCATGTCGGTAACAGTAATCTTACCGTTAGGTCCTACACCTAGACCAATCATGGCCCAGTTCTTGAGCATTTCGCAGCCGATTGCACCGGCACCAACAAGGAACTGTTTGACATTTGCGATCTTGTCCTGGAATTCTTTACCAAAGACTGCAATTTGACCATCGTATCGAGATCCAATTGGCTTGCAGAGCTCCTCGGTTCGGGCACAGCTAGTAGGAAGAGACTCTAGCGAGTCGAAGTAGAACCACTGCTTGATCGGATGGAACTTTCCAGAGACGGCTTTTAGAACTTCCTGCGCAGTGAGACCTCCGAACAGAGCAGCCATGGGATTAAGATCTCCCTGGGCCTGATAACTAAGTTCTTTAATAAGCTTCTCGTCGATCTCAAGGTCCAACTTCTCCTTTTCGATGAAGGCCTTGACGGATGCGACGACAACAGCAGCATCTTCCTCGTTCTTCGGTCGGGGTAGACGACCCTGGGACTGAGCAAAAGCATGGAGCGCCTCAAATCCGACATGGAGCTGTTGGGGTCGGTCGAACTTGGCGAAGTCGGAAATAACGAATTCGGGATCACGGATAGCTGCAGAAATCGTCTTGAATTCGAGGAATTTAGGCATCTTGACCTGCTGGTAGAGACCTCCGCTCTTGTACTGACCAAGCCCGGAGACATCACCGATAGAAAAGGTGTAAGGGCCCTTGACTGTCACTTTCCTCGGTTCAGCGCCGTTCAAAGCCTCCATACCCTTGACTTCGGAGAATGAAACGTAGTCGCCGTCCTCTAAGCCGTGACGGGTCTCATCTAATGCGGAAACTAGACCCTCCTCGTCGATGCCAGCTACTATTCCGTTGACTGGGTTTTCGCCGGTTGCGTCGAGGCACGTGAATTCGCTACCAAAATCGCAGAAGATCGAGCCGAACAGTCCAAAGGTATCCGCAACTACAAAGTAAATACCTTTTGAATGGCAGTAATCGCCGATAACTAGCTGAATGTGGAGAGGGGTGTTGGTTAAGACGACAGCTTGGTACTTGTCAAATTGGGAGAGGTTGTCACCAAGGCTGTTTAAGCTGTGGTTAACCCATAGTACTATCAGTAGGATGGTTGGTTATTCTACATACCCAGGTGATTCATGAATGCCGACGGGTGTATAGGCATTCAACTCGGCGACACGGGGTGCTGTGACAGAATCGCGCGGCTTTCCAACATCATTTGGGCGGAGGAAGAACTGAGATGATAGGTCGGCGATGGCAACGGGTGTGGGGTCGTAGAGGGTTAGGCTCTTGACACCAGCAAGAGCTATATTCTTGGAGATCTCGACACCAAGGCCTTTCAAGCCAACAACAAGCACGTTGGATGCGCCCATACGCTTCATAGCCTCGTGGCCGAGTACATAGAGCTGTCGGCTGTAAAGTGATTCGTCGATCTCGCTTTGGCCAACGATAGAGTTGTCGACCTGGACTCGGGTGACCAGATCGACCTCGGGAATGCCCGAAGCCATTTTGGTATCCTGTAGGCGGGTTATACATCAGCACTTAGGTATAAGCAAGCAAGCAGATAGTCATTCAGGTCTATGTATAAAAGCCATCAGATAAAACAGGGTGGCGATGGCGCACGAGGGTAGTAGGTAAAGCAGATGGTGTGTCTACTTACGGTCATGGTTCTCTTAGGGGAGAAAGGCAGATCTCCGTTCTCGTGTTTGCGCTTCCCCAGTTTGGCGATATTTGCTCTACTGGAGCTTGCTTCTATGATACCTATGAGATGCGACAACGCAGGATACGGGAGCGGAGGAGGATGTAACAGAGGTTGGACGAGGCGACGATAGGAGGATGGGAGGATCAAAATGTACCCAAATAGAAGAAACCGACAACCCCACCACCAATACCAACAACGAGGCTAGGCTGACGGATCAATCAGGCGGATAGATACGAAATGACGTAGTTGTTAACTGGCCAAAAAGAGAAGTGTTGATGTTATAGTGAGAGGAAAAGACCAGCTTTAAAAGAAGGCGGTTAGTGTTTTAAGGACACCTTTTTGAATAGGTTCGAGTTCTTACGGCGACTGCAGTTTAATGGGAAAAGGGAAAAGGGAAAAGGTTACTAATGGAAGGCAAGGTGTAGAAAGCGTAGAAAGCTCTTGCAGGTTTCCAAGAGCTAGCAGTTTGCCCGCCAGGTGCTTCCATGTCTGAGGGCGGGCATGATTTCTCAGCAAATCATGTACCGTCATGGTGGGGTTAAGTGTGGCTTATCACCCGTAAGCTTCAGGTACTTCCTCTCACAGGTACATCGGGTGTGGCGCATATGTTGGTACCTAGGAACTCCTCTTCACGTTTCCATATAAATGTTACCGCGACAGTTTATTCCATATAATAGGCACCAAGTCCCTTTTCAGAAAGGCAGCTTAGGCTCAGTTTATTTTCCATTACTAATTATAAATACCTTACCTACCTATGTAAGTAGTTTCATATCCAGGTACATGTACTACATATGGATGGATGTATATACATGTTTACCAGGTACACTTGTATCCAAGCTTAGCTAAAATTCAAAACCACGATTCTTCGAAACCTCATCGTCCTACGTGCTTAATAGTGGTGAAACAACTTGTAAGAGTATGAGAATGTCTTTCCTCAAAACATCATGAATTAACCTTGCTCCACCTGTTATACAAGCCTCCTTATCATATATTCCCATTCGTGTATACCTTCAGTAAGGAAACGAATAAATGTCTTGTCACGTCCCACGTCCTGGTTGAGATTAAACCGAAACTGTCTAGTTTGAATTCATTCCACTGAGCCTCAGATTAATACTAGAAGCTACATGTAGAATAACAGCCCATTACCCTCAGCTAAACCCCCCTTTGCAGAAAAGCGTCTAGTATACGCACCCTGTTCCCAACCCCGAATAATTATATACCTCATCCTGTATGTATAACTGGCTACTCCTTGCCTCGGTCCAGTATCCATCAATAAAACCCCAATTAAGCCTCATTAAGTAGAGTCCTCAACTCATTCTATGTTCCATAAATCATCAATCGTGCGTCGTTGTGACGGGCCTCTCGTTTAATGAGCGTGAAATCTCGGGGGTATTGAATAATTAGGTATGCTTCCTGTACCATGCAAATGCTAAGTCCCTAGTAGAACCGTTATTCCTATACCGCCGCAGTGAGCGTGAGAATGAGTAAACCTGTCCGCGCGCTGTTTCATTGACGACCTTCTGGTATCATTCCATGTTGCTAAACACGTAGTTATTAAGGCAATATGATGCTGCGGCCGAGAAATCTAATTGGCCTGAAGGATGGATGCGAATCGAATATTTATAAGGGCTTTTTTCCTTTTTGAATATTACGTTAAATATTAAGTATATCTCTGAGTGTATCAGAGGAAGAATAATAATATAAGAGCGAGGATGGAATTAGACATAGCTCCGCCGTTTAAAACGGCGGGCGCCCCAGCTGTGGAAACTGGATTCGGCGCTGTTGTACTACCCGGTACTGTAGCAGGCGATGTTACCGTGGGCGTTGCCGTAGACGCGATGCTGCTACTCGCTGATGAAGTAGGAGCAGGTGCTGGGGTCGAGTTAGATTCTCCATTGCTGCTGCCGGTGTTTGTTGTACTCGACGTCTCAGTAGAGGTGCTAGCTCTCGAAGACGAGGAGGTACCAATTTCTGAAGAGCTGAGAGAAGAGAAAGTGCTCTCCGAAAAGCCAGAAGATATGCTTCCCGAAGAACCAGAAGAAGATATACCTTCCGTTGGACTAGAAGTAGAAGAAGCTGTGCTCTTGGAAGAGCTGATAGGAACAGTTGTTTCTGAAGAGCTAGAAAAAGAAGAAGAGCTCCCAAAGGAGCTAGAAGTAGAAGAAGAAGAAGACGTGCCTTCTAAAGAGCTAGATGAAGACGTACTCTCGGGTATAGAAGATGAGCGTTCAGATGTAGAAGACGAGCTTTCTGGCGTAGAAGACGATGTGGCCGAGAAAGTTGGTGTATTTGAAACTACACCAGTCGAGGTATTCGGCGCAGCTCCACTACCTGTAGACCCCCCAGGAGTGCTTGTGACCTCTCCCTCAGGGGCACTTTGGCTCGAAGAGACGGGAATAGCGTCGAGTGTATCACAGAAATTGAGCCATTGACTCATTCGATCGTCTGGGTAGTTCTTGGTACCGGCTTGCCACGTTCCCCCGTTATTTACAATGCAGGTCTGGCAGACTCGGCGGTACTGCATGAATACGGAGCCAGTGTTGCAAAGTTGGGGTATCTTTCCAACACTCTGGGCCTCCAAAACAGCGTTATTGCAAGTGGAATAACAAGCTGATGGTAACGATTGGTCGCGTTTATTAAAAGGTAGGAATTTCCTCACTATCGCCGTTGGATAGCCCGGCTCTAGTGTGCTCGAGGGCGGATATGCCGTAATAGTCGCTTGTGATTCATAGTTGCCTGTAGAGGTCCAGGTAGTGATAGTCTTACCCGAGATGGTTTCGGTGAGCGGCTCGGGCTTGGGAGGGACAAATATATCATAGCTTAACCCGAAGGCTGGCGGTGCAAGGTTAAAGTAGCCTTCCGTAGGAGGGAAGTACCCTGTTTCGTTGTCGCACCACCGGGCAGTAGCATAAACTGGTGCTGGTATACAATAGACCTGACTCTCACAGACGTATTTTTGATCCGGAAGATCAGGCCAGATACTGCACCCGAGTGGCTTTGGAGGAGAACAGAGAGTTCCAGGCGGGCATCCCCAAGTCAAGTCGGATGAGGCGTTATAAGCAGGTACGTTGAAGGCCGGAGAATTCGTCGCCGCGGGACAGACGGACGAAGTGACGGTGGTCGGTGGTGCTGTAGTGGTAATATACTCCGGTACTATAGTGGTAATAAATTGTGTCGTAGTGAAGGTCGTAGTACTTACCACCGAATCGGTAACTGAGATCTCCGAAACGGTGAGGAACGTAGTAGTAAATACCACTGTAACGAATGATGTAGTCTCTTCAGTTGCAGTCACGGTAGCAGTGTCTGTAGTTGCTGAAGCTGAAACGGACACAGCAGTTGTCGTTAGGGTGTCCGTGAGCGTCGACAGAATGCTTGTTGTATATATCGAGATACTTGTGTAGGTTGACGTGCTGTATTCAGTCGTGGTCAGTGTTCTGTCGGATATAACCGTGGTTGGGATCTCGGTTGTGAAAGTGAGAGTAGCCGTAGTGACAGTAGGTACGAGAGATGTATAAGTCGTCGTCGTAGTCTCTATATCAGTAAGTGTAGCGGTCGTAGTCTCCTCATCGGTAGTAGTGGTTAAAGAGATAATAGTCTGGTTATTAAAACGCGTAACAAAGACAGTAATGGTTCTCGAGTCGGTCACAGTCTTTGTATCTGTCTCCGTGTCTGTCTCTGTATCCGTCACTGTATCCGTCACTGTGTCCGTCACCGTGTAACTATAACTGACAGTATCGAATACGGTAGTAGTGCCGCTTCACCAAGTGTTAGCTACATAGATTCATATATGTCCCGTAGTACTTACTAGACTGTAGTAGTTTCCGTTTCGTAGCAAATCTCCGTAGTCGTCTCCGTAGCCGTCTCAGTAATCGTTTCGTAACAAGTTTCGGTAACTGTTTTCGGTTTACAGTAGGACCAATGCGCTTCGGAGAGAGAAGCTTGCGCTCTTGTGAGCCAAGTTAGGGCGATGGCCGACAAGGCCCCAAACCGATGGACCAAAACCATTATAGCGCAGATGAGCGTTAATAAATTGACTGTTTGCGCCTCGGAATGTTAAACGAATCCCCGATTTTAGGATATGTCTTCGTAGCGAGCGTCCGTCCTTCTAATAGCGAGCGACTCTTGTATCAAGAGCGTAACGGTAAGTTGAAAGGGGAAACGACCGATGAAGTAGATTCTTTATAGCTCTCAGCTTATATCTACGACCAAAATAGATACGGGCGAGGTAACCGAGGCTTTGAGTTCCTTTCAGCTAAAATCCGAACAACTAACCGGGCGATATTTCCATCAGCTAACTAGCATGGGGCCTAGTAGATAGACTTGTCCTGGACGATTCTCTTATAATTGAACTTCAACGAACGTCGTCAGCTCAGTAACAGGCAGCCGGTATACCCCTCCTAGTTCAAAGCTAAGACGTATCCTAATTGCTTGTATAAAGAGCTGTTATCTACGAGAAATAGAAGTAGAAACGTGGTTCCATGAAAAAGAAAGCTACGGGGTAGCTCTAAAAGAGGAACAGCAGCATGGATAAGGCTGAGAGCGAGAGTGGGCGGGAACAGCAATGTTAAGACGAGCCATTGGAATCGACAGGTACCAATCTTAGTTGCATATCAAGTACAGAACACGGATCAAGTCAGGTCTGCATGCGTAAAATCCCCACGATAGTCGTGTGCAACCTAGTACCCCTGCGAAGGAAAAAAAAGCCCGTCAGCCCGCCCAGTTGCATCCCTGGGCACAATTGTGTGGAGGAGGGTGCTAGGTAATGTATTGTACATCGATGTTTGTACCACTACCCCGGACCGCCATATTCGAGTTCTCAGCTAGCCTTCACGGCGAGTAAAAAAGAATATAAATATAAAATCATCTACTCCGGGTACTAATAATCTGTCTTGAAACATTGCGAGCAACATCAGACAACGTAGAGCTCAAAGTTAGTAGGAAGGCAACTTGCAAGGTGACATACTGTGTAGAATAAGAAATTAGAGCAATACAAAAGGCACACAAACACAAAAGTGCGTGACCAAGTCCGCAATAAGCGAAGCGGATGCCAGGACGAAGTATGCAGGTTAGCAAGGCATTTGAGAGACGAGGCTCTTCTGCAACCAACAGAGACCAGCCGCACAACGCATCGGACTACTAACCTAAGTATGTACCTAACCAGGGTCTAGACAAGGGGCGATAACGGGTCAAGATATGTACTGGGCATGGGTCAGGATACGAAGGCGGGGCATGTGGTGTATACCATCGTGCATTGCGTATCGTATACTATACAACATAATAGTCTACACTTGTATGTATATAACCTCTCATTGAGGTAGTTGCCAAGCCCGAGATCGTGCGTGAGGCGGGTCTCCTGGGACGGGACTGCAAGGGTCCTTGAAGGATGAGTGGACGGATTCAATGTTTACTGCATCTTGTCACGTCTTCCATAGCCAACGGCAACGTACCCCGAGGTGAAGACCGAGTAGAGAGTGCGTAGAGTACGTGGAGTGCGTAGTACCATCGTTCGTATGCCTTAGGTAGGATTGCCACTCATTGATACCTAATAAGAGGCTTATAAAACCAGAACTTGCAGGACCGAAAGAAGACCGACTGTTGAATCCAGCCGGTACGGTAACAATGTCATCATCTTTGCCAAAGCATTAACAGATTTGATAGGCGTGCCGCTTGTTACACAAATCGGCGGTATCGAAGACTCTCTTACCTCTCAAGGTCGCTATGTAGGTCGCCGACCGATGGGCGTACTTGGTTATTTTCCCGGTTTTCCAGGCACGACATCTTGTACTTAAAGCCAATATCCCGCAATTACGGGAATCATGATGTATCCCTTAGGTTAGACTCGTTGAATCAGCTATATCTCGGTAAGATGAGATGGAACGTAGCCATGGTCGTATAATGATGAAACATTAACATATCGGTAAGGTGATTAGTAGAAATCGCCTCACACGTATACACATTTCTCGTACGAAGGATTCTTGAGGGACCGCGAGGTGTGCTCGGACAACCTGGAAGACTACACACGGGAGGTGCCCAATCTCGAGGAAGCCGGGCGGGGTAGGCCGAAATCTCGTCACTTACATACGGGTGTGTAGTACCCGTTGTCCTGTTCCAACCATGTGGGATGGATCAGACGTTAGGAGGCGCAGGTAGAATGTATCGTGGTAAGCTTACCGCGGAGATGGATTGGGTTGTAAGAATCTCTTTTGTGTAGTGATAGTTTATCGTAGTGGTAGTTTAACCGTTTGTCTGTGCAACTGTATAAGTCTCTGGAGATAATCGGGAACACCGAGTTGAAAAAGGCTTTGATACGGTAGGGTCAGATTACTTGAGCAAGAAATAAAAAGAATTGAAAATCAGTACATAAAGAGTTTAGCGTGGTGGTACAAAGGATTTTCAATAATATGGAATTCTTTTACATAACTTATTAAGGTTATAGATTACGTCTAGGTATCATGGACAGCTGTATTATTAGATAATAGATCCATAACGGGCACTACCTAAGGGATCTAACAGCCCTAAGGATACATATGTACATACATATCAGACGTTAAGTGGGGAACAAAAAGTACCTAGACCTATGTAGGTAACCTCTTAGTCGAAGTCGGGGATCGGACCGTACAATGTCTATGTAGGTTAGATAGGTAGATTTGAAAAATATCCTCTCCACTTCAACTATTCCTTTCCCTCTTTAAATACCTCTACTACTCCAACAAAGCGGAATCATCGCCAAGGTTGCAAGCTACTTTATTTATATTGTGCTAACACGGGGTTAATTTTAGTTCTTAGTTCCAGAGAGTTGGGACAGCCAGTTGTTGTCATTCCCACAGTCATACGAGTAAGACCCGAAAACTTGTTCCCTGGTCCAACATCTCTCTTCTTTCTCGGCTGGTGATATTCGGTCTAGTCCAGAGTTGCCAATATGGCTCTACCGATATCGAATATGTTCTTCATAAAAATGACTACACAGTAGGCAGTTGGATATATGGTATGCGGATTGATCAGCTCTAAATATGCGCGGACGAGTGTCCAAAGTTCCCCTCATTCTGATCCTGAAGTTGAAGTTGTCTCGACAACTCATACTACCTCGACCTAAACCAACATGGTCCTACACACCCTGCCACCATCGAGCTTGCCTGCAGCAAGGACGTGACTTCGTCCAATGAGAATATAGAAATGACATTCTCACGTTATTTACATGCCAACCGAAAGAAGTTATCTTACAAGGATGATTCTTACATGTGTGTCTCTTAATCTATGTCTTCGACATTCCATTGGAAGCTACCCCGGCCGTCTTATCCAATGTTGGGACCATCGCACATCTTATTGACTCTTACATACAGATTCTTCAATACTCTCAGCTCCAATTCTTGCGTTTTCTCTCAAGACTCGGTCCAATTGCCGTGTTCTCAGGTGTGCCTACCATGGCTCAGTTGCGTGCTATGTTGCATGATGGTTCAGGACAAGAAGAAGCATGCTAATATTGATTTAATATTGATTGTTACTTTTACGATTATTCTTGTCGACAGATAGATACTATGTCGCATCAAGCCGGTAGCATCAGCGGTCAAAGACAAGGCTGAGTCTTCGAGTGAGCTGACCAACCGGTCCAGTCTACCCGGCCACCCTCCACCCTCCACTGGTGGCCATGTGAATGCGGGAAAGTCATTCTCGGCTAGAGGCTCTCGAACCTCTGCAGGAGAGAGGCAAAACCTTAAGTTCTTTGTTCGTCTAGTTATCTATTTAGATTGATGTGCAACTATCAACCCTCCAATCACTACAGATAGAATCCCTCGGAGATTGTTTCTGCTTAGTATCACTTGACCAGCAAGATTCCAATAATCTGCCGCGAACCCGAGTAGCTTTGAGAGATCTTTTTGTTCCGTCACGTTCTGACTTTATTCTACCGAGCTTTTACGCCCGTGGCCACCGCGTGGGCCTCGTTCGCTGGCTATTCTATACAAAGAACGGTTCCCTTCAACCTTCCAGATTCGTCTTGATCTTTATTTCCTCGGCCGTCACCTTAAGCGACAGATCCCTTAGGTGTTAGTATCTTGGCAACCCAAACTCAAGGCTGTCATTGATTCTTAGTTCTATATTGTACTAAGTATTTCATTGTTGTGGCGACTTCGCCTCAAGTTGGCCTGATGGGCGTCCAACCCGCAAATTCAATCCCTGTCGCGAAATGAGCCTCACTCATATTTTCAATTCTCTCCTCAACTAAACCATTTGCCGTGTTTTTCTTAATCGGCAAACATAGCAACAAGACACGATGCATCGGTCTAGAATATCCTGGTTGCTCTTTGCCATGAGATGGCTGACTGTATCTGGCCAGCTTTCAGGATGGATAGAGAATCAGCAGAACGCAACTATGTGTCTATGGGACATGTTTCGAAGTAAGACTCTATTGTAGCCTGATTTATCGCAGATCATTAATACTCGAGTAGTTGCTACGCTCGGAGATACAGTCTATATAGATGGCGGCCAAATATACTGGGTTGCAGGTCTTACAGATGGATCAATAACGCAAGTGTCAGATGGTAAGGTGTATTACAGTATATCTTGTCCAAGTACGTTGCATTCTAACTATTTATCTCTAGATAATCTTCTAGGTCGAATCTACAAGTTCAACTTTAGTACACCCTTCAACACAAGCACAAATTTCTCGGAAATTCTTACCCAAGACACCATAGCAACAGGCCCTAATGGTGACGCTGCGAACAATTTAGCTCCTAATTATTACGGCGGAGCATTACTCGCCAATGATCATGAATTCTTCACATACGGTGGCTTAATAAGGTTAACTAGTGAAGAATCACCGCCAGATGCCGATGCGTCGGTCGAATATGTGGCGTCGCTATACGGAGCCGATAAGCCCAGTTTCAATACGGGGCTCCGTTATAGAGAGCTCTCTGACGGCGTGACTCGATATGTTACGAACGGGGGCGCGGCCAGTGCCCCGTCTGAGAATAAGGCATGGTTTTTTGGAGGGTATCGCTCAGAATCTTTTGGTCCAATTTACACCGGTGCTCTTAGTGAAAATGTTACAGCGTCAAATACGTCAGATTACCTTATTACTCTGGATATGGCCACCCAAACACAAGAGACTTGGGGTAACACGACTCTCGGTCAACATACCCCAAGTCGTGCGGACCCATCCGTAGTCTGGGTTCCTGTTGGTGAGCAAGGCATTCTAGTAGTAATGGGTGGTGTTACGTACCCAGGATACCTAACCGCCGATATGCACTCTACGAATGAGGCGCAAAGTGTAAGTACATCCCTTAGGTTTCTGAAGATGATGTCACTAACTTGCTGGTAGAAAAAGGACGGCCCAGGCTTCATGAGAAGTATTGATGTTTATGATGTTGCGAGCAAAAAATGGTATCAACAGTCAACCGATGGTGCTCCACCCCAACTTGCAAGGGGATGCGCGGTAGTTGCCCCTGCTGAGGACTACTCAAGCTTCAATATCTACTATTACGGAGGTTATGATGGGCTTGATGATGGAGGTCAGTTTAACGACGATGTATGGATCCTATCGCTGCCATCATTCATGTGGATGAAGGTATATTCCGGCAAGCCCGAACATGGTCGGGCTGGTCATCAATGCGTTATGCCTTACCCAGACCAGATGATAGTCATTGGGGGCCGCCGAGCAAATGTAGGCACGGGTGGTCCTTTATGCCTCGATGGTGACCCCCCGGGAATTCTCCAAGTTTATAACCTCACGGAAAATCAGTGGATGGATTCATACGACCCGACTAGCTGGAATTATTATGGGGTTCCTCCGATGATTCACGCTATGATAGGGGGTGACGCCTCTGGTGGTGCAACTGTGACTGCCCCGAGTGCCTCAGGCTGGGAGGATCCTGAACTTGGGAAAGTCTTCGCTACTGCATATCCCACATCAAAATTGACTACGTACTACCCTTACAGCACTGTTGGCGCTGGTCGGGGCATCTACGAAAGCGACGGAGGAGGAGGAGGAGGAGGCACACCTTCTTGGGTAGCACCTGTATTGGGTGTAGTCCTTGGCCTTATATTTGTCACGGCAGTCGTTGTTGGGATTATCCTGTATAGGAGGCGGAAATATTTGAAAAAGAACAGTAGCGAGCCCTCGACTGATGAAAATGGCACCAGAATCTTATCCTGGATACAAGGCCAGAGCAATGGTAAGGCAACAACGGTCACTACTACTGACGACGCCCGCACTCAGTACGACGAGTTGGAAAGTCGAGGCATTACACCTGCGCGGTCACCTCCCCGGCCAGAAATGGAAATGGTCACTGAGATGCCAGAAACGTGTGTTGCAGAGCTTCCAGGTATGTTCCAATGCTCGCTATGATAGCGGGTTTACCTACTAACTTAACTCTTTTATAGATACTTCGCCCAGAGTTGAACTGGCAGGAGACACATATGCCAATTTGGGCATGGCACCTATCATCGGGACGAATGAAAAATCGTCTCTCGCCTCAAACCCGCAAACTTCTCATACTCCCAATCCAATCATCACACCAACCAACCAACCCGGACTTAACTCAGCCCAGGAGCTCTCCACGGGTATTACCTCCTCTCGGCCTCCGAGCTACGTCGCTCAACGACCCGACTCTCCGCCCCTAGGCAACACTGAAGCCCGTTTTGACTCTATCGCTCACGCCATCACTACGGATGTTCCCACAACCGTGACCCCGAATGCCGGCGCCTTTACAAGCCGAAAGGTAACCACCAGTGGTTCAAGCGGCATCAGCGACGCATCGACAGACAGCCAGGCCACGATACCGGCGCCAGCGCCGCCACCAGCATCATCGCACCATGTCATCGAATCGATCCCTGAAGCAAGCCCCCCACTATCTGTTAGTCCGCCGAGCGTCGCAGGTGTAAATGGGGCCCCCGAGCCTCCCGACTACGTGAGCGTATCTCAGCCCACAGCGACATTAGGTACAACAAATGCGGGGAACTCACGGCTGAGCGTGTTCCACGAGAACGAGGATGACCTAGATGAAGGCGAGAAGCGGTGATGAGTCGAAAGAACGTGCTCTACCTTCGGTAGGAGTTGTGCCCAGAATACACGACCTAGACAGGCACACGATAAGATCGGGGGTAAAAGAATCATATCGGAAATCACGCATACGGGCGGGGGGGGGGGAAGGAGAAGGTGGGAATCATATTTTCTTTTAATGAAGTTCAACTACACTGCTCAACTATAGATACCACAGCATGGGAAACACCCTGGAGGGAAAAGGACGGGATACGCCGGACTGGATTAGAGCCAATGCTCCGTATATAACTACCTGAAGATGTTCCTAAGTAGGGACTCGACGTTGGCACATATCATCTTGGATATAGGATAATTACCTACCTACCCAGGTACCTAAGACACACAAGTGGAAGCAAGGGGACGATGCATGACATGAATTTTACAGTATAGTATAGTATAGTATAGTATAGTATAGTATAGTATAGTGGTTGACGGGTCAATCAGTCGCTAAATCGATATTTCTAATGATAAACGTTAATTCGGTTGATCAGTTCCTTCATTTAAACTACTATGACTGCGGGTTTGAGAATAGTTTCATTTTTCATTATTATCTATTATTCTTGTACAAGTTAGCAGTCTGTCTAAGAGTCTAAGGCAGACAGACCAAACAAGTAGGTAGTACGCCATGGAAAGCCGTAGTTCAACACGTCCCTAGACTATACCCACGGTCAATCTAGCCAGAGCCTAGGTCTACACCTACATAGGGACATGTCCATTGCAAAGTCGGATGCGTTCACTTCCATGCTACCTAGTAGCCCCTTACTAGATTCCCCCTTTCCCAGGCCTGTAGGATTTGCCCCCCCCCCACCCGTTTGTCCGACGACAATGCGCATGATCCGCTCGATAGTCATGGCACATCTTGGCTTCAACAGCAAACATTGACAAATACGAGTAGCAGTCCCGTGACTAAAGGCCGCACTCTACCGCACTCTTGGCTCTATTGCATGCAACAAAGGCATATTTGAATCAGCCCTTCGCTTTCTCGATAGCTCCTATCGCCGCGTCCATTTCTATTATCGGAGCATTAAAGCCGACTGCTTTGTGCTCGCTTATTATGGCGAAAAACGTAGACAATAGTTTATCAACCCTTCTTTCGACCTGGCTTCCCTCGACCTCGCCCACGGGCAGCCCGACCTCTAGTGGCGGCGCCCCCTCTACTAGATCTAGTAGTTGGGGCAGCGTCGGCTTCTTCCTTCTCACTTTCCTCTTCCTCTTCCTCTTCCTCTTCTTCGCTCTCATTTTCTTCGACTTCCTCGTCGTCTTCCTCAGGTTCTTCTTCGACGTCTGGCTCCACGCTCTCTGCCTTCGCCTTCGCCTTCGCGGCAGCTCGCTTCTGGCTCCTAGCACCTCTTGCAGTTGGCCGACCTGCAGGACTACTGGGGAACGGTGTCTCTTGATCGGTGTCGTCGATGGTGCTGGACCTTCGCGTCTTCGTCGTGGTACTACCAGCAATGCTCGCCGCATCGGCCGTGGCGTCATGCCCACCTCTAGTGCTGCCACGCTTGCGCTTTCTACCAGAAACCGCGTGTTTTTCGTGAGCTTCCGCTTCTGCATCCGACGGGGCCGACTCTTCACCAGGTCCGGCGGCAGCACGGGCCCACATGAGATCATGAAAGTCATCCGCAGGTAGGTCGAAATAATTGTACTTCTGCTCAGGAGGCTCCTCATCTTGGCCTTCGGTTTCGCCCTTAACGTAGTCGAAGGAGTTATCGCGCTCGTCTATGGCATCCATATTGTAGAAAAGCCGCAGTTTGTTCCATATACATGGTATGCGCGTGTGCGTCTCGACGTCCGGATCGAACCCATGGTTGCGGAGATGTTCCGAAATAGAAATCATGCGAAAGTGTTTATGAATTCCTGTAGACAATTAGATGGCAAAATTGGAGTAAGATCCATAACTGCGCTGCGCATGGTGCGTACCCGACGGTTTCCAGCGAATAACTGCTTTAAATAGGGAAGATTCCTGATCGTCGGTCCAGAGGTTGTTGAGGATCTCAGATGGCGGAGGTAAATTAGGCTTGGAAGCTGTAGGAGTATCGGCGGCTCGAGGGGTATCTGCAGCTTGGGGCGTGTCGACATCCATGGCGTCGTCATCGCGCGCGGGAGTCGACGACGCTTTTGGCGTTGACACCTCTGCCAAACCGCCGGCCTTAGATTTTCTTTTAGGAGGCATACTGGCCTTCTCGGGAGGAATTGGTTATAAAAATTCTTCCGGTATGGCCTTATTCTAGTTTAATCAAGCTGTCGCCTAGTAGGAATGTATGCCACGAAGTTAATATATAGAAAAAGTGAAGCTGTTGAGACACGGTAATAATTGTTAAATTTAAATCAAACAGAACTTTAGCTAACTTTGGAGTAGCTTTCGATAAGAACCAGGGTCCAAGCTGTGCCCACCATGTATAGTGTACCTAGGTACTAAGTACATAGGTAAAGTCTTGCGCTAAGACGATCTGTGGCTTAGAAGATCGCGGGGCAGGCGCGTTACCTAAGGTTCCAGTTAAATGGCGTGGCTTATATTGAATGACATAGGTACCTAACAGGAGGTACCTAAGCTTTAACGCCGTTTATCGTTTACGCGTTTGGTACTAAGTACAATACATGATATATCGATAATCTTCCAATTACTTGACCATCTCATGATCCTGACGGCCAATATCCCAGGATCTCACATAGTTCCTATGGAAATGCTCTCAACCAAATACGCAAATGAATCCTATACTTTCTAAGCCAACAAGATGGCGGATGAAGACTTTGCCGACGTATTCGCATTTCCAGATTACAACTTATCTTCAAAGTTGTTAACGCTTTCATCAGGGTCGGATAGCCAATTCTTCAATACCGACCTTCCAGGTTCCAATAAGTCGGCTGAAGGCCATGTTACCGTCAAGCCCGCCAACGCAGACGTCGATGGGTTCTTCAAGCTGCCTGATTCACTACTACCTATAGATCTCAATGGGATTGATGAGACAGACTACCAGATTGCCCCCATTCCCGAAACACTTCATGACGTAAATTTGCATGACCTCGATGTGTTTGACGATTCGTGGCTTCTGAAGGACAAACCAGCACAAGTTGAATTCGAGTACAAAACGTGGGACGGTTTCTTGGTGCCTGATACTCCTCAGCCGGCACCATTATTTATTACCGAAGCCGGGCCAGGAACATATGACGCTGTAATTAAACATACAGAAGATCCCCTCGGTATTGGGAATTCTGAGAGCAATGTTATTCAAACTAGCCCGTATCTTACAGCCTTGTTAGGCCTTGCGTTTGGCAGAGGCTCGGTCTTTTTCACGTGGGACGAGAACAAAGCTTGTTTCATTCCCAATCTAGACAAGATGAGAATTTCAGGTTACTCTTTACAAGTCCTACAGGGCCTTCAGCAGTGTTGTCTAGAATGTGGAAACACAACTCGTTTTCTTTCAACCTATGTACAAGCCATATATGAGACGCGGCCGGGTGCAGTCAGGGTTGCTATCGCGAAGGCCGTGGATATGACTTTAATGACTATTCAAAAGATCCTCGGAGCTAGGGCGAGACAAATACGGTCTCTCCTACAGCTGAAGTCACTTATCCAACCCATCCAGACAGTGCTCGCATATTTCAAAAACTTGATATTGAATGTTTCGAAGACAAGGACCGACGAGCAAGCATTATCTCTCATCTTCGAGGAAGCTCAATCACTAGAGCATAGCAATGCGCTCTTGAGCGTAGTTATGCGTGAAGTCCTATCACGTGTCTCTACGCCTTGGACTCAGTTCGCAGAGAAGTGGATAGGGGTTCGAACCGAAACAGGGGTACCATTAACCAAAGAGGATCCCGGGAACAGCTTTATCAAAGTCGGAAATATTCAGGTCGTAGACGATTTGGGATTTGAGGCCGACGAGCTTGATTACATCCTTGATGAAGAGCGTATGCCAACGTTTATTCCGAGCGAGGTAGCTCTAGTTATGTTCGAGACCGGCAAAACTCTACGGCTCCTCCGCACACATCATCCAGAACATCCAATCTGCCAGATAGAGCTTATCATCAAAAGCAATCCTCCCCTTCTCCAATGGCACTTCGATTGGAAATCCATAGAACGATTTCAAGAAGACGTAAAAGCCTACGAGAAAAGCCTGTCCAAAAGTCTACATCATCAGCCTACAGGGGGAAGTGCTATATGCCAACTAACGAGCTCGACTGATAGTTTGCCAGATGGGAACTATACTTTGCAGTTTTTCGGGCACGGAGAAACAGAACTTGAAGGACAATTACTAGCTTCCATTGCAGCACTCGATAAACCACCAACTACAACTTCCGGGGAAGACAACTTGGCAAGATTGCTTAACGACGACTTATTCAAGACGGCGGCCATTGTCGAGCAGGAGATTTCTGACTTCTCACCGCATTGGTCATTAATACCATATTATTCTTTCGGGCCGCTCGTTGCAGCACAAGCACGAGTCATCAATCGGGAATATATGAAGTTACTCTTCGGTGCACATCACCTACGCGATCATTTATCCCTGCAGAAGCAATTTCATCTACTCGGAAACGGCATGTTCTGCAGTCGCCTTTCCCACGCATTATTTGACCCTAACCTTGACACTGCTGAACGACAGATGGGTGTTGCTCTCAGTGGTGGTACAATGGGACTTCGCTTGAGTGGAAGAGATACTTGGCCTCCGGCCAGTTCGGAACTTCGGTTAACTTTGATGGGGGTTCTAGCAGAAAATTTTCTGCCCTCGTCACCTAAGACTGTTCCTTTCATAGATGGAAAATATGATCTACCCGGCGACATTAGCTTTGGTGTACGAGATCTTTCGAGCGAGGAAATCGACAAATGCTTAGACCCCGGCTCGCTGGAAGCATTGGACTTCCTTCGGCTCTCGTATAAGCCTCCTGCTCCTCTCTCCCCTATTTTTGCTCCGGTGATTCTACTCAAGTACGACAAAATATTTAGATTGTTGCTTAGGGTGCTCCGAATGCTCTATGTTGTTGAACAACTCTTTCGAGATACTCTTGCGAGAACATCCAATTGGTACAATATCGGCAATACTTCAATACGGTTTCGCTTTGAAGCACATAATTTCGTTACAAGCATAAGCTCTTACTTCTTTGATACGGGCATTGAGATGCCATGGAAACAATTCGAAACCCGACTTGCAGATATAGAAGATAACCTTTCAAAACTAGACCTTGATCCCCAAGACGCACGCATTCTCAGCCCAGACGAGCTACGAGAAGAACACGAACGACTACTTGATCACATCATGCATACATTGTTGCTTAGAAAGCGACAGCAGCCGGTTATGAAATTACTAGAAGATATTTTTAGTATTATTCTGAAGTTTTCCAAAGTAGCCCGCTTAGAGGCATCAGGTAACAAGGAAGGCAAAACTCGGGGCTTATCGCCAACAAGTCTTTACGATACCTTCAAGAAGAAGGTAGACATTTTCATAACTGTATGTCGCGCTCTCCAAGAGAAGGGAGGTCTTAAAGGGAAACCGGCCGCAAACGATATAATGGCGGATGATGGAAGACGTGGTGAGGACGTCAAGGAGGAGAATACCATTGATAAACTCTTGATCAAACTTGATATGTCAGGTTATTACGGGCACATGAAGAATTGATTAAATACAAACATAAGATATCCTAAATGAATAAGATTCCATGATAATTGTAGTTTGACATTTCATCTCCCCCCTTTTTTTAGCCCCTTAATTGCTCACTCACTTTTAAGTACACCCATAAAGTACCTGTATGTACCTATGTACCTTGGCAACCCCGCATCGCGTTCCTAACGCGCAACCACGAACCCCACTACTCAAATCAGCAAGAGGTACGAAGTACGTAGGTACATGTAAATTGTGTCCTTCAGCGCATAACAATTTACTTGGCTCCATCCTTCAACTTTTTATTCCCACATGCCAAATCAACAACATGTCTCGACCTGGGCCGTCCTCAGCAAGGAATTTAACCTTGACGGAGGAATTGGAGAAATTAGAACAGTCAATTACCCTCACGCTACAAGAAATTGACCACAACTTCAATAAGGCGCACCGAATTGTCACTACCAGCATCCTACCTCTCGTAGAGCAATATGGCGAGCATTCAAAGGCTGTTTGGGAAGCGTCTAAAGTATGTGCAGGTTTACAAGCAGCTCGTTATACACTTGTTGGGTTACTGACTTCCCTGTTTTCTATTATTTTAGTTCTGGAAGCAATTCTTCGAGGCATCCGCCAACGTGTCTCTTTCCGGTTACGAAGAATTAGCCGGCGATGACGAGACTACTACAGCTGAGGAGACGGCTCTAGAGGACACGACATCTAACTATAACGACGCTACTACCGAGGAAGACACAACCGTCGAGCAGTCGGGTTATGCCGAGCAGCACCAGGAGCAACACGACATGCCCGATGATTCCATCCTTGACCATGCCGAGATAACGGGAAGCACACCACGGGCGCCGTCTACGAAATCACTACCGCACATGAAAAAACCACAGTTTGCCGACTTCGAGTCGCCCTACGAGAAGCTACGGCGCGAACTCAAAGGCGAGAATACTATCTTTAAGGACGATTTGCTTGCCGATGACGACGACACCTTAGAACTGCCAACCCACACGAGGACAAGCAATCAGTCGAGGCTACCGGATATGTCGATGACACCACGTTCTTCATCCTTACTAGAAGAACCAGCACCCAAGTCTGCAACCAGCAGGCACAAGGACCCGTTACTACACCGTATCCTCGACAAGAATTACCGACTTCAGGCTACTCCGCACAAAACCGTTGCCTTGCCGCCACAATCGCGCGGTCTTCGTGGCAGATCCCCCGCCAAGCCCGCCGAAGGAGAGGAAGACCGGACACGCAGGGCACTGTGGGCCGAGAGTCCGATGAGCTCGCCCGAGATAGCGATGCCGAAGCTGCGGAGCGACTTGTACATGTCGCCTATACGGCTAGCACGAGGCCGTCCAGCCATAAACGATGCTCCAAGAACACCAGGAGTCAGTGTGCAGACTCCGGGTACGGCAAGGAAGACGAGAGATATCTTCGCCGAGGCTAGGGATAGGGAGCTGAGTAAGGGTAAGGCCAAGAAGGATCCAGATGAGATCAACTGGGACAGTGATGACGATGACGATTTCGGTGGGATGAGCCCGCCGAAGACGATTCAGTTTGCGCTGCCGCCGAGTAAGCTCATGCAAACACCCGGTAAGTCGAATTCTTCTTTTTTCTATTGCTATAACTCCTTCACGAAGTCTATATAGCTGTAAGATATACTAACAGGAGTAAAAAGCACGAGAGGCAAGCAGGCGGATCGTCGACGATATTCTAATCACGGCCGGCGCGGCACCGGAGGATTCGTCCGAGTACAGCCCGACGATGGTCAAGATGAATCAAGATATCTTGGACGATACGTTCTAAGACACGGAAAAGATGTTGTCGGCAACATACGTCGACAAGACCAGGCCAGGTCCCGGAGCAGTATTTATTGTTTATTGTTATCATAGTACGAGTAGGCACCTGGACAAAACGGAAGATACCCCTTTATTTGTTACTTCCTATTCCTACCATGTTGCGCCGTTGCTTGTGCATAACTATACCAAAATATTTCCTCCCATTCTAAGAAACATGTATCGTGTTCATCGTCCATCAATCCAGAGATACCAGTCTTTCTTGCCGGAACGTGGTCCTCGTCATCCCATCTACATCCCCTTATTTCTCCACCGAAATAACCATTAACCAGCCATCTCGACAAGACAAACAGGGAGTTCCATGTGTAGTGTAGTAGAAGGGCTTAGAAGTTCATCCTGACTTGGTTCCGTTGCGCGATCCGGTTCAACTCGGCTTGAGTAGGGCTAGAGCTAGAGCCGGAGCTGGAACCATCGGGTTTGCTCGACTTGCTTGAGGTGTGCTTCTTGAACAAAGCTTTGGCGCTGCCAAATGAGCTTGTGGAGAATACAGAGGCCGTGTCGGAGGAAGCAGGCTGGGCCTTTTCGACGTCGACGCCGGTTTTATCTTGTGGTTGGCTCATGGTGTCTTGTTATGCGTGGGTTTGCTTGTCTGCTGTTGAGGATGATGGGGTTATTCAGAGTAGACAACCGTGACTCTGGTAGATGTTTCTGTCGGGTAGAGAAGTGAGAAGAGGTAGCCGTCTAGGTCCGAGCCCCTTGCAAAACTAAGCTACTTATTTGCCTAAGGTTGGCGTGATCGGATGCCGCTTGCTTATTGATGATCTGATATCTAGAAGACGAGAAATATAGTTGTTGGACAAGAGGGCGGGGGGCATATTATATATTGGATACATGTACACGATCGATATGTCCATGTATAGGTATGTAAGTCACACCCTCTATTACATCGCGGCATACTACCGCTTTAGGTAATGTATCTCACATTGTAACAAGACAAAGTACCTAGTTTTGGATACTAGTCAATGACTATAAATATTATCCCGTGTGAGTTATCTAAATCCGGGATCATTGAATATAAGGATAAGATGATAATAGTTGGGTTGGGTATAGGCAATGAATAGTCTTAAGAATTCGTCACCTCGACTCGACCTATTAGACCTTAAGTGCTGACGATAAATACCTAGTATCTGCACTCCTAGTAAAGCACCTAATAAAGCACCTAATAATATAGGTACCTACGTAAATAGACCTCGCGTACATAGTATACTTTATAGACGAGTCTGTTCTAGAAACTCAGCTTATCCCATTCCTATTCGAGTACATATCCGAACACCGAGCCCCATGTAAGCACACATTATTATTATCAAAGACCACCCAAGCCCAAAGGGAAAAGACTTACGAAGCGAGCCATTGGAAACATTGCTGCCTTACAGAACTTCGTCCTAATCCCTTCCGAAGAATACATCATGTAAATGTTGCCTATTCTTTTTTTTTCTCGACCGGGGCCCCGCAAAGCATACGCGAGTCGGTATCGTCGGCTCAGCCTCATTAAGACTACCTAGATAGGCAATATTATTCGCATGCATTAGCTCGTCAACAAAACAAAACAAACCTAGTCTTTCCGCACGCAACGTCATTTCCCGCCCTGACTCACTCGCTAGGTTAGTAGCCTTGCTAAAGCTACCTACCTATTTTCTTACGACGGAATCTAGAGTTGCCGGGTAGACTACCCAAGGCGCCGATTAGAATCCGCGTCCGAGTCTGTGGGCCTCTGCTTTGGTGTAAGTGCCTAGGTCAGGTAAGACATGCAGAACACGTATAGCACTGACGACATTTGAATCCACCGTCACGATGCCTTTATCTACCTGGCGTTACATATTCCTTCTTGCGCAGGCTAGTCTTGTCTATTTTCTCTTCGCTTGATAGGGCTTATGTATTATAGAAAACTAGCTAAACAGGCTTGTTAGACTTGCTGCTCATTGATAAGGCGATATTAATAACCCCAAGTTCTCATTATAATGTTAAGACTTATATACCTAAAGTATCTACTTTGGCAACACGTAGAATATATAACTAGGCTATTATTTCTAAGTTGAATAAGAGCAAATGCTATATTGTTCACTCTGGTATCATACGAAGAGTTCTTTCTTATCTATTGCCTAGGTAGTTACATGAACCATTCTAATATTTCGAATTACTTAGTAAAGATGGGTGATCATACGAGATAAACGGTCTTAGCATGATACTTCAACCATCGCTACATGCACGCGCTAGGATATCATGGTCAAAGATATATAGGCTTTCCTTAGAAGACACTCTAACTTTAACTATCCTTGACTATAGGGTTGGTATTTGGATAGGAGTAACATGGGTCTGCAAAGACTAAACTTGAACTCTATAACTATGCAAGTTTCGTCTGATCTATGAAACAAGCAAATATTGTTTAAGATATATAGTCGCTAGGCTATAGACAGTACGAATATGAATACCTAGATATTCATCCGGCTTTTTGAACTTGAATCCATTATAATCTCCTTGTTGAGTGTAATACTTGCCCCTTTCAATATCAGACAGATGATGATAACATTCTGCTAAAGCCGAGGTCATGGTTGTTCCATTATACTATACTAACCTAGGTTACTTGGTAAAGGCATTTTGAAGGAATGACATACTAGATATGCCATATGAAGACGTTATGTAGATAGCGGGAATGATCGACATAGCGAATTCTGCATCAATTTAACCTTCCTTCCGCATTCTGGCGATCTGAACCTTAGGCCCTTCGTATTCGTATTCCAGCTGTTCGCGACCTGCAAGCTTGGGCCACGAATTGAGGAGCGGTGAATGGCGGAATGAAAACTTCTAGCTTCGATGATTGGCCAATTCCAAAGTAATTAAACCTGTCCTGGGCGCTGTAGCTCTTCTGAGGTGACTTGCATTGCATCACCTCAGGACAGGGGCATCTTTGTCATTTTGTCAACAAAAACGCTCGTGGAATGAACTGATATGGATATAATAGACGTATGTGAATGATCTGATGGGCTGCCGTGCTGCCATGCTGCCATGGCAGACTCGACATCGTGCCTCTTGATAGGATGAAGACGATAATCCTCGTACGTTTAGCGTCGAGATGCGCGCAGGTACGCGCTGTTGTGGATACGTAATATTGGTTTTTTCTTTTTTCTTTTTTCTTTTTTCTTTGCGCGAGGCAAATTAACTTAACTGATACCTATCCATGCTATGTAGGTACCTATGTATTCCGTAGATAGCAATGTCAAAGTGAAGAAGGCTAGCTCCGCACATGAAGCATACATAGCGCTCTAAGCACCTAAGGCTAACGGGCTAGGTACCATATGTAGACCGAACGGCGTTGCACTAATCGAAACAGGTATTGTACTTGCTGCATGCGTTCCAACTAGGCATGTACATCATGTATGTAACTGGCCCCTGCTTAATCACACCTGTATGTAGTACTTTCCATGTGGGATTGAGAAGGGGGAGAGGTAGCTTCTGTAACGTTCAATACTACCTATGGGTACATACCTATGTACCTAAGGTATGTAGAGCAAGAGCAAGCAGCGTTGGTGCATGTATAGTGTAGATCTGGATTAACCAATCAGCAGAGGGCAATGGTATTCTATGTACATAGACATGACCGTTGAATGGCAATAACGCTTGAACGCTACCTAGTACTCTTGGAAACTTAAAACTGGGCTCGTATGAGTTCATACGGATTACAAGTAGGTACCGAAGGCGCGGATATCGCACTATCCGTGCATAAGATTGCGGGAGTAATGTCGATTGCAGGGGTGTGAACCATTGAAAAAAGAAGGGTTCAATGTTCTGTCCGATAATCAAATATTCCCAGTCCAACAAATTTTAGTGGGTTTCTTTAGATTTCCTGCAAATATCCACCACCACCTCGCTCCTCTTCACCCCTTTCACCTTTTTTATCTTAGGTCAACTTCTTTCCCGCGTCGAAGGGTTGTCGCCGTCGCCGTCCTTTAATTCTGACCTCCTCCCCCTCCATTCTTTCTCCTCTGGTGGATCTCGGGATATACTGGGCGCTTCTCCCACGACTACCTTACACAGAAGATCTCGGCGCAATATTACCCTATACCAAAAGCAGCCTGATACAATTCCCGCCGGCGGTCACCATGGCTGCGAATGCGACGAGTTTCACGTCGCCTTTGGCCGAATTTCCGGTCGGGGGCCTGCCTCCCCAGGTTGACTATATGGTCAACACCATCGCAAATGCGAGCGTTATGACATGGGTGTTTACCCTCATTGCCCTAGCTGTCGCGTATGATCAGAGTACGTATTAGTAACACCCTGGAGGTTAGTTCTAGACAGAACCGCGTTGGCTAACAGAAGTCTAAACAGTTAGCTATTTCGTGCAGAAGGGTTCCATCGTTGGACCAGCGTTCAAGCTGCCGTTCATGGGCCCTTTCCTAGAGTCTCTCAACCCCAAATTCGATGAATACAAGGCGAAGTGGTACAGCGGACCCCTGAGCTGTGTCTCCGTCTTCCACAAGTATGCGCCTTTTCCACACCACGTCTTGTCGAGATTTATTAACATGGTGCTAGGTTTGTTGTGATCGCTTCTACCCGCGACCTGTCTCGTAAAGTCTTCAACTCGCCGACATACGTAAAGCCATGCGTTGTTGACATTGCCACGAAAATCCTCGGAGAGGATAGCTGGGTGTTCTTGGATGGAAAGGCCCACGTTGACTATCGCAAAGGCCTGAATGGTCTCTTCACCCGACGAGCTCTCGAAAGCTACCTGCCCGGCCAGGAGGCTGTTTACAAGCAGTATTTCGCTAGATTTCTCAGGTTGACAAAAGAGGCCGGAGGAAAGCCCATCCCTTTTATGCATGAGTTCCGTGAGCTTATGTGTACCGTCTCGCTTCGAACGTTTGCTGGATATTACATGCCCGATTCTGCCTGTAAGAAGATTGCCGATGACTACTACCTGGTTACCGCTGCTCTCGATCTTGTCAACTTCCCGATCATCATTCCCTACACTCGAACTTGGTACGGCAAGCGAGCTGCGAGCATGGTCATGGACGAGCTTGCTAAATGCGCTGCTAAATCAAAGGTTCGCATGGCTGCTGGTGGTGATGTCACCTGCATCATGGACGCTTGGATCAAGGATATGATTGCCTCCAAGAGATGGACTGAAGCTACCGAAAAGGGTCTCTCAACCGAAGGCATGGTGAAGCCGTCGCCTATATTGCGCGATTTTAGCGATATGGAAATTGCTCGAACTCTCTTCACGTTCCTTTTCGCTTCCCAAGACGCTACCTCGAGCGCAGCCACCAACATGTTCCAGGTCCTGGCCAACCGACCCGAGGTTCTAGAGCGCGTTCGCGAGGAGAACTACCGCGTGCGAAACGGTGACATCCATGCCCCTGTGAATCTAGATCAGCTTGAGTCGATGACATACACCCGCGCAGTCGTCAGGGAGCTTCTCCGATGGCGTCCTCCTGTCATCATGGTGCCCTACAAGGCCAAGAAGGCTTTCCCCGTTACCGAGAACTATACCGTCCCTAAGGGTGCCATGATCATCCCAACTACGTATGTGGCTCTTCGCGATCCCGAAGTGTACGAGAACCCCGACGAGTTCGACCCCGAACGATACTACACTGGTGACGCGGAGGAGAAGGGTGCCAAGAACTATCTTGTTTTCGGAACCGGACCTCACTACTGTCTCGGTCAGCACTATGCTCAACTCAACTTGGCTCTTATGATCGGAAAGGCCTCGGTTGAGCTCGACTGGAAACATCACGCAACGCCCGACTCAGATGAGATCAAGGTGTTTGCGACCATCTTCCCCAAGGTATGTTTCGCATATTCCGTATTCCACTTGGAAGTGTTCAAAGCTAATTATTATTAGGATGATTGCCCTCTAACGTTTGAAGAGAGGAAATGGTAATGTCCTTGATTGGGAATGACATTAGCATGAAAAAGCTTAGGAAGGGCCATGTTGCCGTATAACGAAAGGGACGAAAGTAGAATATAATAATAGTAATACTGGTCTTGTATATAAGCTATGGCCGGGGACGTCGATACCAACGACTGTTAGAATGCCCATAGCGGCCGAATCAGACCTAAATTTTGAACAAGCACGATATCTTGCCTTGAACCTGGCGGGGTTTGTAACGTTAGGGTTGGCTTAAGAGGTCGGACGAGGATGGTCGACACTAAGAAAGAATTAGGGGTTGACAAGGCTCTTCAATAATAAATAGGGGGCTCAGGAAGAAAGGGATGAAATGTTAAAAATAAATCCTTTCAAGTCTAAATCACAAGAGGCACATGTAGGTTTAGGATGCAGACGTTAACTCGTGATAGGTGACCGACCATGCCTTCAGGTCTTATAATAGAAGTACGCAGGTACCCATGCGTTGCGCTAAGTCTGACATCACATTTACGGATTATAATCAGGTTACCTAATCAAGAGCTATGTACCTAGGTTAGACCGTTGAATTACCTAAACTACATATGTACGTATACATAGACCTAAGCACTTGGTGTATTTCTGTATTTCTGTATTTCTACCTCTTCCATGTAGGCAAACTGTTTGTATATTGTCCAGCTGTACATAGCAGCGCAAGCAATCGCGAGCAAACTGGTCAGCCTGCCTAGGTATATATAGGTAACCTAGATATCTACGCGATTGGAGATCAGAAAGCTTTTTTTACTTGGAAATATTTCTTTCTCCACTCGATATATATTATATCCCAGGTTACCTAGGTAGGTAGCTGGCAGCTAGATTAGCTAGCACGTTGTGCAAATCCCCACGATGGCGACACGACGACTTGCGATAAACGGCGCTGCTACCGCTCTGCGCGGGAGAACTTCCCGACTGACGGGTTCGGGCTCGGCTACTATTCCTACAGCTGCGCATATACTGCGAGCTTCGTTCGGCACGACTTCCTTGGTACCACAGGCTACGAGGGGAACAGCAGGAGTAGCTGCGCGACCGCAGTTATTTCGGCGCATCGCCCCTACAAGCGTCCGGTGGTCCTCGGATTCAGCAGCCGGGAGCGGAGGTGGGAGCGGGAGTGGGAGTAAGATATGGAATTTTGAAGAGGTGCGTTACTTTGATCTCCTCACTTACTTGACATCACCCTTTTCTCTCTCTCTCTCTCTCTCTCTCCCCTCCTCTCCAGCTAACTGACTAACCTACCTAACTAAACAACACCTCCCAGATCAAAACCGCCGTATCCACCCCAACGTCCACCCCCAAAGTCACTATAATCGACACCCGCGAGCCCTCCGAGCTAGCCGCAACCGGCCGCATCCCCGGCGCCCTCAACATCCCGATCGCCAGCGCCCCGGAAAGTTTCCACATCCCGGCCGACGAGTTCGCCGACCGGTTCGGGTTCGAGCGGCCCGCGCCTAGCAGCGACGGGGGGGAGGTGGTGGTGTTTTACTGCAAGGCTGGCGTGCGCAGCCGAGCTGCCGCGCAGATCGCGCGCGAGGCCGGCTGGGAGAACGTGGGCGAGTACCCTGGGAGCTGGGTGGATTGGGTGCAGAAGGGAGGGAAGATTGAGCGGTAGGTGAGGTGAGGTGAGGTTGGTATGGTATGAGGACCTTTGGGGATTGTAGACATGGGAGATCTGAATACCTTAGATGCGGTGGCGAGTAAGAGGCGAATTGTCCGATACTCTCTCTCTCTCTCTCTCTCTCTCTCTACCCTTTTAATCTCGGCATGTACAAAGCAAGCACGAGAGAACTCAAGAGCTATTCAGAGAAACTCTGAATCTAGACGAGAGATGGAAGAAAAATGATAGTTAAGCAAAGGTCAAAAATAAAACTGATCTTATGATACATCAGAACGGAAAGGTATCGTCAGCTAGCTTAGAGGTAGTGTACATAACACTATTGCACGTAACCTGCCCAACGCCATAAAAGCACAATAATATCAGGTCAAGTTTTCCCGTCTCATTCTCGACCTTGCCATTTCGGCACATCCTTCCTCTCTTCCCATATGAATAGATACACATAACACATAGCCCCTTAAAAAAGGATCATGGCATTTCCCGCCGGCTTATCCCCTCCGGCCGCAGGCGGCGTATCGCCCGGCTTGTCTCCCGCGACAGGGCTTCCAGCGGCGAAGAACAGGACCTTGATAGCGATCGCAAGGCCGGCATGCAGGGCCACAACAAGGATAAGCAGAATCTTGCTGGTCTGGCGATCGGTGGCGCTGAGGACGGGGTATAAGTTGCGCAGCAGGAAAGCGACGCTGAGACCGAACCCGACACCCACGAAAACCCAGTTGAGGATCGTGATAGGCGACCAGCTGATCAGCGCCACGGGGACCCAAATCAGATTCGAGTACCCGTACAGCGCCCAGCACTCGAGCAGATTCGCGGATTCGGAGCCGAAGTATCGTAGTGCGCCGAACAGAACCACGGGGATTCCGAGTGTGTACCCGTAGATGAGACCAGCAGCGCCTAGAAGCGTCTTCGTTAGCATAAGCTCTTTCTCTTTCTCTTTCTCTTTCTCTTTCTCTTCCCATCCTTTCATAACCTCCCGCCCCCCTCCCTCCCCCTCCCCCTCCACACTCCCCTCCCCCCGCCCAAACCTCCCCAGGAAAGAAAACAAAACAAAACAGACATACCGCTCAACAGCTTAAAATCATACGCAAACGCGCCCTTGCCCTCGCTCGCCAGATACGCACTAATCGTGCCGCCCAGGAACAGAATCAGCACCACGGTCGTCGCGATCCAGAACGGCCCGTACAGGTCCGGATTGCCCTCCAGCACGTCGAGGAAGTTGGCGCGCGGGTACAGCGCCGCCCAGCACCGCGCCAGCACGCTCGACGTGTCCACGTCGAAGAACTGCGCGTAGAACGACAGCGTCCACAGGTACCGCTTCGAGGACACGGGCCCCCCGCCGCCGGAGCTCGCCGTCGCGGGGAGCGGGAGACCCGGGGCCCCGCTGTTGAGGGAGGACGAGGAGGCCGGGATGCCTTTGCCGCCGCGCGCGTGCTGCGACTCGGAGAAGGTGGAGTTGTGGAATTCGAGGTCTTCTTGGAGGTCGGTGTGGCCGAGGTCGCCCTGGGGTGGTGGGCAGGTGGTGTTAGTTGCTCGTACGTATACTCTCTATATATATATACCTATATATATAAAAGCTCTCCAAGGGGAAGGGAAAGTAATTATTTGCCAAGCATACCTCATCGTCAATATCTACGACGGCGTCGTAGCCTGCGTTCGCCATCTTGGTATTTTCTCTCTTACGTCGTCCACTGCAGATCCTACAACACAGCTACGGTCGATATAGGGGTGTGGAGCGAACGACCAAACCGCTTTGGTTATTGCGAGGACGAGGACGAGGACGAGAACAAAGGACAATGATGACTTAAGTTAAGGTGAAGCTGCGGTGCTGTTTGAGGACACGGACGCACGCCGATCTTTAGCCGCGTTTAATTTACAAGGTACAAGGTACAAGGTACAAGGTGCAAGGTGCAAGTTCCAGCGATGACGTTTCATTGGACGGAACCGTTCTTGACTAGGAGGGAAGTATCTAAGTACCGTCATGTACCTGCATGTATTAGATGCTTTGTATAAATGCTTCCTAAATGCTTCCTAAAATACCTAATATCGTGTAAGTCTTTACAATGAGAGCACACAATTGTATGTAGAGTTTCGCATACGAATTTCTTAAAAGGTACTATATATAACTATGTAGCTGTTAAGGTCTTTAAACACAGTTGCTACATAGCATCTTGGACGATTGTTTTAAAATAACACAATAATATATTTTGCGATGGCTTCAGTAACCCCACGATATGTGGGCAAATTGTTTATAAGTTGAGAGGCAAGGCTTTTATATAGCAAAATCACCACACTACGAAGAATCATGCTATAAGTTTAAAATCTGGAAAGGAATACCCCCTATGTGATCTATCCATCACCAAAACAAGTCACTGATTTGCATATATGTCCAGATTACTCATGTGCATCGCAACTTAATTGCTACCGAAACTAGCCTACGCATAGCCATTTCCGCAGAGAAAAAAAGCCCATCGCAGTGGTGTCGATAATATCTATCCACCCGTCCGTAGCGTGCTCATGATAACACCCCAAACCAAAGACGCCGAAGAGATGGAACATGCTGTGACGAATCGTTCACTTGAGCTTCTTCTTGGGTCGAAGCTGGTTGGTGTGGCCGCACTTGCGCTTGCGGCAGTTGGTGGCACGGGGAGGGAGACGGGCCTATTTCCAACATTGGTATTAGCAGGTGCTAGACATGGGAGGATAAACTCGTAGACTGGGAAGAACTCACGTAGCACTTGCGGCAGATCATCTTGTCGCAGTTGAACTTGGAGGCGAGGGCCTTGAGCGAGGGCTCGATGATACCACCACGCAGACGGAGGACCAAGTGGAGGGTAGACTCCTTCTGGATGTTGTAGTCGGAGAGGGTTCGGCCGTCCTCGAGCTGCTTGCCGGCAAAGATCAGGCGCTGTTGGTCGGGGGGAATGCCCTCCTTGTCTTGAATCTTGGACTTGACATTGTCGATGGTGTCGGAGGACTCCACCTCGAGGGTGATAGTCTTGCCCGTCAGGGTCTTCACGAAGCTATTATCTCGTCAGTTCGCATGTTCGAATTTGTTTGGTCGGTCGATCGGTCGAAAATCTGTAGTGCGCGCGCATTGTGTTTTAATCTGGAAATGAACTTACATCTGCACTATAGAAGCATTTCAGTTAGTATGAGCCAGTTCAAGACGGCGCATGGGGGTGGTGTTGACTTACTTTTTGCTGTCTGTCGTGAATGAAGATGTTGAGGGAGAAATCCAAGATGATGTCGGCCTGGGAAATTCGGTGGGGGTTTGAAATTCCACGGCAAACGAACCCTAGTGGATTGAAAGTCACCTGATTTTAATTAATTCTTGAGAGAAGTGGCGTTGTGTGCCAGAAATTTCTGTCAGCCGGAGCCAGCTGGTGGATACTTGACCCCGACCCCACCTTTAGCTCTGTTTGCAATTACAAAGTAACGCACTGTGCTACGAAGCTCTCAATGTAGGTACAAGTTCAATGGCTTAACTAGGTACCTAATCTAAGTAAATAAAGAATTATAAGTTCAACTGAGCAATTTGCATTAAAAGTCATATAGTTATATTGAAAATCATTCTAATCAGAATCATCGCCAGTCCAAACCGCTTTGCCCTTCCCCTTGTTTCGCTCTTTAGCTCTCTGAATACACCAAATCTCCAACTGCCTTTCCACCTGCGTAGCACCTCGTACCAGCGTATGTAACGGTATATACGAAAGATTCGCTGCCTTGCCGTAGAAAGCTTTAGCCGCGTCTGGGAGCTCTTCTGGTGTGCGCCAGACCGGACAGAAATCTTGAGACTGCTTCTTCTTGTTTAAGTCTTCGGTGTCAATAGGAACTGTCTCGAGTATTTTCATAGAGTTGTTCAAGGCTTCATATCTGCCCCTTATTTGGTCTCTCTCCCTATTTCCTAGTTGCTCGTTTAGACTGCTTGGTTGCGATAGTCGTTTTTGTCCTTGAAAAGGCTCTCGAACCCTTTCAGCCGCTAGAAAAGGGGTTAGTTAGTATTTCCAAATTGATAATAAAATAGAATAGTGTATATAGTGTCGCATACTTCTTGGTTCGCCGTCTCCTATCCACATCTTCTCAAACCAGTCCATGAAGTCGTCCATCTTTCCTTTTCCCATAGTAAGGGCGTCCTCAGGGGTAACTTGATACTCCTCGCCTCGTAATAATGTAGACGATGTTTCCACCGTATCGTTTTGCATACTTTCCTGCCACTTTCCCCAGTCGATAGTCATGCTTCGAGGATCGTGGTGGTTTCGGGGAAGTCGCTCAACGCCATCTAATGGATAAAGCAGTTTCGCCGACACGACAACCAGAGCGAGTAGTAGTACTTCTGGGTTGTCCATCGCCCGAATCCGTTTTCCTCTGATAGAATAAGAGTAATCCGTCTTTAAAATCTCCGTAATACATTTCACTACGAGGTATACTTCGACTAAGTAGGATTAGCTAAAAAGACTTCTACTTACCACCTGTCTGTTTAAGCCTACCTGGAAGAGTCAACTCTGTTATGAGTCGCACAAGTATGGGTTGATAGTTTATCGGCGGGAAGATGGTGTCGAAGTTGACCTTAAACGATATCACCAGTTCTTGCACCGATGTCTGCAGTCGACCCGCTGGGATATGATCCCTAACTTGCAGAGCACGATGATACTCTGCGGGAAGACGGTCTCGGACATTACGTGGAATGTTATTAAACTTGAAGTGGTAGCCATATTAGCATCATGCCATGATCTACAAGATACTGACGAGAGCTGTTAGATAGGGATCATGATCATACCGCTGCAAGAAAATCCAACTCCCCCCTTTGCGCCCAGCCGCAGAAATCTGCCGTCGTAGCCGGTAACCGTCGCACCAAGCATCCCAAGTAGCACAACGCCAAGGTATCGACGAGCTTCGGCAATTTCCATCGCCTACCGGCATCTGGGGCCCAAGTAGCCGTCGTAGCATCTGAGAGATCGAAAGCCGACGACTCGGCTCCCGTCCCTTCGCTCTGGGAGCTAAACAACTGCGCGCTGGACGCGTAGCCATCCGACTCTTCACCAACGTCTCCTTTCCTCTTACGGGTTCCCCCTCCGCTCTCCATCAACGGTAGGTTTCGTACCCTCAGCGCCCAGAGCGCCCTCACGATCTCCTCGAAGTCCTCAGGGAAGCCCTTGTCCCGGACGAGCCACCAAACCTGCTTTAGCAGTATAAGCTGCAGGACCTCGAGGTATAGTTCTCTCCCCTCGTCGCCGGCGAGTTTAACAGCAACCTTTTTCTTAGGTTCTTTTTTCTTCCGCGAGACTTTTCCCTGGGTGCCAAAGGCGTCCTCGTCGCCCTCGTGCTCGGCAAATCCTTCAATACGGTGTCCGTTCCGGCAATACCGAATAGCATCTTGCGCATACCATTGCCGCGCGCCGCATTCGTCGCACCGTTCGCCGCCGCGGAAGCGATGATACTTGGTGGGTGCCATCCCGATATGTTGATTTCCTGCTATATGCCGAAAGGAAGATAGAAGGTGAAAACGCAATGGTGGGGTGCTTAAGAGAAATAGTATTTATTTTGACGTAGGATTTGTAGTGATAATGGCAACTAATATTTTTGGAAAAACATTCAAGGTAGTTATTACCTACCTAGCTAGCTAGCTATTATCTAACAGCACGCCTCCATACGTCTTATGTATTTCTTATGGAGAAGATATTAAGTACTTATCTTTCTAGTAATATCTACATCCTGTTTACAATTCAGTAGGTACATCCATCCAACTTACACTTACAATTCTAGGCATTATATAGCAGTTAACAAATCCATTTATTTCCTCGTTAGCCCCTGGAATTGTCTTAGGGTGTTTAGGTTCACTATTTCACGCCTTGCCATATATTTTACACGGTTAGATAAACCTAGCTGCTTGACCAGTGTAGCAGAGGTTTGATACTCATCCCATTTCAGATTGCATTCAGATCGTGGAATATTAATACCGGCCAACCCTATATGTAAATACAGAATCGCAGCAAAGTAAAATTCATATATGAGTAAATTGGTAGCTCCTAAGTCACGTAAATATGATTGTTGATTATCACCAAATACAAAAATAAAGGGAGATCTCGTAGATTCTGTAGGACAAGTCAAGTGCTAATAAAAACAGGAGACCTGTTTTGCTGAAATCCTCAAAATGCACATCATTTTCGTTCCTCAAAGAGATGGGGATAGATGCGAAATTCGAGGACTATCGTACCATATGTTTGATTCCTCCACAGTGGATAGCACATTTGTACGCAAAACCCCGCGGGCCAGCGTCCAATACGAACCTAGCTACCAGTTGGCTAGTTAAACAACCCTCCCTTCTGGCGATGTCCAAGTTGGTCGAGGCCCATAAGTAACACTCGATCCAGTGACATCCTCTACCTGAGTCATAAGTCCCCTAACTGGAGATTTAGTCCTTCTGGGCAGGCTCGTCGGCCTTGATGGCCGCCTCTTCGCCCATGGCGGACTGAATGGTAATGACTAAACGGGGTTAGTTATTTGGCGACCGACCTGAGGAGCAACTTATAACTTACTGAGAGGGGTTCCGTTCTCATCGGCGGCCTCGATCTTGTTACCAATCTCACCCTCGGGGACCTTGATGTCGCTTCGCTCCTCGCTGGTGTTGATGTCGTGGAGAACAATGAAGCCATCCTCAAGGTGAGACTAATGATAGTTGTTGGTTAGCGTAATCTGGTCCCCGAATGGTATTCCGCAGAAAATTTGGGTACTCACGAAGTTGTACTGCTTGATCTTGACAACGGGGACCTCCATGTTGTGGGTGGAAGGGCAAAGTTCTTCAAGCTTCTTGCCGGTGAAGATGTCGATACCGACGAGATGGACCTTGGCGTGACCGTGCTTTCCGGTCTTGGAGGTGGACATGTCTACGATCTTGCAGGGGCGGCCCTTGATGACGACGGCACCGTTCTTGCGCAGAGCAGAGCACTGCATGGGGAAAGTGGCAGACGCACCGGCATCGCCCTGGTTGTCGATCTCGAACTGCAAGAAATCTTGTTAGCATTACGCCATGATCTGGTACTTAAGATCGTGGTCGCAAATAGCAGCTAGAGAAAAAAAATCCTATATGTGCAACAACTATGGCCGCATCTAGCATCGCGGGGTTCATTGGCGATGCGTGCCGGATTCTTTAATGCGTGGTGATGCGGATGCGGGGTGGTTAGGTACCAGCCCGCCATTGCCCGCCTTTGCGATCGCCAAAAAAAAAAGAGGGACAGGGTGTTTCTTGAACGTACCTCGTCCGCCATTTTGAAGGATTGACCGAAGTGAAAGTGTTGTTAGAGTAGAAGAGAAAGGAAGATGCACAAATGGCCCAGCTAAATGTCCAAGACTGGAATATGAGTTGGTGGACTTTTTTTTTTGTAGAGGGGGAGGATTGAGAAGATGTGGAAGATGTAGAGGGAGGGGGTTGAAAAAAAGTAGAGTGGAGGAAACCGTCAAGGGCAAAAGACGGGATATTTTTTCTTCTCAGAATCAATTGGGCACACAGTTTGTGTTATGTCTGATTGGCTTATTAGCCCCACTAATCTAAGCAGCTCCAGCAGCTCTTGTATTTTTCCCTTTGAGCGCTTTGGCGGGGAGGGTTTTGTGGGCTTTCAGGTAGCCTAGGCCAGTCTAGGCGGCCAGGTTCGCACAAATCGATCACTAATTTTTCTACTCACAGGGCACCGTCAGCTTTGACTACAGTGCTTCTGCTCAAAACTTTAGTGAAGATTTAAAGTTTTTCTTTTCCTTTTTCTTTTTGGTGAATGCCCCTTTTTCGCAACTGCAAATCAACTGCAAATATGGAATCTCTAAGTTGCATGATACATCACAGCTAACACGCAAACATTGGAATTTTCCTTATGTCAATACACCTGTATGAGGAAGCAAGAATCATTTCCGTTTTTGTAGAATTATAATGGCTACTAATACTTTTTTGTAGTATATCGTTTTGGAGTACTGATATGTACCGTACGCATCTGACCTAGCTCGCGTGGGGAGATATGTACGCACTGTAAGTACCTATAATCTGTAGGTAGGTATGTAGTACAGGTAGGTAGGCTGTAGGTAGTGTATGCTTTCCGTTCCTTGGCATTGATCATGAGTCCTCTATAAAGATTGGCCCACTTTTTAATCTTATCAAGTCCGTGGCTTAGGTAATACATGTAACTTAGCCTTATGTACATCGCATAATGCTAATCTAAACCCGATGTGGTATCGGTACTTCACAATGACATGTGTCTAAAGCTTCAACCAATCATCATTTTTCATTCTGCGACTCGGGAGAGGCTGTTGCATGGCCTCGTCTGTTTCTTGGGTGTTCACCAATAACTAACTTCCTGGTTGATGCATTATCGCGAATAATATACGTCTTCTGTACCTGTCACTCCTTTCTTTATTTTGCAATTCTTTCGTTCTAGTCGAATTGTATTTGTCTTATTAGCTTGACGGCACGGCCTATAGCTAATAGAGAGTCATGACGCGGCCTGACTTATAGCCTATCTCCCGCTCGCATCTAGAATATGTGGCTCGATCGGCTTGCCGGTCAGTCATCGTCTCCTGCTCCCTCCCAGCCCGGCAGCCGTTCCTACTCTCCCGCGCCTCGTCGAACACCGAGTGGATTAGGCCCGTACATTACATCTCAGCAGCGACCCGGTGTCACCCCTAGATCCTCGTCATTGTCCCTAGCATCTACCGAATCCTCAGCTTCTTCCCTCTTGGCATCTTCACGAAGGGCCAATGGCTCGACGTTGAAGGAATCGAGGACGATATATAATGGACCTGATCCCGTGGAGGTATTGAACACGCTCTTGGGTGACGATAGACAACATACAACATCCGCTACCAAGTCAGCGTCCAACTCGGTCAGCTCGATATCACCTGAAGACCTTCAGTTGGAATTCGATTTTGGCGGGTTGTCTATCCGAGAGCTAGCATTATCAGAGGATGCAGCAGTAAATGCTGTTGCTGTATATAGACCGCAGGCGGCTGAAGAGTGTATGCCCCCTTTTTATCTGAGACTTCCCTCTTGCCCTACTCACTATTCTGCTTACTAGATGACCGAGACAAGGCCAAGTTCGAAGAGCTACACCGATCAATACGAGCCTGCGACGAGGTACTTAGCTCGGTAGAGACTAACCTGACAAGCTTTCGAAACGATCTCGCGACTGTGTCTGCGGATATCGAAACATTACAAGCACGATCTACAGCCCTTAATGTGCGACTGGAAAACCGAAAAGCGGTAGAGAAGGGGCTAGGACCAGTGGTTGAGGAAATCAGTGTATCGCCTACGGTGGTATCCAAAGTTGCCGACGGCCATATCGACGAAGGCTGGGTAAAGGTAGTTGCGGAGATCGATAAGAGAGTTACTGCTCATAAGAAGAATATTGCGAGTGCGCAGGGTGCTAAGGGTCTGCAAGATCTCGGTCCTTTATTAGAGAAGCTTGTGCTCAAAGCTACCGAACGAATAAGAGATTTCCTCGTCGCCCAGATCAAGGCCCTCCGGTCACCGCATATTAACGCGCAAATCATCCAGCAGCAGAATTTCCTCAAATTTAGAGACCTGTACTCCTTCCTTCATAAACATCATGCCGCACTCGCCGACGAGATATGCCAGGCGTATATGAATACTATGCGGTGGTACTACGCCAACCAGTTTACACGCTACGAGAACGCCCTCCGAAAGATCAAGCTACACTCCTTGGATAAGACGGATGTATTGGGGAACGAGGATACTTCTAGGAAAGGCACGGTTCTCTCAAGTTCGAAAATTTCTGGCCCACCTCACGATGCCTTCAACTTGGGTCGGCGGATCGATCTCTTACGCACTCATAACCAAAGTGCGCTCTCATCATACCTAGCTGAAGAAGACCAGTCTACCCACTACCTCGAAGCCCCCTTCCGCAACTTTAATCTCGCCCTGATCGACAATGCAACGGCCGAGTACACGTTTCTCGCGTCGTTCTTCTCTCCCGCCTTGAACTATTCTACTATCTCGCGCCACTTTACTTACATATTCGAGCCGACGTTCCAGCTCGGCCAGACGCTGACCAAGTCCCTCATAGGCGACACGTACGACGCTATTGGCGTCCTCCTCGCCGTCCGCTTGAACCAGCACTTCCAGTTCGAGCTGCAGCGTCGCAAGGTCCCCGCTGCAGACGGGTACCTCAATGGCACAGCCATGCTGCTGTGGCCGCGCCTCCAGGCCATCATGAATGCGCATTGCGAGTCCGTTCGTACTCTCACCACAGCATTGCCAACACGCCCCCCAACATCCAAAGCTGAGCAGAGCAAGCTTTCCGCTGCTCCGCACGTCTGCACTCAACGTTTTGGACAGCTACTCCACGGGATCCTGGTGTTGAGCACGGAGGGTGGAGACGACGAACCCGTAGTCACAAGCCTGCGGAGACTTCGCAGCGAGATGGAGGCCTTCCTAACGAAATACAGCGCGGCGTTCGGTACCGACAAGAGGAAAAGGGAGCGCTTCTTGTATAATAATTACAGTCTAATTCTGACAATCATCAGCGATACGCAGGGAAAATTGGCAGACGAAGAGCAGGAGCACTTCGAGGGGTTGAAGACGGCTTTTCAAGAAGCTGTTTGAGTTCGCTCGAGAAGTTTAGTTAGGAATGGGTTCTGGATGACAGATTAGCTGCTATCAACTGAATTTATGTATGGCAAGAAAAGTAAGAGATGATACGATTAATAAATGAGACTGCGTTTCGAAGGGAGGGCTAGCCAGCTATTTAATAAGAGCTAGCTGTCTATTTAACTTCCAAGAATACCTGCCTAATGTAGGTATGCAGCTTGCTTGTCCTATTACATGTGCTTTTGTACCACCGTACCATTTATTCACCCATCCATCCATCCATCTCGCCCCCAAAGACGATCCTCAATGTCCCGAGAGTAGACGGGTTGCCCCAATTCAGTGTATGTGTACCTCCTATCCACCAATATCATCACCCATCCCAAGCTGCGAGCCGCAGCACATACCTCAATAGAAACCCAACCCTTTAGTCCAGTTTGCATACAATTCAAGGACTCATTAAGCCTGTATTCATACACCTTCTCATGTAACCCCTAAAAAAACATACCAAAACTGGGGACATCCACCGTATCGTCGTCGTTCGACCATCCTAATATCCTAGAAATAATGGCTCGGGATCGACCACGAGGTGAGACTCGACCATATAGGTGCTTTCCGGAAGTACACGGCGCCGGCACCGATGACTACAGCTAAGATCAAGGTTCTGTTGGCCCACGCGGCCCGGAGTAGCTCTTCTTGCCGCTGCGCCCATTGGAGCTCGCGGCACTGTTTCTCGAAGTATTTATGTCCGTCTTCCAGGGTTTGCGTGGCGCATACACTTACGTCACGTGCGGTCTTTAAAGTGCTGGCACTCGAGATGGAGCGCCAGCTACGTAGAGATTCTGGGGGATGGCGATCAAATAGGGTGGCGGCATCGGTAATAACGGCGTCGAGATCCAGGTCATCGGGCAACTTCGAGAGGGTAAAGTGTAGCATGTCAGGCTCGTCCTGTTGGAAAAGCTCGTCCCGGCGGCGCAGGACGATTTGTGCGAAGACGTAAAGCGTAAAAGCCTGCTCGCGAGCTAGTAGGGCATCAAACAGGCGCGCAATATCGCTGTACCGCCGCACGTTGTGCGCGAACATAGTCAAGGTATCTGATAACGCGAAAAAGGGCTCTGTTCGTGATACATGGGCACACAGTGTTGGGTCAGCTGCCCGAAGGATGTCTGGAATCAGCCGTAGTTGCGCAACAGACGGGTTCAGGCTTGGTAGCATAAAGTCCCTAATGCGCAGGGCGGATAGGCGGGCAACGGCTGCGGCCCGCGTGGTTGGTGGGAGAACCAGTAGAAAGACTTGACATATGTCGTGATAGCCTTGGAAGTAGCAGAGGTACGGGTGCCGTCGGAGGACCTCGGTAATAAGGTCTGAGAGCTGCAACTTCTTCTTGTCGAGTTGAGCCTGGGTATCATCTAGCCACCGTGGTCAGCTTTATTCAGGGCGTGAGAGTGCTTGTGGGGTTATGCATCCCATACCATTTGGGTAGTAAACGAAGCTTCGGTCAACGTCCAGCTTGACCTGACCTTCGTCTCGATGCTGCTCTAGCTTTCCCCACGGATCGGAGCTTTCCTCCTGCTCCCCACGCTGGTCGACGTGAAGGCCCAGCAATATCGGCCCTGTTGAAGAACCTTGAGCCTTATGATCCCGATTTAACGGGAGTGAGTAGGATAGACGAGGCGCGACGCGCGGGACACTCACATGCTTGGCAACGGATGGCGTCGGTGAGGAATCCACCTCTCGATATGGCTAAGGCCTGAAGATCGTCGATGTCTCTCCGCTTGCATGCATCTAGGATGCGGGTATGCTTGCGGGTTAATGCGGGCGCATCACGAAAACCCAGGTCGTCTTTCTCCTCACTGCCGTCGACGTCCTCATATTCCCGGGCCATGGGATCGATGCACCTCGGTCTTTCCCGTTCTCTACTGTGCGTCAGGTTGCCTTACTTGGTACCTTGTGCATCTATATGGACAAATAACATGCTGCTGCCCTATATAAGGGTCACCAACTATGGCATTCGACACCATACAGCGAAGAAGATTCCAAGATATACCGCTTTTTTGCCCCCTTATAACGTCGCCCAACACGGAAGACTCTCTAGACGCAGCCCGAGTCCCTAGGGACTTCTGTCAGGATTGGGCAAGCCCAAATAGGTAATCTGTTTATCTAGAAAGGTGTCCGTTCATATAGGCTGCGTAAGGCTCGAACTAGGCACGTAGTTTTAAAAAGGAAGAATCAAATTACCATGATTCCTAACAAAATAAGAACCTGACGGGTGCAGCACGGGATGTCTTATATTGGGCTTGAACGAAGGAAGTGAGAACAAATAAGTGAACTAAAAAGAAAAGAGTCCAAAAAGGTTCAATGTTTCGATGCTGGCAGCTGGTCGGGAAATAGGGTGGGTCATCCTGTCTGGTGAGCTAAGTACATACCTATGTACATACCCTTGCGGCGCCATGTGCAGGTGCCAGGGGTGACCCCGGGAACTTCTGCGCTAAAATCGCTTACCTAAACTTTAAAGGACTTAATGAGGATAAGGGTCAGGCCTTTGCAGGTACCTCGCATTGTACCTTAGTTAGTTGCACAGCTGCATTCGTATGTACAACGAGGTAGGTAGGCGATTCTAGTATTTTCTAGCTACATGCACAATGTTCTTCTTTACTTCTATTTGATGCCTTAGGTAATTAAAGGCTCATTCGTGGGGATGGAAAGAAATTAGTTGCTGTTTAGAAACATGACTCTGTGCTGAAATGGTACCTCAGGTAAAGTAGAGGAATTGCCGGACAAGGCTATTGTCTTTCCCCCCAGCTTCTATAAATATAATCTAGATAAGGGATTTGATATCCCCGTGCGCCTCTTTGTTCCCGGACGACATTTCATCATCTTTCCCGACAGAGAGATCTCCATAGAACTAACTTATGTTGAGATGCGGGTGAAGCATTGGCACGTTATCTTTCAGGGACGGCTTAACCTGATGTAGTAGATCCCCATAGTTCTAACTAGAATAAGAGCGTACTATACCGTGTAATAGCCATTTGCGAAGAATATTATATTGCGCAGTTGTGAACATACATGCATGCTACCTCCATAGTACCTTAAAGAAAATTGTAACACCAGACTACAACGAAGTTGGGCTTTACTTTACTTTTGATTACTGCATTAGCATTAGGTATCTAGTACAAGGCACATTTGAAACGATTAGCTGCATTTCAACCTAAACTATGATTTCTCTCCTACGTCATACATGTATTCTTTAAATATGAACCAATCTGAATACTATATCAATTATTTAAGCTCGTTCTATAAGCATTTTGTATCTAATCAATCTACGAGGAGCGTCACGGAATGTGGAAGTAAAAAAAGTACCTACATAATGTAGAAATCTATTAAGGTACATACAAAGTCGGGCATAGGTATATAGGTAGGTATGGATGTAGGTACTTTTAGATAAGGTACCTCCTACACTAGATAGATAGATAGGTATAGATACATGTTAGGTGCTAGGTCGGTTAGGTATAATGGGAAGCTTTAGCCCCGCAACACCGTCTAGATTCCACCTTCTCCGCGCCCTAGGATATTCTGTACGGACTAGGTACCTACCTGTACGACAAAAAATTAGACTAGAGACAGGTACCACCTACCTGTGCTGCCTGCATGTTATACTTGGCTTCCTGCATCTCAAATTTGAGGGAAGAAAGACCCAAACACCTTTCTAATGCATCTGCAAGGCCAACGACACGCGACTGATTGCTTCCCCGCATCGTTTTTAAAAGGGTACTGCAGCTTTGCAGAATTCCATACATCTAGACAAACCCCTAAACCCCGGAACGCTGGCACCCAAGATTAGGCCTCGACCTTTAAAGAATAACGACTAATGTCTACTAAGCGAATAGACATATGCAGTAAATTCCAAGAGGCACTTTATTTTCACCACCTAAAGCAGTGCCTAGCCTATTTAAGGGTTAAGGAATCCGAACAGACTTCCAAACGGCCATATGCAAGGTTATATACCTTATATATCTACCTCTTCTCGGGTAGCCAGCAACCTTGGTCGATCATTTCTTTAACACTATTAGTGTCCTGAGCCCTTATTCTATAACATCTTCTAATTCGATAAGGCTGGACTTCCATTTATCTAAATCTGGCACCTGATACAGATTGTCTGTCAACGTTCCCCTATTTCCCAGGTCCCTCTAATCCTGGATTGGAGAATTATTAAAGTGTTCCGGGTGCAAAAGCCATTGCGAATCCTTCATAACCAAGATACCAACGAATGGCTTCGTGATAGCGTCGCTGATAGCTACAACCCAACGATAACTTTACCTAATATCGCGAAATATTCGCCATCTGTTGCTGGGTCAACATACCGTATCGTTCCCAGAACCCCATTCATCATAACTGATTCCGTGATCTGGTTTCACAATCAACAATGTCGTTACAAACCTACGTTCTCGAAAATGACGAATGGGTGGCACGTACCATCTCTGCCGACGAGCTTATGAGAGACAACAGAACTCCTCACCGTAAGACGGGAAGACAGTCTTTCTCAAAGCCGCCAACCTGTGGCCTACTCACAAGAACAGTTGTTGAGAGTCCTGTTATAAGATGGGTGCTGCCCGTGCAGCTTCGGTCAGCCCGGTATAATGACGTCGCATTAATTGGTGTAAGTTTCTTGCTCCCCTCTGACCTTTTCCTTACTTTATTTCACTGGGAAAATGTTCGTCAAAAATTCAGTAAGCAGCTACGTTATAAGGCTTCTGCCGATTATATTTACGCCAGGGATAGCTTTCTGCGAATCCTTTCTCGCTTATTCTGACTTTGAAATAGGATAATTGCGTGCAGATATGTGAGCTTGGTCGTGATAGGCAGCTCCATGACGTTGTCAGAAAGAAAGATTTCGGCTCCAGGATACGGAATGCCGTGGTCATGGGTTCGCCTCAGTATTCCCGTAAAGCCAGCGAGAGCAACGAGGATACTGCGCATGTTAAAGCCGAGGAGGGTGATCCGGGAATGGTCGACATGGGAACCACGCTGCCCGGCTTCCGAGATGTGAACTCCAAGCTTCCTCCTCAAATATTGGTCTTGGTGCTCGAACGGGGCGACTTGGTGTTTCTGTTCTTGCAGCAGGGGCCTGCTAATAGTTGGGTCTTCTTTACTTCCACCCATAAAATACCTGCACAGCGCCTCATTTGCCCTGGATTCCACATGGCTATTGACCCTTCCTCGAACTTTCTAGTTGTTGCATGTTCCGACAGCCTATTTATCATGTTTCAGCTTCACTCGATGGAAGACTTACAGGCCCAATACTTCCTCAAGCAACCTTTTCAGCCTATAAAAAACAGGGCAGCTCGGTCGGTCAGGGGCATCATTCACAAGATTGAATTTCTTCATCCAATTCATGGGAATGAAATACAGGTGATCATGATGGTTATTTTGGTCCAGCCTGATATTTCAAGGCTAGCAATATACGAATGGGATAGTAGGCTCGATATTCCAGAGACCTTTATGGATGAGCAATTTGGTTATCGCCTTGACAATGATTATCGTATGCCTCTCTTGGTTGTACCTCTGAAAGTGCGCAATGCGTTCTTGGTTATTACGGAGCGGATTACAGCAACTTGTTCAAATATACTGGGCGGATCCCCTGTATTTGTCCAATTTGAACTAGTAAATCGGGAGGATACCTCATTACACCACGGGACTCGGGAACCGCTATGGACAGCATGGACTAGACCTATACGCCACCCCCCGTACCACGATAGTAAGGATGTCATATACTTGGCGAGAGAAGACGGCTTCATAAATTTTCTGGAATGTGGCGACGAGTTTGAAATCGAAACCAGCGTTAGCATGGGGTCTGTGGACTGCAACATTGACACAGCATTTGCTTCTCTCTTCCATCCCTTCGGTGATATTCTAGTCACTGGTGGGGACTCTGGCCCTGGTGCAGTTTGGAATGTAAGTTACTCTTAATATAAATATAGCTGTTTAGCTAACACTACTATTACGTATAGGTTCAAGCGAGACAGTCTCCGCAGAGAATTGGCTCGATTCCGAATTGGTCTCCTATAGTGGATTTTGCTATGACGAACTCAGCAAGAGGAGCTATTGAAGAGAACAATGAAGACTCCAATGCTTCATCTCTGGCGAGTAATGGGAATATAGTTCCATTGCAGCAAGAAAAGATTTTTGCTTGCAGCGGCAGAGGCATGAGCGGTGCTATTACGGAATTTCGATACGGAGTTCAGGCCAGAATTGGTTTAGACCTCACGTACTCCTCCTACGTTAGGCAGTGCTGGGCTATTTCGGACTTTGACGGTGTCGCAGAAGATGGTTTCTTTCTTATTCTGGCCCTTCCCAATGAGTCAGCCGTTCTGCATTTGACTCGAGATCTCGCTGAGGCATCGGAGAAAGATCACGAGGCCATCCCATACGACCTGTCTTCAACAACATTAAATGTCCGCGAAGCTGATGGTGGAGTGGTGCAGATTACAACAAACTATATCACGATTGCCACCCCAACAGGCTGGTAAGTCTTCTCCTTATTCTTGATATGAGGATGATGATAGTTATTAACCAGGCTGAACTTGCAGTTCCCAGAGTTTGATAAGTGATATAATACGAGACCACACTGCTATCGTTGCGTATGCAGCCGTTAGATCTAACGTGGTCGCCTTGGCAGTTTACTCTGGATCAAAGTTCAGTATCGTCCTGCTTAGCATTGTCGGTCTCGAAGTGTCCCCCCGGAAAGTGTTCGATATCGAAGGCGAAGTTACTTGCCTTGCAGTAGAGGACTTTACAGATAGTCTTGTGGTCTTAGCCGGTCTTCGGCAAGGAGGAGATTCAATTCTCGCAATATATCCGACTGAAATAGACAGACTAGCTTCGGTAGCCCCAGTCCTACTGAAATTATGTCCTAGTACGTCGTCTTCGAGAAACATGAAGGAATTCAATACTGATTTATGCAAAGCTACAACAAGTCTAGGACCCAGTATCAACACGATGAACGCTATAGGGATTAATGCGTTCGGAGCCTTGACAAGTATAGTTAGTCTTGGCGAACGCTCTGGAAAAGCAGTTGTTGTAATTGGAACAAGAGATGGAGATGTGCTTACTATCCAACTTGATCAGTCACAACTAGAAAACTATGAGATTTATCGGGATAGACTTGGCGTATCACCTTCTCACGTTTATTCTGGTGGCATTGTTGGAGATGATAACTCGGTATTGGTGTGCACCGATGCTGATCTTGCAATAATGACGAACTACGTAACAGACCGTCAAAGGGGTCATTTTGAGGAGATAAACCGCGTTTGGCCAACTGACGGAGATAGGCCCTCTATGTCTTCTCCGCCGATCAACTCTGTAGCATCGTTGTTTGAGCAACTCCCGGAATATGGCAAATCGACAATGGTGATGATTGCTGGCTCACGGATCATGGTCACCGAATTCCAATCTCGCCCAAAATTGGTCCCACGATATTTCTCCGTCCACGGGACGCCGATCAAAGTTCTCTATTCTAAAAGACTGGAGGCTCTTGTCACTGTCGTTTCGAAAGATGGACTACCTTCGTTGCATTTTCTTGATCCCGTGACAGGGTATGATTTATCACGACCTCTTGAAAGAGAAAAGTTGAACGAGGGCTATAAATACTACGATGCAGATTATATCACGGGTCTTGGGAACTCGGAAACCAGAGCGACGTCTCTTACAACGTGGTCTTATAGAGCTGGAAATATTCATGGAGATTGGATAGTTCTTGCTATGCATAGGAGAGATAACGAGGGGCTCCTACTAATCATCTCGGCCGACCTTGAGGATGTTTCGACTCGACCCGATACGCCGCGTCGAATACGTTTCTGGACCAAATTCGATCGGAAGATACGGGACGGGCCCATATGGTCAGTTGCCACAGATGAGCATGGGGTATTTTTATGCGTCGGAAACTGCATCCAGTATCACATAATCGAACAAACCAAATTCAAAGTTGTAAAGCAACATGAACTGCCATCCCCGGCCTCGTGGATGCAGGTAGTGAATGGGCGACTACATGCACTTACCAAAAAACACTCACTTGTAATCCTTGACTATCAAAGCGAGCCACTTGGCGATGGTGGTCAGATGATTCGACTACACACAGACGACACCTGCCGGAGTGGGTTGCATTCCATCGAAGTACGCACGCCTTTGAGCGCTATAACTATGCTATCCGACCCAATGTGCGGGGTGCATGGATTATGGGCCCCCTCCGAGAATGAGCGACCGTTAAGTTTGATATTTCAAGCAGAGCTTCAAGGCTCTATTAGGAGGTTTGCTCAAGGGTACACAAGAACTTCGTGGAACTCGTCTAAGAAGCGAGCGCGCTATGGCTGCCTTCAGAACAGTCCTCCTGGATCAGATATCATAGGTCTTACTATCGATGGTTCACTTCAGCATTTTGCGCTCTTGGGAGAAGATGCTTGGAGATTCCTCCGATTTATCCAAAACTTGGCTATGGTGTCTCCAGCAATTTGCCCGCATACCTCGTCAGACCCAGCCGCAGATGGGCCTGACCCGGAGCCTAGAGCTAATCCGAAGTTGAATATGCAAGTGGACGGGGATATCCTGCAAAGATGCCTTGAAAAGCGTGCATTGGAAGAGCTCGTCTCAGAGCCACAGCATATACAACGATTTCGAGAACTTCTCGAGTCCCTAGACGACGACAAGTGTTTATCGCCATCTCAAAAAGAGTCTAACCACGACACAGCATACTATGAATTGGGTTACACCATCCTGAAGTACTATCTTTCTCCTGTGCTTTAATCTTGATCTAAATGTAATTACGTTAAAGAATTTTTAACTCGTAAGAATCCAACTTCAAATACGTTACCTATGAAGTTGACATGTATCAATGCGAAACAACAATTTTCGAGGTTGGTTGTTGGCTATTATGTAGAGAAAGAATGGCTAAGATAGATTTTACATTTTCGACATCCGCGATGCACTTCTTGTTTCTAGGTACCGAGGTAGTTGAGATTTGATCGTGTGGTAAAAGGCGAATGAAGAATTTACTAGAGTAGACTACATTCCCTTTAATATACTAGACCAAAAAACTGAGGAATTTCCAGACTTGAAATAAATTCTCTATATTATGACCTCAGTATGAGCTAGATTCTCTGATGAGCAACGAAGAGAATAATTCTAATTAGGTTATATGTAGGAGGGAGAATATTGCTTAATCATAAATTGACAAGGTTTTCTGAAATGATATAGTAGTTGATAGGAAACTGAGTATAATGAGTATAAGATTGGCGGGTTTATACTATAAACTATTCTGTCCTGTTAAGTGAGGAGGGGACGTAGAAGAAAAGGGGTAAAAGGTGAAATCATACAAATAACTCCTATTGTTGTATCTAATCGGTGTTATCGATAAGCTACCAAGACTCGCTAAAATTTTCATAAGTCGATATTGTGCAAGCTTAATTCACGGAAATATTTGGGTTCACCCAGGAACGACCAGCGTCATCATTACCTCTATCTGCCTAGTCAATTGATTACCCCACTACAAAGAAGGCAATAACGGCCCTAACCCTTCCTACATCTTACGTTCTTCGCCGATGGGAAATCACGTTGCTTGTTGTAGAAAAATAAAGATTCCTTCTAGTTTGATTTCACGTCTATCGTGAAACGGCATAACGGATTCACATTTCCCGCTAGTAATTGCATTCTTCCAACTAATTCTGCTAGTTTGACACTTTTAGTCCTTGAGGTCCCGCAGGCATAAAAAATCACCCCTCGCTGTTTTGCAGCAGCGACCCCACCATCTTTAATCAACTCCAGTCATATTGAGGCGCACACATCTTCACATCCTCACGTACGACTCTATTGACCAAAAAGAGGCTTGAGCAGTGCCTGAACATATCGGATACATTGTCTGTTCAATATTTATAATCCGTTAATTTATCTCTCCTCAATTCATCCGACCGCAAATATGCCGCCTAAGAAGAAGGGAAATAAGAAGGGGGATGACGACTGGGAGGCAGAATTAGGCGAGTCGATAGCACCTGCAAATGGAGACGGCACTGCTTCTGCCGCCGCCGCCCCCGAAGAGAACAATGAAGAAGACGCACCGGCAGGTGGCCTCATGGCAATGATGAAGAAGAACAGAGAAAAAAGAAAGAAGAAGGGCCTGTCGGAGGATTTTGTTGATGGCGGCAATGCCTCCACTACCGAGCCCGTACCTGATGTGGCTGCTAAGGCCCCCGACGAAGCGACAATGGATGATGAGTTTGCATTGCCAGAAAAGAAGGGTAAGGGTGGAAAGCAGAACAAACAGCAGCCGGCAAAATCCGCAGCGGCGGGTGCTGATGATGACGAGGTGGGAGAGGGTGGAAGAATGTTAACTAAGGCCGAAAAGGAGAAGTTGAAGAAGGAGCGAGAAAAGCAAAGGAAAAGGGAACAGGTGAGTAAAGCTTTAAGTGTATATGACTTCGCTTCATAGTCTAACTCAAACTCCCTAGGCCGCGAAGAAGAAGACCACACCCGCTCCAGCCCCTAAAGCTGCCGAGCCTGCGAAGCCCGCGGTAGAAGAGAAGAAGGACACCCTCGAGGCTGAACAAGCAGCCGAAGCTGGAGGAAAGAAGGGCAAGAAGCTCCCTGCGCATTTATTGGCTCTCCAGAAACAACAGGAGGACCTACGACGGCAGCGAGAGGAGGCCGAGCGCCTTGCCATCGAAGAGAAAGCTAGATTAGAGGCACTCGAGCAGGAAGAAGCCGAAGCAAATAAGCGAAGAGAAGAGGAGAAAGCTCGCAAAAAGCAGAAAGAAAAGGAGAAGATCGAACAGCTAAAAAAGGAAGGCAAGTTCCTTACCAAGGCACAAAGAGAAGAGAAGGCCCGGAACGAGAGAAAACTTCAGCAGATGATTGCTGCTGGTATTAAGGTCGGCCCTTCTGAAGATGGCGATGAAAAAAAGAAGAAGATTGTCTATGATAATAAGAAGCGTGGCAAGAAGAGCGACCAAAAGGTATTTATTCACGCTACCATATTCTTTCCCCATCTACCACCCCGATAAGTCCTAACCCGCATTCTACTAGGTTGACGAGGATAAAGTCTTAGCCGAAGCTGCAGAGCGCGCGAGGCAACAAGCCGAAGCTGCAGCAAAAGCAGCTGAAGAAAAGGCAGCTCGACATGCTGCTAAAGCGGTAGTCAAAGCTGCTAAAGAAAAGGCAGCCCAAGAAGAGGATGTCGACGAAGACTGGGAGACTGCTGCCGCTGCTGTTGATGAGGACGTAAAGGATAGCTGGGATGCTGAATCGGATGGGGAAAACAATGCATCAGCACATGCTGGGCAAAGAAAGCCGATACCTTCCCGACCTAAACCTGTATCAGAAGATTCTGATTCTTCGGATGAATCATCCGAGGACGAAGTCCAGACAGCAGCACAGGCCGCAGAAGCTCAACGAAAGAAGGAAGCTGCTGAACGACGAGAGAAGGCCCATCAAGCCGCCTTAGCTGCTAGATCAAAGGATAACCTCCGTTCTCCTATTTGCTGTATTCTGGGACACGTCGATACAGGAAAGACGAAGTTGTTGGACAAGATCAGACAGACCAATGTCCAAGAAGGCGAAGCTGGTGGTATTACTCAACAGATTGGTGCGACATATTTCCCCGTCGACGCCATCAAGCAGAAGACGGCCGTGGTCAATCCGGACGGGAAATTTGAATTCAAGGTCCCCGGTCTATTGATTATTGATACCCCTGGCCACGAGTCTTTCTCTAATCTCCGATCCAGAGGATCTTCGCTTTGTAACATTGCCATATTGGTTGTTGACATCATGCATGGCCTTGAGCCTCAGACACTCGAATCCATGAAACTACTCAGGGATCGAAAGACGCCTTTCATCGTTGCGCTCAACAAAATCGATCGTCTCTACGGCTGGAAGAAGGTTGACAACAATGGCTTCCAAGAAAGTTTGGCGCTTCAGAACAAGGGTGTCCAAAACGAATTCAAGAATAGGTTGGAGCAAACAAAACTTGCATTTGCTGAGCAGGGTTTCAACGCCGAACTCTACTACGAGAACAAGTCGATGGCCCGATTCGTATCTCTGGTACCAACCTCGGCACACACTGGCGAGGGTATTCCCGACATGCTGAAGCTGATCATCCAGTTAACCCAAGAGAGGATGGTGGGCTCCCTAATGTATCTATCCGAAGTCCAGGCTACCGTTCTCGAAGTCAAGGCCATTGAAGGATTTGGTATGACTATTGATGTTATCCTGTCCAACGGTATCCTTCGAGAAGGTGATCGGATAGTAGTGTGTGGTGTAGAGGGTGCCATCACTACCAACATTCGTGCACTGTTGACACCCGCTGTTATGAAGGAACTGCGTGTAAAGTCTCAATACGTGCACAACAAGGAAGTGAAGGCCGCTATGGGTGTGAAGATCAGTGCACCAGGCCTTGAGGGTGCCATTGCAGGTTCGCGACTGCTCGTAGTTGGACCTGACGACGATGAGGAAGATCTTGAAGAGGAAGTCGAGTCGGATCTTAACAAGCTGTTCAGCCGTGTTGCTACGACAGGTCGCGGTGTGAGCGTGCAAGCCTCAACACTAGGTTCACTCGAAGCTTTACTCGACTTCTTAAAAGATTGCAAGATTCCAGTAGCAAACGTTGGAATCGGTCCTGTGTTCAAGCGAGACGTTGTCCAATGCGCGACTATGCTCGAGAAGAGTCCGGATTACGCTGTTATGCTTTGTTTTGATGTGAAAATTGACAAGGAAGCACAGGCATATGCAGAAGAAAATGGCATTAAGGTTTTTACCGCTGATATTATCTACCATCTCTTCGATGCTTTCACAAAACACATGGATGAGCAGCTTGAAAAGAAGAAGGAGGAGTCTAAGATGCTGGCAGTCTTCCCCTGCGTCCTCAACACCGTCGCTGTCTTCAATAAGACAAGCCCTATTGTTGTAGGCGTTGACGTGGTAGATGGTAGCCTCAAGGTCAACACTCCAATTGCTACCGTGAAGCAAAATCCGATAACTGGTGCCAGGGAGATAATCAGTCTAGGCAGAGTGTAAGTGGCGCTAAAATATAGCTATTTCTTTTTGCTTATTTGACTAACAACTTCATAGGACTTCAATCGAGAGGGATCACAAACAGATTCCAGTCTGTAAGAAGGGTCAACCTTCAGTAGCTGTCAAGATTGAGATGGGTGGTCACCAGCCCACATACGGCCGACAGCTCGAAGAGAAGGATGTCCTCTACAGTTTGATTTCTCGAGCCAGTATCGACACTCTCAAGGAGTTCTACCGTAAGGAAGTATCAAATGAGGAATGGCAACTCATAATCAAGCTCAAGCCTCTATTTGACATCAACTAGAGTGTACCTACTAGCATCAATGGGGACATCAAGGCTGAGAAACTAGTGTGCATTTGAAGACGGCCCATGAACATCATGGGAGCGTGGCATTTTCCCGCTTGTATTTTTGAGGTCGACGGGAGGAAGGCTACAAAACGGTACGGTATATGAAACGGGGTTCTCATGCATTCTAAAATGAAGCACGATGGCCTGATGGCTTGGTACCGGATAGATTGAGATCTCTCGTCTCATACGCAGTGTAGGTATTAGGGAAAATTTAGCTGAATCGTTTGAGGAAGCTCTTATATCTTCATTGAGCGATGATTATTCTATTACTACCATACCACTAGCATCCTTCGTCAACTGTTTTCATTTTTTATGAATCCCATCGTCATACTCCATCTGGAAATAACTACCTATTGACCCAAATCTTCGACGTCAATAGGGTGCATAGGCATCTCCCACATCCTAGAAGTGGTGCATGTCCTTGGCGAAGTGTTGACGGGATGAAGACGTAATATGTATGTGGTACCTACTGTTTAAGAAGACATTTCTTTCATCGCAACCCCTGAACAAGGATAGTTACCTGCCTTCGACTTCACTAATTCAAGGTACTACATGACATGCATAATACCTCAAGCACGACAGTTATGCCGTGTGACGTTTTAACAACTTCCGTCGAAGATACTTCGCTGCCGCAGCAGGAAACATTCCTTGAACTGAATATATGTCAGCAACAGTGTATTACTAAGGGGTTGAGATAGTATGAGAACAGCCTGTTTACTTGACATATAATTAATTTTGAAGTCTTTTGTCCTTTTTCCCTCCCAAATGTATTGATGTTGATGTGTAGGCTCGGGTCTTACGAAACTACCCGCAACGACGGTTGAGCGTCCCGTAGTATAAGGTATCAAATTCATCGTCTGTGACAGACAAACATAATACTCGGCATTACTTCTTTGAGAAGACTAGTTTGACAGAGACTTATTACGTTTCTGTTTTCGCTTTTGGAGAGAATTGAAAATCACTAGACGGCCCGAGAAAAGTTGACATGATATTATCAATATTGTATTCATCGCATATTCTACCCTAAATTCCCAGAAAAGCTAGCGAACAGACTTTTATGTACTCCAAAGATTCCTTGACTGAAAGAGGCACAACAGCTAGCTAGGTATTGATTTTAAGGGGCCCTCTACGTAAGAGGATAAGATGAAATAGAGACAAGGGGGCTGGCTTTCGCTTATTTATCCGGTTCGAGAGGGACAATAACCGAGATGATCTCGTGTCGTCAGACCCTAGCTAACTAACTTAAGCGCAGAGGCTGGCCTGCAAGTCCACGGGCTGCGGGCAGCCGTACACCTTCTTGTGGTCGGGCGTGCTGTAGCAGTCGGCCTGGCCGGCGGCACAGTCGAAGATCTCGCAGCCGGCGCCAGGGGTGAGGACGTTGTGCGCGTTGGCGAAGGGGTTGCCCCATTCACTAGAGGTTTGTTAGTACGTGGCTGGCGGTAGCCATCGGATGATTAGAGAAACTTACGTGCTGAATTCATCTGAAGGATATGTTAGCGGATGTTCTAGATTGATATTCCTGTGGTAACAGGAGTGTGTACTTACAGTAGGCGTAGTCGGGGTTGGAGCTGAAAGAGTAGCCGAAGAACAGCGGGCTGCTGAGGGTCTTGGTGGTGGCGATCTTGACGGTCTGTATCATAAGGTGTTAGTCTGATCTACTCTGGAGTGGCAAAGGTTGGGCGAGAGACTGACCGAGCCGGAAGGACGGAAGTCCTCGGAGAAAGACTCTCCGGGGTTAACGGTGGTTAGGGAACCAGCGGCGCTGCCGTCGAAGGGGTACGACTGGACGAAGACGGCCTCAGGGCAGTTGTTCTTGACGATGGCCTTCCCGGCAGAGACGCCGGTGGCGACGAGGGCAGCACCCATGATGGCAGCGGAGAACTTCATTTTGGCGGGTTGGGGTAGAAGTAAAAATTACTAATTAAGATCTGGATATTGTATTGTTGTTGGAGATTAGAAGATATTATCAAGAGAGGCGCTGGTGAGGAGACAAGAATAAAACTGTAGATCAGCGAACGAAGAGCTGGTTTATATATACGCTTCTACGACGTAACGCCTAAATGGTCGGGTAATGCCCTCGCATACGTTTGTCGCTGTCACAGCTGTCACAGCTGTCATCAGAGGGCTGCTACTCCATCGCAATACGAATGCCAATTCTCGTATTACCTTGACACGAGGTCGGGGTCGTGATCTTAGATCCAATCAATAACCGGTTCTGCGTCTGGGGTCCCGTCTCCGCAAAAAAGAGGCCCGAGCCGGTTCCGGCTGATATGCCGAATTCGCCTTATATGACCTGCTGGCTGGTATGGACTTCTACGAAGAAGGTATTATATTGCGAGGTGATGGAAAAGAAGCTTCTTTGTTTTCTTTTCAACAGGTAGCTATAAACCTATCTGATACAGCATTATTGGTGATAATACGAATGGTGATGATGTTACTATTCTGTAAGGTCTTTGTTCAAGGTGTCCCGGTAGTCCCGGGTAAGCATCTGGCATAGGCTACTATCTCGATAGAGCTCATCGAGTACGGGAAAGGGTCTCATCATCTGAACACGACCAACCAATCAGTTATTCGAGTAACCACAGCTGCAGCCTCACCGCTTATCCCCTCGATACAGCTGAAAGATCTATTATGCAAATATTTCTTGGCGTCAGGACAGAGAATACAGGAACTACTATGTAGGGCTTAGTGTAGACGCTACTGCTTCACACTCTGTCGGTACTAGTATTTAGTTTGGTTTATTCTACGGAATGTAACGTTGTTTTACACATAGGTATCTAGAGTGTAACTGAGTTGAGAGTTAATTTTCCATGAAAAAAAAGATCACAGATTATTGTTATTGTTAATCTACCCAAGGTATCTGGGAATGTAATAACGATGGGGAAAGTTGCTCGACTCTTGAGTTCCTTTGGAGAACATATTACTAGAGAAAACCCAGCGAACCCGAGAGTGCTGCGGCTTGTAAAAGGCCTGCTCAATTAGAAGACAGCCAGGCCGACATCCGACGTTCCATCCCGACCTGTCATTATTGCCAAGACTACTATGTAGGTATGTACATAAGGACAACAAACCACTCGATCCACCGGAGCCTATTCTGTTCCTGAATTCTAGAACCCCTCAATACGACACATATGTAGCTGTCACGGATTTGTTGTCACCGCTAATTTTGACAAAGAGAAAAACGAGAGGCTCGGAAGGTTTTACCATACGAACGTCGTACGGGAAAATTCTTATTTATGTAAGGATGCTAGCGGCTTCGTGATTTAACAGGGGTTAAAGCTCCACTTCTACCGTGTGGTGTTTATGCGAAAAGGTACGGAATATTTAGACTTGGAAACCCGGCGTTTTCATATATGGAGACTGGAATATGTGTCGAAAAGGCGCAAGGGAACTCATTAGGCTATGGAAAGATCTAGAACGAGTGAAATCGGATGACTTGACCAGGAGAAAGCCTACATAGCCCCTGAACTCCCTAATAGCAGAATTTGCGGCACGGACAAGAACCAGGAACTCATCACCCAGGGTCGTCAAGCTATTTACTCATTGGAGTCGACGAGCGACGGGTGACAGGTATGTTCGGGGTCTTCTCTGCTAATATTGAGAACATAGCCAATATTGATATAGCAGTTGAAAGGGACATGTAGATACTTGACTCTATACATAATCTCAAGTAGTGAAATTCTCTTTTCATCGAACTACGCGATAGATGTACTGCCAGTAAGAGTTTAGAAGGCTATTAGAGACGGGTGCTGAAAGATACGGTATATGAGCTGTATGTTGTATATTGACTTGATCTATCAACTATATGAGTAAGGAGGGAGGTCTTTCTTATATATGCATTCTGATATAGGGAAATTATCTACTTAATAGATTAAATTCTCACTAATATAATAGCTAAATGCTATAATGGAAAGGGGAACATTGTTAGTGAAAGATACCTATTTGCATACCAGAACCCTTAATATAGGGTTGAGATATGGGTATCACATAGCAAGTTGACTGCGTGTTGATGAATAGCCGTGATAATAGCGGGTGGTAGACCGCCTCAAGGCTGGCTACTAAGGGGTCTACAGTGAAAGCGCCGTATCAAGGTGATTGCAGCAGTGAAAGTATAGTATGAGAATATCTAGTAGTAGCAATTATATGACTAAGAGTATATTCTACTTATCTATTAAATGAGTGTGTAAATATGGTAGCGTGAGTAGCCTTTATGAGGCCTGGCGATAACCTTGCAGTCATCCCTAATAAATACATCGTACTAAAAGAGCTATATATTTAATAGCAATAGTATTTGATAAAAAGCCCGGATCCGAAGCTTGTATAGAAACGGATATGTGTAAGGAATATTTAATAATTTATTTTAAGTAAATAGTACTTTCTATTATTGAAATGTTTTCAGAAAGCCACGTTTTTATCCTTACTCATCTCTTTAGCCATTAAAATGGGTAGTTTAAGGACCACCTTAAAGTATAGCACGATGAATATTAGCGAGAACGTGTATAGTATAAAAAATAATATTCCCTTGAAAGGACAGTCCTATTGGGTCCAAATTGATCCCAAAGACCTTAGAATTTATAAAGGGGCAGGGGATACGATGTTTTTAAATATATTACATGCTTGGGCTATATACCAGCTAGCCGCCTATTACCCTGTGATGGTATAATATAGCAATGGTGATCTTTGACAAGTAGCTTGATTGACTAACCGAGCTTCTTCTTAAAGGGGCAAGCCTGACTTATACACACGTTCTCAATAAGATATCACGTGCTGTATCTGACGACTGTCCCTTGACCACTTATTCCAGAACTAAAATCTAGGACGAGAATGCTGGCGATGTTATTGAAGAATACGAATGGATCAGGTATGTTTGACTTTATGGGGTAGTGAAGAGAATTGCAAGTACATAGATAGATTCGAATATACTGTAGTTAGCGCCAAAGAAAACGGAAATAACCTTACTTCCAGAATGGTTAAATATCAAAGGTAGATCTTCTCTATATGTACCTAACTAGCCTCTTAACCTAGATGAAGTTTAAAGGTCGAGGTAACTATCAAGAAGCAGCAAGTTTTAGTTTGCCAGGGGCGGCCATTAGAGCCGGGAAAAGCGGGTCTTAACTCCTATTTCCTCTTAAACTCCTTGATACCTAGTCGCCGCCTACATTAGTTTCCGGATAGCTGTTATTCTTGCCGCTTTATAGGTGAATCTATACGAACGATTAGACTAAAAGTCCGCACTATAAATCTTCCACGGTTAAAGTAAATACAATAAATATAAGCGGGTTAACGAAGAGAAGATAGTGGATGAAGAGGGTAATGAAAATATTTTTATGGTAAGTCATATACTCATAGAGCTTAGCTGTCCCGCATACATGACGAATTGAAGGTATGTTTTTTTTTTGAGGTATTGGATAGAATCTCACCGAACTCTCGGGGAATTAGATATAACCTAACCTAGGGGAGTATCAGAATATTTATAAAGCTTAGATTGATACATAAACTCGGCCTAAATTTAGCCCGCTTTTTTACAAATTGCTCCGAACTGAGGTTGCTTTGTAATGTCCACTCTTCTGTTGGAGCTCGTTTCCCAAGGAAATAGCTTAATTATATGCCGCATGTATGTAAGAAGGTAAAGTGCTAAAATGGTGAGGGTCATGGTGGAAGATAAAATGGAACGGGTCCGTTATCACCGGTACTTGCATCCGCCATGTACGCATATATCAGTGATATAGGTAGGTACCTAATTCTTCCACCGTTGCAAAATCTCCCCGAGCAGACAATTGGGCAGTGGGCTTATATATATTCTTAATCCTTCTTCCAAGTTTATGATTCTCAATACCGTGCCACTTATCTCCTACTTCCTTCCTCCTATCCACCAGGTTCATACTCAAATATAGAACAACTCTTAAGACTTACACAGTAACTATGACATCTTCTACGGCTCCCCAGATCTTACTAACCGGGGCTACTGGGTTCATCGGCGGTACTATCTTAGACCACTTCATCAACTCGAAGTCTCCGGCCTTTAGCGGCGCCAATATTTCCGTACTCCTGCGGGGAGAGGACCGTGCTGCCAAGTTCACATCCACCTATGGCTCTCGCGTGAAGCCAATCCTATACAAAGACATTGACGACATTGATAGCACGATCGCTGCTGCAGCGCAGCACGATGTCGTCATTAATACCACACTTGGCTTCCACCCCGCCTCCATCCAGGCGGTAGTCCGCGGCCTTGCCCAGCGCAAGGCCGCAACAGGGCGTGATGTGTGGTTAATTCACACATCCGGCACTTCAAACTTCTGCGACTGTCCGATCACGAAGAAGTGGGTGGAGCCGGAGGGCCGCGAGTTCGACGATGCTAAGGATGATATCTACGGGTACGAGAAGGACCGCGAAGTGCAGGAGGGCCCGTACCACCAGCGTACCGCAGAGATGGGCGCTGTAGATCTATCTTTAGAGCTAGGCGTAAAGTCGATAGTTATCAACAGCGGAACTATCTATGGTCGCGGAACCGGTCTATTCAATAAGACAAGCATTCAGGTCCCCTTGTTCGTCCGTGCCGTGCTGGAGCTCAAGAAGGGTATCGTTTTGGGAGACGGCAAGGGCGTGTGGGATCACGTGCACGTTGAGGATCTGGCGGACCTTTACCTACTCGTCCTAGAACGCATAATAGCGAAAGGCGGCGAGGGCGTGCCGTCGGGCAAGAAGGGCATCATCTTCAGCGGCAACGGCCGACACCAATGGCTGGACGTGGCGCAGGGGGTGGCTGATGCGGCCTTCGCCGAGGGTTTGATCCCGAGCAATAAGCTGGAGAGCCTTACGCTCACAGAGGCAACTAAGTATATGATGGATGGCAAGGCTTCAGAAGAATTGGTCGAGAAAGGCGTCGTGAGTAACTCGCGGACTGTGGCATCTGTAGCTAAGAGCTTGGGCTGGAAGCCGACGAGGGGAGAGGACGTGTGGAAGCGGGGGTTCGCTGAAGAGGTGAAGGCTGAGCTGGAAAAAAGCAAATAGTGTCTGATAAGATTAAAAGGGACTTCATCTTCTAGCAACTAGTATATATAGTTGAGATCTAGATAGGTATATAAGCCGTTTGCCTATATCTTATATATATTAGCCCAGGGCAATGCCGTGCAACCATGGCTTTGCGTCTGCCTTGGAGAAGATTCGGCGCTGCGACGGGGAAACTGACTATCGATTTCATCTTGATTGAAGATGATCCCGATATCATGTAGCTGTTGGAGTATCCAAGCTAGTACAATATCACCAAGGGAAGCTCCCTCAGAGAGCGCACCCATATCACGATGGCTCCCAAGGAAATAAACTTACTTTAGACAGGTGCGCCTATACTCGGGTACATGCATCAGTGTAGGTTGGAATGGACCACGACATTCGTGGAGAGCGAGTGCATGAAACGCTTTGTTGATATCTAGAATACAAGTTAGTATTTAACTGAAACTGGGCATTGTTATCTCACTTGGCCCGATGTCTGTCTCTAAGAATTCATATTTCTTCATTGGTAAGAGAAGATGGAATAACCCGAATAAACCCCTGAGATAAGTTAATTGTGTTGGAATGACAAGGGTTTAAGATAGATTACGTAATATCGTGAGAGGTAGTGGATGGTGTTGTGCTTGATTAAGCTTGAGGAATCTTTACGAATAGTTGCCCTAGGTTTACGAAAGATTGGCCCTATAAGTAGGGGTTAATCTGAAGTACTTCCGAATAGGAGGGTTTTCCATGTGCGATGTATTTTCTACCTTTCATCTATTTTCCTAAGATTTTCATAATTTCTTTTCCTTTTGAGGTTTTAATGATCGCTGCAACCCTCGCAACACCATCCCCAATTATAGGGCTAATCCTTAATTAAAGCGCAGCAATTTTTAGGGTGCGGTCGTCGGGTGTACGCAAACAGCACAAGTAAGGCAAATTTTAACTGTATGTTCATATGGTTTCCATATCCTAATTGTACATAATAGGTACCAAGCAAACTATAAGTACCTACGTATACGAGAGTATTACACAAGAGTTAAGATGGAGGCTTAACCGTAAAATTAGAATTGACATTAGATTATAAGCTAAATGATAATATAACCCTACCTAGGTAGTCATTAATACCTAAGGGCGACCGCGTCACACTATATGGATATACGTGACACCAGTAAACACCAACATCTCCAACCAAGTCGCTATCCCCTCCAGAAATTGCACATCTTTACTTTTCATGGCGCTACTCGGACTCTCGGTCGGGCAGGCCACATTCGGATCGGTAGCAAAACCGGTACATGCCTGAGAAGTGATAGCGGCCGAGATACTAGACGCGGCCGAAGCACCTACTTCGACCCCGCAAGTCCTTGTGGGGGGCGGGGCCGTCACATTAGACGGCGGCGCAAGGATGGCGCACGTCTCTCGGCCGTCGTATTTGTATGGATGAGGAGTATCCAAACTGCCCGTCACGTTCAAGGTAACGCGCGTGTCGGTGACGTTGCCGCAAGTTTCATCGTCAGGTGTATTAACACTGGCGAGGTCGAGCTGTTTTGTGCCATTCTTGGTAGTGAATTCGACAACATTGTTTCGGTGGCTAAAGCTGATTTCAACGGGGTATAGTGTGCTAGGGGTCTCGGAGCAGTTTCTCCAGGCCACCTCCCACCGTATCCACCAGGAATCCTCGACGTTAAGCTTCTTAGTGTACGTAAATACGAAATAAGGGTCGCTGATGTTAGAGAAATCGACCCATTGTAGATCTTTATTCCCAGAAGAAAATGGGCCATCGGAAACGGGTTCGTCTTCCTTATAGATATCCCATTGGAAGCTTAGATCAAGGGGCTTGGCAAGCTGCGGGTTCCGGATCGCGAAGACGATAGGTGTAAGTACGGTAGGCGCAAATGTACCGTTGCGCGGATAAATAAGGTCTACGTCTAAAGTCGCTGGAAATTCAATCGCCTTCACTGCGGAAATACATGATAATATCGTGGCGGCGACTCTCCATGATGTCAAAAGAAGGACCATAATGAGGCGACAAGCGGAATTCGAAGTTTTCCTGAATCTTATTATGTACAATAGATATTAAGTTAATACTAAAGTGAAGATGAAAACATCAAGGCTCCAATGTTAGAGAAAGCCTAGAGACTTTTATTAAGGAAGACACGGAAAAGTTAGCCGTGCTGACCGATAGCGTATCATCAATCTCGAAATGAACTTCATGGGATCATTCAATACGGGGGATATATAGCTGGACCCCTGAAATTGGAAAAAATCGGATTGGTGTATACTAAGTGGGCCGTTCCCTTGAAGGAAGGCCAAGTATTTCTATACTACCTACATTATGTATTTGAGTGAAGGATCGTATGTTATGTGTAAAGCTAGCACTGGTTAGTACTGAATTTTTTTTTTCCCATATTCAGGTCGGCTTGGTATGGTTGGAAATCAGGCAACGTTGATTATTTTTGCAAAGCATTCTTTACCAGTAGAAAATAGTATCGGATCTATTTATGACAGAACGAATGCTGTATGATGGGATAGCCTGCAATTCCAATTAGTATTTAATGTACAACTATTGGTAATGAAAACCACAATACCAGGAAGTAAAATGGATATTCCTTGTTAGTCATACCCGATTGCGTGACCATACAGAGACTACATAACATAGTCAGTCCTATATATTTTCATCAATCTTTGAATTTAATATAAAATACCACGCAGAATGTTATTGCTTAGTATGCGGATAGGCTTTCAATAAGAATTCCACCTATGTTAATATAACGAGTTGTCTAATCGCCACTATCTCAAGAGTACCTAAAATTTTGATGCTTCAAGGGGATGATGACCAAACCCAAGCTTAGAAGATAGTTTTTACTTGACATCAAACGAGTTTACGACGATAAGGTGAATATATTATAATCGTATTAATTGAAAACCCGTATTCATGAAATTTGATTTCGATGCGCTGATGAACTTCGTGTAATGAAACTCCGTAGTGATTATGTCAATGGCCGGAATGATTCCGGCCACGGCCGGTTTTTACCGGGCTTGGTGGATCCACTTTTCCCTATCACCTACCGGGAGATAAAGTTAGGCTTCATCTTGCTGAATTTCAATTACGTAACTCTTATCGGCATGTACGACATCTTTGTTGGGTAAATTGTCTGCTTTACTAGCAGGCAATTGTGCTTCTACTATAATCGATGCTGATTGATATCTACCTACCTTAGGTTAGGTAAGTATTAACCGGAAGAGAGAACAGTTTGTGCGATACTGCATTAAGAAATCATATTTGCTATCTAGAATCATAAAGGCTCATGTCGAAGCCTGTAATTATCATACAATGTATAATTTTGAACGTCGTGAAAGTGCTAGGCAGATAGGGGAGGAGAGCTGTCTGTTAGCCGAGGGAATAAGTCTAAATTATTGCGCTCGAGCTTTTATTGTCCAAGTATAAGCTAGGAGTTAATGGGAATCCTGTATGTCACGCGGGATGTACGTTGATAGTTGATCAGGACTGTTATGCGGTGGGGATCGCGATGAATTATAATATTTTAGCTGTTGTTGAGGTTCGCTTCATATCTTGACTATTCCTATCTTGTTTTGTACGATATAAAGATAAGCGGCAGTTGCATCAGTCGTTCAAGATATGGTAAGTATGAACCCGACTTCGGGCTGGGTATATTGGTCGGAAGAGTTCCGGCCATGAGGTAAATTTAAGGGGGAGGATGAATGAGTTTGCTATAGAATCCGGTTTCGCTCGAGGCCGGAATCGTTCCGGCCAGGAAGGTGTGAGAAGGTTCCGGAGGTCCTGGAACTTACTTGATCGTCAACTCCGCAATTTTATGTTGAGGCCGGAACTGTTCCGGCCACGGTCTATTTTAGCACGCGAAGTCGACCACCACTCCGGTCTAACTTTTCGTACCTCAAGATCCCCTCCGAGCCCAAAACTTATATATATTATTTCAACCCTTAAAGTCCACACTCTTACAACATTGCAACATGTTCATTCCTAAGTCATCCTTCGAGGTCTTAGAAGACACTAGGCCGGATGATGTCTCACTTCCTGCCTTTATGGTCTCAACGACTCGGGGTTTCCTGGCACGGATGGATCCTCTCGTCACTCTCCCCCCTGAGTTTGAACCGGTCGAGACTCTACTTCAAGCAATGCCTGTCAAGACTCAGTCAGGCAAGCCTGGACTGCTTGCTACCGGCCAGCTGGGTGATGCCGTACTTAAAGACCTTCCAGACCTGACCGAACAGATCGAAAAATACCATGATAACCTTCCCATGATGAATGCCCTTTATCGTGACTACTCATTCTTAGCATCGGCGTTTCTCCTCGAGCCATGCCACTTGAGGTTCGTCAAGGGTGAGCCATATGGACTAGGGAGATCTTTCCTTCCGGCTCAATTGTCTCGACCTATTGTTCGTTGTGCTGAGTTGTAAGTCATTGTAGTCTTCGTCACATCATTTTATGCCTTGACTGATTCCTTATAGAGCTGGATTCAAACCCTTCATGGAGTATGCTGGTTCATATGCCCTTTTTAACTATCGCCTTCAGAATCCAGATGCGGGTCTTGAGTACTCTAACTTGCGCCTAATACGGGCCTTTGAGCACGGTTTGGATCCTACCTCCTCCGAGGCTGGCTTCGTACTGGTGCATATCGACATGGTAAAGAACTCGGGCCCCTTGGTTAGCGGCACCATGTCATGTTTGCGAGCGCTTGACAATGCTGATGGGGGTTCAACCTTGGAGCAGAGGAAGACCTTTAATAAAGGTCTACGCACCGTTGTAGATGCGATGAGAATAGTCAATGGCGTAATGGAAACTATGTGGATGAAATCTAAACCACGGTCATATACGAGCTTTCGTACTTTCATATTTGGCATCACGTCTCAGTCCATGTTTCCCGATGGTGTTATCTATGAGGACGTCAACAACGGCAAGCCCTTAAGCTTTAGGGGTGAGAGTGGTGCGAACGACACTATGATCCCGTTGATGGATAACCTTCGTATGTATTATCAAAAATATTTTTTCATCCCCAACAATCCTTGCCGGACTAGCTTGGGAGCTATGGCCCCTAAGACACGTCCGAGCTCCTTCGAGTATTTCAAATAGTAGCGCTTATTGACTCATAATTATAGTTCAGATCGATATGCCAGATACGCCTCTCACTGAGATCTTAAAGGATTTCAGGGACTACCGACCGAGTAACCACCGCCAGTTTCTTGCTGAGGTGAAGAAGTGCTCAGAAGAACTACATATGAAAGACTTTGCCCTAGCCATTGGTATCGAACACAACTCAACAATAGGAAATGAAGATCTAGAACTAGTAAAAGAGTCCCGACGCCTTTGGCTCCACGCTTTGAACCAGGTTCGAGACTTCAGGTGGCGGCACTGGTGCTTTGCCCGCGAGTACATTCTAAAGCAGACCTCGCATCCCACAGCCACGGGAGGTAGCCCCATCGTAACTTGGCTCCCAAACCAACTACAGGCTGTCATGGAGGAGATGACAGAGATTGCCAACAGTGTCGGTGCGCGAAGTGGATCTATGGAACTTGGGTCAGAACATCAGGATATCATGGACCTTGTTGAGCGACAGAACCAAAGCTTGCAGAAGGAAGTAGATAAATACTGTAGAGAACGTGGCGTAACTACACACTGTATTAAATAAATCGCAGAGATCTCATTCCTCTATAGGGGTTAGCATAGATAACCTACTTAATCCTCTAAAAGAGCTCTACCTGGCTTTTTGTGGTGTTGCGAAGATATGGTCCACACATCACGGGAGGTTTGCGCTCGTTCTAAAGTATAACGACTTGGTAATAAGTATAATTCTAAAAAGGGTTATGGCCTTGCTCACCCGGATACGAGCGAGCTATGCAGTGTATCCCAGACACATATATCCAGTACAAATAAATATAACGTATAAGTCTCATTCATGCTTCCAAGCAGAAACGTAATTATTAGGCTATTGCTCGAGTAACGGTAGAGGAGGAATGTGTTTAGTTCGGGTGACGACCCCTCGGGTTCCATAAAAAGGGGTATTGCTTATAGACGAAGTTAAATCGAACGCTATACTCATTTTCGAACTTATTCTTACTTTCATATTAAATATTACTGATAATAAACCCCGTGCTCAAATCTAAAGAGGGTAAGACTCGGGTATATATTGCAATGCCTTTTCCCCCGATAAATCGGGTTCTCAGGCTTATACAATCCAGTCCACTACCAGAAGAAGAAATCGGCGATCCGAACAAGACGTTATTCAACAGAGCACTGCACTGAAATGCAAGTTATTAACATATTCTACTACTCACAGTATATCGGACAGGAGTCATCAAAAAAAAAGGTGGCTATCCCACTGCGTGCAAAAATGGTGCCACCAAGCCATTACGAGTCACTACCAAGGGCATCGAGAGAAGACGAGGTGCCCAGTTTTCGGACACATCGCCTCGGGCTATATCAGACCAGTGTAGAAAGCGACGGGTCTGAAAAGATACGCATTAACGTCAGGATTGGGAGAAACGGACCTCTCGTGCCCTTATTTGTTCACGAACACAAGAATCTAACCTACCTGCAAGCTCTAATACTATGTGAGCCACCAATATTCCCGATCGTCAAAGAACGATAGAGCAATTTCGTTAACGAAAATAGGCAAAGTCGAGAATTACGACGGAGAATACCTCCCATATAGGGGGTGGCCTCATAAGTACGCTATATTTTTACGAGGAGAATCCCTTTGCGATATCATAGAGGATTCTCGTTTTCAATGCGGCCATTGCCAATATACTGTCCATGACTTCTTCGTTGGGGGTGAAACGGTGCTGTACCAGGTAAGCCATATTTCGTGTCTGCAATAAGCGATACTGACAACAGTGAGGTGTACGACATGTCAGGCCGCGAGGTACCGTATAAGGGTAACCAGAATGCAATAACAATCACTGCTTCCCGCTCTTAGGTGGTTGAAAGACAAGAACTACGATCGGAATAATCGGTTTCTGTTCAATAGGGGTTAGTTATTTATTTTCTTCAGTTCCGTCTTTTGGATTTCCAAGTCTGTTGAGAGGAAATGAACTATACGATATCACAATACAGGTATATTTGAACGGCTTCTATTCGTCACTACCTAGGCTTTAACATTACATAATGCCGATCTACACATTTATCTTCATTGCACAGTCCATTTATCATAATCTGGGAAATACTGGTCGTGGATGCGTCCCGCGTAGTCAAGGAGGACCGGGAAGCTCTTGATCGTGTCATGAGATTTGGGTCCGCTATAGTGAAGTGCTATGATTAGTATAGGTTCGAATTAGGATATGAGTTACTGTTCACTCACGCAGTACATATCCAAGCAGATACAATAAAGCCAAATAGACACGCATCCGCCTCTGTCGGTTCTTCTCCGCCCAGTACCCAGAAAGGCTTCTCGTCGCCGCCTTTACTACTGGATCGCGACATCACAACTATACCATGAAGATTAGCGTCTTTATTTCTTAAGCAGGGGCTAAACGGGCTGTTGAACTGGAGTTGAGAGTTACAGCACTCTTCGGCTACATCCCAATAAAACCAATAGGATGATAAGAAGTTCCAAAAAGTTACTCACGTTGCACATTAATTGCCCCCCAGATCTCGTACATGGACTGCTCGATTTCCTCCTTGGTAAACCGGCCAGTACCTTGGCCATTCAACATCGTGGTGTTGGCACGATAAGCTAATAAACCGACAACGATGCGGATCGGATATGGGATCGGCCATAGAACATGGTCCCTCATAGTGTAGTAATTCTGGACCCAACGCTCCCAAGTCTACTGCACAGTCAGTAAATCATATGTCTTATGAATCATACGAACGATAAGATGGAAAGAAAATTTACTTGATAAAAGGATAACTTATTCTCCAGCAGAGCTATCAGCGCCATGTCTTGTAACCTTTTCGACGGGTCTAACGCTCTGCTTAGATCCGTAAGGACACCCCACTCAGTCAGGGTCTTGGTGATAAGGGTAGAGTCGCCGAGTTGTACTTTTGGCTGTGAGCCTTCCCCTTTTCCGGACGAAGAGGTAGTAGATAGATCGCGGCATTCTATGTATGGTATCTTGCCCCTGGGCGCCGTTTTAGGCGAACCTACTCCTATCTCATACCGCACGCCCGCAAAGCGCAACCGCGCTTCTAATTTGTTTACGTATGGGGACCATACATGATTTTTGGTGTCTCTAAATCCACGGAAGATGGTTATGTCCGGGCTTGCGTTGATGCTCTGGGTAACCATTGTGATGAACTGAGTCAAGCATCAAGTAAGTGATTGAAGTAGAGTTGACGATTCTGGCGTAGTTAGATGTAAATATAAAATATGTTAATACTGGTTACGATGAAGAAAAGGGATATCGAGTAATATTAATACCAAGCCATAGGAGATACTCGGTTGAAATAAATACTGGCAGTCCTAGGTAGCATTCGCGAAGTTCGTCACTTCGACTGGAGCGAGCGTGCGGCGCAGATGTTGTATACCTATTTAAAGACTATCGAAAATTACACGGCACTCAAGAATTATAAATGAACTAATACATACTTCGTACAAAATGCGCGTTGTATAATAAGCGCGAGGGCGAAACCACTATAGAAAAGACAGCATTGACTAACTTGAAAAGCTGATCCGTGCTCATGAGTTAGTCAGAGGCGGGCTAACTCGCACATTTCGGACAAGGTCATGATGCCGGCACGGGAGAAGGTTAAGACATGTTGAATTAGGTATTTTCTATCTTTGGCTCAAGACTGCACGAACCCCTACTAGCGTCCATATTACGGGGCTTCCACGTTGTCTTGGCATTTTCTTTTTTAATCACGGTGTTATTTGCCTAGGTTAGGCACTATGTCAAGTTAGTGTTGAATTCAATATCCTAAAAGTATTAAACAAGGTTAGGGGAGAAATAGAGGTGATTAGAACTATATATTTTCTAACTAGGCTATTAGTATTAGTCCCAAGTATGAAATGCTATAATATTATTTATTACGGATGTCGTTTAGATCTCATCGTTAAACGTAAAGGGAGATCTAAATATCGACAACGGAGCTAAGCGGGTTTAGACGAACAGATTAACCAATAGCACAACAGAACATCCCTTAATTAGTGGGTCAACGGCTATAAGCGCTTCGGCATTTTCTTATGATATCCGAATACTCCGGACTAAGACACTTACACTTCTAATTGCCTAACCTAGAACAACACTTTCAATCATGTACTATATCATGCGATTTACTTATGTATATACCATTCTACGGAGGTCACGCTAATCATACGGCCGAAATATTACAGATGCCATGTTATCAGAGAGACAACACCGCCGACGTCGAAGGCCGGCTTTATCTTGTCTTGAGTGCCGGCGCCGCAAGATCAAGTGCAACCGGAACGAACCATGTGCACATTGTGTCTCTGCCAAGTTAAAATGCATCTACAGGGTTTATAGCGACGAGCCCGTTAGCCAACTGCCGCTAAGGCCAGGTATTTCGCCTGTAGAAACGTCAAGCTCGTCAAGCCATGTACCTTCACTTTCAGTAGCCCAGACCCAGGAGCTTGACACCAACAGACCAATCACGGAACATGAAACCAATCACTCTAGTCATCGGGTAGGACAATCATCGGCAGATGATGCGGTAGGATCATTGTCTATGAGAGGTCAGAATGATAGACCAGGCACGATTGTTCCCGGCCTTGACCCTAGCAACCTTCAACCACATGTATCTACTCTAGAAGCCGAACCAGGTCTCGTAGGTATCCTTCAACGAGGACAGAACACCTCTTCCAAGTCTTCGGTACTTAGCCCTATGAATGGGCTATCTGAAAATAGCCGAGACATACTTGCGCGCCAGCTAGGGCTGCAGGACTCGCAGATAATTCTTAATAAAACAAGAATCTTAGGGTGGAGCCTTAGAATAGGCACAGCCCCGGAGGTAGAAAACACATTCATTTCATCTACATCCTATCTTGCTAACTATATCACAAGTTTGCACCTCTAATTGCCTGCTATGTTGCAGCTGCAAATACTGCCAAAGGGATCTTGCCTCAAGATACTGAAAAGGGAGCCCTGTATGCCCAGATATGGACTCTTCTTCAGAAATGTAAAAACATAGCAAGAAGTATCAAGCTAGGAAGGCCTAGCAGATGGCTCTCATACCCCGATTTCGACCTTGTACCTCCCGTGAGGGAGGTAGCGGATGCTATGGCAACTTCATATTTCCAATCATTCGAATCGACGTACAGAATAATACATGCGCCTACTTTTTGGTCCGAATATCAGAGACTTTGGGACTGTCCAGAAAGCGTCACGACCAGCTTGCGCCTTAAGATTCTCCTTGTAATCGGGATAGGATCGAGCCTATCTAACCATACAGATAGTGATCCTGGGTTTCGTAATATAGTTCCCCAATGGGTATACGCCGCCCAGACATGGCTCTCTGGACCCCTGGAAAAAGATCGTTTGGATATTACCGGGATCCAAATCTACTGCTTAACCATTCTAGCACGACAGATATTCTCAATCGGCGGCGATCTGGTCTGGGTGTCATCGGGATCGCTTATGCATATGGCAATGCAAATTGGGTTGCACCGCGACCCCAGGCATCTCCCAAGAATGCCCATCCTACAAGCTGAACTCCGTAGAAGACTGTGGGCTACTGTACTTGAGATAGTTGTACAATCATCTTTAGATTCTGCAATGCCGCCTAGAATCTCCTTTGATGACTTTGACACCGAAGCGCCGTCAAATAGCAACGATGATGAGATGGATGGGACGACTACGACACTCCAGCCACACCCAAGGGACAGCTATACTTCAACATCACTACAACTTATCCTACTTGACTTAGTACCAATACGTCTTCGGATTCTACAGCTTCTAAACGGCTTGCATTCCGAACTTGCTTACATGGATGCCCTTGCTTTGAGCTCAGAGCTTACCGACAAGTATCGCTCGTATAGTAGCTTCATAAGAGACAACGATAGGTCGGGCGTGACACCATTTCATAGAAATCTACTTGATCACTTGGTGCGGCGATTCTTAATCCCCCTCCATTGCCCTTTCGCCAGCGAAGCGCGAGCAAACCCCCTATTTTATTATTCGCTAAAGGTTACACTGGACTCAGCTATCACTCTTATTTCCCCTGAGCCCGACGAGAGGTTTTCTCGTCTTATGGCTATTGGTGGGGGCATGTTTAGAGAGGGATTCAGGTACGCAATAGCTGTCATTACTCGCGAGCTTGTCTCCCAAGTTGAGGCACAACATACCGACGGGGTACACCGACGTAATTCTCAGGATATTGAAAATCTGAAGAAAGCTGTAACAGATATGATCTCGTTATCATTAGAGCGTATCCGACAAGGCGAGACTAACGTCAAGGGGCCTATGTTCCTCAGCATGATCATGGCTCAAGTGGAAGCTATAGAGGAAGGAGTTCCGTACGACCTCAGGATTGCACAAAGTGGAAAAGACAGCCTTGAACTATGTGTTAGCTTGCTAGAAGAACAAGCGGGCAGCATCTCTTCGCCGCGTCCTAGTAATATTGGCTTGACGCCAAATAGTCTGGACGGTGGGTATGGGATGGATTTAGATTTCGACTTGGAGTTTTTGATGACCGATCCGGGCTTTGCTTGAGAGTTTGCCTATTATGTATGGCGTATTTGCCTCTCTAACACGCCTCCAGTCTGTTCTTGAGCGTAGCTCGTTCAAGTTCCTTATTCCCATTTTCCGCATGCGATTGAGTAAAGAGAGCCCTACGCATTAACTGGCTCGTACTTTACATAAACCAAGATTGGCTTGTAATGAAGTCCACATCTAGAGTCAAGGAGCAGATGAGCTCATGCGGTATTGGTATAGTAGGAAATATGAAGCATGAGAGAAAATAAATTACAACGTCAAGTTTGTACAAATGCAACGAGCCTCTGCACGATTTATACTCATTACCTCTTTCCCGCGGCCCATTACAGCCGGTCTAGTTATGTGTTCGCCGGTGTGCTACGTTCGCTCGGCTGAAACAGGAGATGACGGAGATAATCGGCCGCGAGAATTAAGGGGCAGCATTCTAAATATCTAACATGATGCGTCTGCACCCGGTGATTCATACTAAGGTATAAACCCGCGATACTTTCTAATTGAAGCTAAATCTCTTGTATATATGGTGTTTCTCCGCCATCCACACAACCACCCCACAAAATACCTGCCGAGACCATGGCGAGAATGAAGGTCTTAATTAACGGCGGGGGTATCGCCGGTGGCGCCCTCGCATTCTGGCTCTCGAAGATCGGCCACGAAGTCACGGTGCTCGAATGGTTTCCCACACTGCGAACTACCGGACTTAAACTAGATATGCGAGGTCATGGGATCGAAGTCATGAAGCGTATGGGCCTTGAGAAGGATTTCCGGACAAGGATGGCTCCAGAACAAGGTCTACAGATAGTCAACCATGTGGGTAAACGGCGAGCCCTCTTCCCGGCGAACAAGTCTGGCAAAGGACTGCAGAGCTTCACGACCGATTATGAGATCATGAGGGGTGATCTATGTCGCCTCTTATACGACCACTCCAGGGATCGGACCAAGTATGTCTTCGGGACGTCAGTCGAAAACTTCGAGCAGAACGATAACGGGGTGAATGTTAGACTTACGGATGGCAAGAAAGGCCGATTCGACCTCCTGGTTAGTGCAGATGGGCAAAATTCAAGAACACGTAGGATGATGCTCGGGTCCGACTCGGAAGGACTCCACCCGCTCCGCGGAATTTACATAGCATATTTCACGATGAATAAGCCGATTAAAAAAGGAGAAGAATATCTCGCGACAGCATACACCGCCACCGGAAGACATGGGCCTCGTCAAGCTAGACTCGTGGTCCCGCGGACGCGTAGCCCTCGTAGGAGACGCCGCGTACTGCCCCACTGCGAATACGGGGATGGGAACTACGTCCGCTATCGTAGGCGCATACGTCCTCGCCGAAGAAATCGGTAGATACTGCAAGAACAGCACCGGTGAGCTAGACAATAATAAGGACGGCATCACGGCTGCACTCAAGGCCTACGATGAGACGTTCCACCCTTTCATGGAGCAGGTGCAGAGGGGCATTGGTGACGGCAAGGGTATTGCCGGCGGCATGATGCCGACGACGCCGTTTGGGATCGGCGTTATGAATTTTATTGCGGGGGCTGCGGCTTTCTTCAGGTTGGATATCATTGCGCAGGCGTTTCTGAAGGAAGGGGTTAAGTGGGATTCTCCCGGGGTACGAGGAGATTCTGCGGAAGTGAAAAGGGGGTTTCGGTAAGTCGTGAATAAATTACCCCCTAAATTACCTATCCATTAGAGATGAGTACGATTTCAAAAATAAGTGGTATCATAATACTGGTAAATGGTTGTCATTGTCAATCGTCGCTCACTTGAAGGCACCTTACTTGACAAGCAATACTTTTAACGAATTTGGACCTGTTTAAATATAATTTTTACCTCATTATTTTAATATTTGACTTTTCAGCGTTTAATATTAACGCTATTATTCCCAGTTGTTGTTAATGACATCGACAATAACACCATGATCCTCATGCGGCTTCAGCCCGGAAACCACAACAATTGCAACGATACCCTCGACTCCCTGGACTCGAACTGTACCGGCCAAGGTTAATATTTGAATATCGAATAAATTAATAAAACAGGAATGGAGGCTCACTTACTGGGTACTCCCCCGCCATGGATCGCATACTTCTCCGCCTGCTCGGGACTCATCGCAAACATCAACCGGAAAGCCTCTTCATCACCTGCATACTTGCAGTGCTGGAACCAAGTGCTCGTGCCAAACCTTAGCACGGTATTCCTCTTCCTCTGCACCCAAGTCTCATTATCCAGCGTGGTCCCGGAGCCAACGGCGCTCTGGAACAGCACCTGGCCGTTAGCTAGCGCGATGGAGATTAACGTGGGTTTCTGGGTAGAGAATGGGAGCAGCCGCGCGTAGAGCAGATGTCCAAGCTCCCAGGCGTCTCCTGCCGTAAATGACTCGAGGAGAAAGGAGTCCCAGGCGGCTTTTACTACTATCGTCTACGGGGGTCTATTAGTAAAGAAGCTAACCTACCAAGCAGTTGGTAAGTTTAGACTTACGTCTTTGGGTGGGCTAGGAATTGGAAATGCTGAGGCACCTTTTTCCTGGGCCGAAAGGACTGCTCGGAGTCCACTACCGACAGTTGGGTCGCGACGACGGAGGACTTGGGGCGACATGATATACTGAGATTGATTGTAGGTAAATATATAGTTGACAAGGACCTTTCTTTATGCCGAGTATCAACGTTGAATCACGAATCTCTTATATATCGATCTGATTATATATTAAACTGGAGTATGTATTATGCTAGAGATAGTCCGAGAGGATGATCTTTTAGAATGGAGTTACTCCGCCTTTAGCTGAAGTCGAAGCCGTCATTGGTCGCATTGAAGACAACTCTCTGAATACATTACTACATGAAAACGTAGCGCTTTTTCGGTCCGATGCTAGCCAATCAAGGCCAAGATAAAGATCTCTCTATCCTAAATGGGTAATATTAACAGTTCTTGCTTAGGAGTGGCCTCATATGGACATCTTGGAACTTGTCAATTTTTCTCTATTGCTAATATTATTATCAGTATCTTAAGGACGCGACGAGAGAATAATAACTACGTGGATATACAGCCCGACGTTCTGACCTTAGGCGCGGGGGGCTTTTCTTGAAGCTCCTACATGGACAGCGGCGGAGTTTCCAAAAGAAGTAAATTCCAGGAAACCAAAGGGAGGTATTTATTAGCAGAAGGGATTCGAGTAAATTGGTAAAGCGACCATACCGAGCGATATATAGAATATATTCCTGTCATTAAGGCTGGTTTATCATATTTCATTTTCGGGCTTCGAGGATTCTGTACTCCCCTGACGGCTCCGCGTTGGATCCCCGTCTCGGCCCCGATCCGGAGCCGGTATTAGACCAACCCCGGAACGAGGGCATACACCCCTGCCAATACCCATAAAAGTTTGTATAACTACCTGTTATATGCATCTACCAAAGAGTTTCTCACTCCTTAATGCATAATTACGAGCCGCAAAAGATCCCTGTGGTACTTCCGTAGACGATTTCTTGAGTCTATGTCACCAAGGAGTATACCAAATCTTATCTTGACCGTCAACGTGATGCAAGCAATGTATAAGTCAAGTCACAACACAATGTTTTCATCAGAAACTTACTCTATACGCTGTGTAGTGGAATTGTCAGACAGATTTCAGGCGACTCTCCTCAATCACAAGCTTAATGCGGAACTATTACTTGAGTTAGGGGGGGGCAAACGAGCGTATCATTCCATTGTTTCTGCTACACTGAAGACATTGAACTGAATATATTCTGTGCTGATGATAACCCTTTCGATATCACTTCTCGTCACTAGTCACAGCTCCTTGCAAGTTTAATTCTTAGCTCCTCCACTGCCGGTGGAACCTCCGTTGTTGCCAGACTGTCCGCCTGTGCCCGATCCAACATTCTGCTGACCAGCCCAGGCGTTCTGGTTTCGGTCTCCAGAGGACTGGGCCCGAGCTGCGAAGCCTCCCGAAGTCATGTTGCCGCCGCTTCTGGCCTAGAGATGTCATGGTTAGAGAGAGTCAAACAAGCTGCAAGTAGCATGGAAAACACGAACTTGGGAGGATTGGATGCGGGATGCATCTGTCTTGGACATCTGGGATTTAGTCATCTTGTTCGATGGTTGACGATAGTGTGAAAACTTGTATGTTGCAGGTTTCTTGTGAGTTGTGATAGATCAAGAAGATTCTCTGAGTCCGTTCTGACTGCGCCATGGCCTTCTCTTTATATCTGTTGTCTCGCGGAGTATGTCCGTGCCAACATCACGATTATGCAGGTCGCCGCCATATTGTAGCATCTGGAGATAAATGTCGTGCACCTAACCGGTCACAAGCTAGGGTGTCTAGGCCACACGGTTGTTTAGCCACCGCAAACAGATGCAACGTTCCTTGTAATTTGAGTTGCCAACATCATAACTACCCTGAGGGAATCATGCAATTTGAGATGGGAATATGATACTTTGCTTGCTATGGCTACATAAACGATCGATCAAAACTACCCGGTTGCATGTGTATTTACGTCTCCCTCATATGCCTAACCTGTACGTAGGGGGACGCGGTTTGCTCCATTTGCTATTCAGCATTAGACGCTCAATTTATAGGATACTTACATATCTCAGACATACTTAGCGAGTAAACGCGCTTTTGTGGGAAGCATCTAACCGTACGATAATAGTCATTGGACACCTTTGAACCCTTTTTTTTTTAAGTTGGTACCGTCAAGAGTATCAAAGTTATAGGCCTCTTTAACGCGAAGTTGGCATTTCGGTCTAACTGTGTGGATCACAATACTTTTCAACTCAGTTTCAGCCTCCACTGAGATATCATGAGAAGTGGAGGGATGGCTAACCCACTGGACCTTGAACTCGAAACCGTCCTCTGCTTTCCTCATGTGGTCTAGGAGGTTGCGTAGAGGTGGTAGAGTTGGGGCGGTGCAATGTCTGGTTTGATGAGCAAGGCGTCTATCCGACGCATACTAGCCTTCTTCCAGCGCAACCCAACTCAGGGCAAAATATGTAAGGATAAAAGGCGTGCAGAAGTCTAGGTGGATCCAGTTACTTGCATCAACATTTTGATACTACCCAATCGCGTGATAGAAACTGCGCCTCGTTCTATTCTACATCATTACGACATTGGGGGGTGGGATTCAAGGACAGTGAGCAAGCAGTTTGGCATATAATAATAAGGCTATGTAGGTATGTATCGCTAATAACTTCCTTTTTTCTTAGCTACCTCGAAAACCCCGCAATAGCCAAGGACACTGCTGTTGGTGTCCTCCACATTGTGGGAAATCCGGGATCGTATAATATAAACATGTGGCAGTACACGTCAACCCTACTGTATTGGCTCGTCCGGCCGCTCTACTGCAGCCCGGTACCTGTGGATGGGGATATAACCTTGGATGACGCTGCTGCGGGACGATACGCGATGTGCGACGGGGCGGTGGCATCCGGCGCAGAAGGAAGACCTGATTATGGCACTGCGCGGAGGAGACAAAGGTGGCTCTGGACGCGTTTGCGTTGCCGGGTTGTGCGGGTGGTGTGAGTCTCAGGTCCGAGGTTTTCTCTAGAGACCATGATCAGGACTTGATAGGTAGTATTTGGTAAGGTAATTGTGGGTTTCGTTTCGTATATTCGGCATTGTCGTAATATTTACTGCGAATTCGTTTAGGTAGTAATAGTTTTTCTCACTTGAAGCTAGCTTCAGCTTCTTACTTAAATCAAATCAAACTATCTCAACACTGTTGCGCCAAAGTTTGTTATACTATGTTAGGTACGTATTGTATTAATAGTATCTATCATAGTAAACCAGCCTATCAACTTACTACATATTCAATACATTATTTAGGTAGAATTATACGGAAAAGACGTGAGGATATACCTGATATAACGATTGATTAGGCACCTAGGTAGATACATATGATACACTTCACATTATGTTAAGAGCCAATAGGGCGTGCAGTAATCCAGACGGGCCCAGTCACCTGCATCGACATTTTGATATTGTCCAATCATGTAGCAGCATTGAATATTTGTATGGAGGGTTGAGCTTCCAGGGTGAGGATGAGGATGTTAAGAGGTAACTACCTAAAGTAGGCACTTTGGCATGGGAGAATAAGGCTATAATCAACCAACGATTTCAGTTTTCCTTAACTTTATCATCTCTCTTTCTGCACCGTCAGTTTCTATCGCTTTACACAAGACTTCAATCAAATACTCATATTCATACGATACATAGCCACTCAACGAATATTTTATTAGTGATATTCCTCAGTCTTCCAAACGACTCTCATCTAATACACCATGGAGTCCGAACAGGCCATGGTCCCGAGGAACATACCCGTTTCTGAGGAATTGTGGCGTGAGTGGAAGGATTTCATCTACGAAGAATTTATTGTCAATGATCGTGGGATTCATGAGGTCTTCGAGAGTCTAAAGCAACGAAACCCTCAAGTAACGTGTGTTTATTTCTTTACTTCTAGCGCCATCAAAAGTAACTCGATCCTCTAACGTATTGTAGGATGGCACAATATCGTACCAAACTTAGAGACTGGGCTTTTTGCAAAAACTTAACTGCTAAGAACTGGCGCTACGTCGCGCACTCAATCCAGAAGAGGAGGTCCCAAAATAAGGATACTGCTGTAGTACTCTCGGGGAAGCGGATTCCTCAAACGAAAGTGAAAAACCTAACAGGCCGCCACAAGACGGTAACCCTTCGCGACAAATGGAGACCTCGTAAGTCATACCCCTTTTCTACACTCTGATTCCATTGCTGATAAGCTGCCAGCTCCCAGTCCAGAACTTCCCAATACAGATATCCCCCTTTACATATGCACACCCCGAGCCGCTTCGCCTGTTGAAACTCCAGGCTATGAATGGCCAAATTCTCTTCCATGGTTTCAACTCTGCGAATCTATCCTGCCAAAGTTAATGTCCGGTCTAAAATTATTACCTGAAAATGAGACGGGGGCGGCGAGCTTTGAAACCAGTTCCCAGGAAAGGAGACTACGTGAAAGGCGCCAATCCAATGGACATATGGCGTGGGCTGCCTTTGAGATACTCGTCCGACAAAGTATGAAGATTGTGATAGGTTCGGACACGCTTGTTGAAACCCTGCTATTGAGAAAGAGCGTCGACCGCATCTCGGGGTATCTAGACGATGTCATTCCACCTCATTCGCTTGACGAAAATTTAAGAAGAGCAGTCATTTTAACGGGTGGTACACGCTCTGAAGTACTGGAAGAAGTACTAAAGATTCTTCTGTTTTTGTCATCAAATTTTATCATCATGGACAGGTACAAAAATTATGGGCTTCAATATTTCGAACAAGCTCGAGCTTTTATAGATGTGTTTCGCATGTCTGGTCTGGCCGAGGCACAAACACTGGCAAAATTAGTCGAAGCCTCGCTTAACAATCCAACCGTGACAGCTGTAATTGATGTATTATACGACGCAGCTGTCGCCACGGAAGCAGCAGATATTGTCTTTAAATTACTTGCAGCCGATGGTCGAATTCATATCGATCACCCTGTTTTATGGTCTCAACGTATTGACTACGCAACTCCCAGTTCGGCGTTACAATCCGCATGTGTCAATGGCTCTCTTGAGTTCGCGAGCCATATGATCAGAGCCGGTGCTAGCATTACTGCATATGACGAGCTCGGATACTCGCCTCTAATGCTTGCTGCACTTGCTACACCCAATAGTAGGGCAATTCAACTCGTCCAATTGCTGCTTCAACAAGGTGCAATTTTGAATGATGAACAGCTATCAAAATCGTTATGTATAGCGATTATGAAAGGAAATTTCCAGCTAATCGACCTATTACATGAATTAGGAGTAAACTTTACTCTCATGTGTCCTGTTACTGAACCTCCTTTTACCCAGTGGGAATTCACGGCAGAACTAGACTATGTAACGTGCATAGGACTGGCTGCTCACTATAAAACTGAAGACATTACAAAGATGAACTGGTTTACAAATGTGACTGGTAGAATTCTAGATTATGAAGAGGTGGGGGAGGGGGCGGATGAGGATATTTCTCTGCGCCTGGTAAAACACATCCTTGACCGGGCTGGTCCTAAGTTTGATATCGATGGAAAGCATAAATCCGATGCGATTATACTTGCTTCCCAGCGCGGATATAACAGTGTTATTTCATTCCTGTATCACAGTGGCGCACGACTCGACTCTGAGAATGGGTGTCTGGATCCTATTCGCGCCGCGGTGATTTGGGCTAATGTTGAAACATGTCGACTCCTTCTAGAGCTTGGGGCGTCAGCTCAACCCGATTCGCATCGTCTAAAGTGGAGGCGTATCAATTACAATCTATGGGGGCATGCTGGAGTCCGTCCGGCCCGGTTATCCCTCCTGCATATCGCAGTATACTACGATTCTCAAGAGATAGTAGACCTTTTGATTCGGGCTGGGGCGGATATCAATTACATATGCCGTATATACATGTATGACCAGGACCCGGAAATTGGGGAAGGATATAAATTTCAAATTGGGCCCATGGATGAAGAAGAAGAGGGGGAGGAGGAGGAAGACTATGACGACGATGAGAGTGAAAGAGCATACGAAGGAGAGATGATTTACACTTCACCATTACATTTGGCGATACGTATCGGCGCCTGGAAATTCGCATTGTTTCTTGCTAACTTAGGGGCAACTCCTACCTGTGGTGATCTATTCCGTTCCGCGGAGGCTGGGCAATATCAATTAGTTAACCAACTAATTGAGCTAGGAGCGGACATGAGTGAAGGGGCTAATGCACTTCATATCTCAATTTGCAATGAGCATGAACCAGTTGCATTGCAGTTGCTTAAATCAGGTGTGGTAGTTGGACACGATACTCTTATTTCCGCATTCACATACGGACATCATAAACTCGCTATAGAGCTAATCGAAACCGGAGTCCAATTATATGAATCAGAACTATCATGGGCTTTCCGGATACCAAACGAATTAAAAGTGCGGTCTATCCTGCAATCCCGAGAACCGTACCATTATCTCAACAACAGAAGCCCAGATGGAAGAAGTTTCTTGGAAAACGCCATCCTAAGTGGTGACCTTGAGGTCATGAGATTTGCTCTTTCACTAGACGCCGCCGCTTATGACTCAGGTGCACTATGTGCCGCTGTTATCACTATCGTCAGATCATCGCTGATAGGCATGAACGAAATATTAGATGAAGTACTTTCAAGGCGAGAAGTCGCAAAGAACGGTCAATCTTTTGATCCCATTTTGGAGAATACAGCTATATCCATAGCCGCTTACTACAAGCGAATAGATATCGCCATACGTATCAGGGGGGTTGACGCTTGGAATACCAACGTTGCAGTACTACCAAAAAAGACCGTATGGGTCCATGAAAAAGATCCCACTGATGAAGAAGATTTCATTGATGAAGAGGACTTTGTTAATTACCACGACTTCGACATCTCTATTGTTACAATGAGTGAATACTATATCTCTACCTCTTCCTCATCACAATGGTACAACTGGCACGATCCCGATAAATGGCTTGTCTCTCCCTTGTTCCTCGCAATTAAGAGCAATAGTGAATCGACTGTAGAAGAACTTCTAGAACTGGGATACGAGCCTGACGGACATACTCTTAAAGCCGCCATCGAAAAAGGGCTATCCGACAGCTTGATCACTCGGCTTGCAGAATGCTGCACAGACATAAATGCCTTGGGAGCTCTCGGTATGGCTCGACCCGAATCACCAGTCCATGTAGCTGCCAGGTCAGGAAATATAAACTTGGTGAAATTCCTATTGAGTAACGGAGCAGACCCAAACGTCGGAAGATGGGATGTGAACGAAAAGACACTTGGCGAACTTATTCTACGTCGGGATCACGATATGCTCCATCTCTTGCTTCAACACGGCCTCAATGTCAAAATTACACCGCAACTTATAAGAAGAAGCATAACAGCATTGCAAATTGCAGTTATGAAGGGCTATATTGGCATTGTTCGTCATCTTCTTGCATGTGGTGCTGATCCAAATGTTAGACGAGAGAGGATAGTATCAGTGTATGGGCCTACTGCTATTGTAACAGCTGCAAAATTCGGTCGTATTGATATAGTGAGGCTCCTGCTCGACTCTGGCGTCGTTACAGATGGCCCTGGGCGACTTCCGTATATTGAGGCAGTTATCACGTCGAAAATCAAAGGTGACGTGGCTATTTTACAACTTTTAGTGTTGTATCGAAGGTGGACGGCAATTGACTTTCTATTATTGGCAACATGCATCTTCGCAGATTATTCTGGAAGTTGGTCAGCTTCAGATCGGTATACAGAGGTAGTCAAGGGACTTGAATTAATGCTATCTTCCCTTCCTGATTTGGAAACAGACGGTCTCGAAGCGATAGAAGCAACGATAAGGCAAGAGAAAATAAGAGGTTTCTCCAGACACATTCCAATATATAGTAACGATTTGGTTCGTTTATTTAGGACTATCGTCAATTATATAACACCTATTACCGAAGAGACGGATGTTTGGTCTGGAATCGTCAGGTATCTCCGTATCACAACTCCGGGTCGTTCCCTGCCCCGGATCCAAATAGATCCGTTGGAAGAAGTAACCATATTCGACGTGGAGACATTGGAAGAAACCGAAGCAGCGAGGGACATATCCGATCCTGATATATGCTTGGACCTTGCAGAAGAGGAATCTACCGGCATCCAATTAGGACCACGGTGCGGGAACGAAGAAGAAGAGAGGAATCGACGGATTCTAGACGATCTCCTAGGCGAGAGGGAGGCCCCATTTGAATCAGTAGAGTGGCAGTGGTAGAGCTTGCACCCTAAGATATGACATTGACGGAAGTATGATGTGGTGGTTTACTTGTACTATAACCTTTTTCTATCCCTTCCCTATATTTTATCGCACTTGCCTTTTCTCTCCAGCTAGACTATTATCTTGACAAGATAGTTAGTTAGAGGAATATGCCTAGGTTTTATTACTGGTCTCTTTTATGATTTCAGGGGTTACAATGCTGCCAACATGGCCCTTGCAGTTTACGTATCCAAGGATATTTAAACCTCTACCCTTCTGTACGCAGCTAAAGCTAAACTATACTATGGTATTTGCATTGGAGTTTTAGGTTACTTTTACCATCAAGTTCTTACGAGTTATCATTAAGCTATCTATTTCGCCTCTGCTAAAACTATCTGTGCGTAGCTCGCCTTGTCGTATAGCACCTGCGGAAGGCCGCCCCTTATCATTAGACAAGGGATAACTTACTTGATAAGTATTATAAATAGGCATTTTTACTTGTAGCAATACTATAAGTTGAAATATCTGTTCTACTCCCCCGAAATTCAGTCCTTCTTTACAAGAGCTCTAAACGATCTACGACAATACTGCTTATATTGAACTGATAGCTCATTCTTAACCTCACCAAAAGTTCAAAGATACGTATCCAACAAATACCGACAATATGGAAAGCTGGGTAGGCCTAAAAAGAAGCACCAATATCCCGGACAAGAGTAATTGCGTAGTCCACATCACCAATCTGCCCGTAACTATAGATTACGGGACACTTTTCAGTGCCCTCCGCGGCACAGGAAAGATATGCCGAGCCACGATAGCCGGGAGCGAAGCATTCGTCCAATTCTGGTCGCTTGATGGCGTCACACGCCTACTGGAAAAGCGAAGACACGGTTTATTTATCATCGGAACCCAAATACCCAACGTGAATATCTCGAGCACTGGTGGGGAGAGAGCGAGAAAGACAACCTTACATTCGCGGGTTCTTGTCATCAACGGCCCCAGCGAGATTGTAAACTATGAATACCTCCGGAAGTACTTTTCCGATCGATTCAAATATAGCATAGAGTCGGTCGAAATCACAGATGTCCAACGAGATCGCCAGACGATGCGGTGGTCTTTCGCTTCCTTTAATACCCAGAGCCGCAAAGCATGGACGTTACTCGGGGAAGAGAAGAAAAAGGCATATGAAACAGGCGATACCAACAGTCCCTGGAAAGATGTGTGGTTTAGTTACGAAAGCGATCCTTGCCAACCTTACCAGGCAATCGTGCCGCTCCCGCGTAGAGCACCACCGCCACCTATACATCCACTACCACATGTTGGACAACTCTACCACGAAAGCCATCCACCTTTACCTTCCTCCGTTTCCTGGGGCCATGATTCAGGCATGTGCAACGAGGACGAAGAGGAAAATAAAAGCAAATCCATCGATTGGAGTCTCGACCAAAATGTGTCGTCTACCAGTTCTAACGGCGATTCTGATCAACCCTACAGGACAGCCACGCATACAACATCACTGCCTTCACAGACACCACCCTGTACTCGGGAATTATTTCACAGCCGCCGACATTCATGTTAATCAACCCCTATCAACCCCTCTTTACCTATGTCTTTCCGATGGTATTTTCTCTGCATGAGAGCATTTAAAACATCGAGCGAGCAGCTATAAGCGTAGTAGAGTTTACCGATAATCAGAAACTCGGAACGCATGCACGCATGCACGCACTAATCATAGCGTTTTTCCATTAATATAAATTTCTCTATGACAGTCGAACTCCACAAATCGCCTTTTAAAGTAGTCATCTGGTCAGCAAGACCGTGTGTCGAAACATTGCGAGTTTCACACTCATAACCATGCCCTGGAGAGCAAGTCATGATCATCAGGATCTGATACTTACAATAAATATATAGTTAGGAGAAAAAGCCGAAGATCAGAGAACAGCAGTACGGTAACCAGGACCCCCCTTTTACCACACGACGCAAATTTCTAGACGAGAAAATAACTGCAGACAAGTTACGGGAGAAACAAACAATCTACCTACAAACAATTCGCCAAATATATGGGATAGTAACATTAACACTGTTAACATGTAATAAAATAAGCCCTCTACGTACATGTATTACTAAATGGCTGTATGTGCCTGAGTAGTAGTCTTCATACCATTTCCAATTATTATATAAGCACGCCATATTTCACTTCAGATGAACAGGTCGTATGTTTATCTACCTCCCTGAGTAGGTACCTACCTACCTCTTAGGTACCTGGTAGGTAGGTAGGTAGTAGTACGCGAACAGAATTCCCCCTAGGTTCACGACAAGCATCTACTGGCAACCTTCATATCATGAAAGCGATCCTTCAATACTATATTATCACAACTTATCACGTCGAGGAAACACTAGCAAGATAGTTGAACAAGCAATGCAAACGTATCAAATAACCCTCGTTATCTGGTCTATCTAAACTTTGCCTGCTAAAACCATCCCCTTCCGTCCGCAAAATGAAATTCTATTCCTCGTGAAGCACCGCGGAGTTAACAGTAGAACACCCCCGAACGATGCCCATGTCCAGTATCCGTCAAACCGCCCTACCATGCAGTCATTAAAAATCTTTTCTTTTGGCCCTCATCATGCACACACCATCTGATTGTCAGGGGACCGGTTCCATCTATTGTACCTTCAGTTAGAGGAAAGCACCCTTCGTTGACTCTACGACTGGGCTTCATCGGTCTCGGCCTTGGGAGCCTCTGCATCGGTCATTTCCTCATCCTTGGTAGCTTCTCCCTTATCTGCCTCGGCTGCTTTTCGAGCCTCCTCCTCGGCGGCCTTCTTGGCAGCAGCTTCGGCATCAAGCTTGGCCTGCAGGGCTTGACGGTCCGCTTCCACCTTGTCGAAGTAACGTTGCGTAATAGGACCAGCCATGGCTCGGATCTCGTCCATCTTAGCGATATAAACTGCCTTAGTAGCATCCTCGCCATCTTCGTATAACCAGTCCTAAATAGAATTAGCTTCTGGCATTAAAATCAAGACTGGACTAGAAGTAATATGCTTACCTCACTCTCTGTGAGCTTCGACCTCAGCTTTTCCTTCTCCTCTTCGCTGGCAAAGTCGGCGTACTGATCATCCAGCTTGTTACGCAGGTCGTAGATGTACGTCTCCAGCTCGTTCTTTTTCTCTTCCGTGTCAGCAACAAGTTTGTCTTCCATAAGCATTGATGCCTCCTTCTCCATTAATGAGTTCTTGGTGCTCTCGTCCAATGAGGTGGTGCCAGCAACAATAGGCAGATCGCCCTTGCGAACTTGCTTCTTGACCTTTCGAGTCTTGGGCTTGTCATCTCCCTTCTTGGTATCGGTATCCATCGCCTATGATGAGTCAGCTATTAATGCTTCGTACGAAATTTGATTTTACGCGCGAACACCCAGAGCTGGGCCCGCTGCGTAACCATGCGATATTACTTACATCCGGATCTTTCTTGTCTCCCTCATCCTTCTTCTCGTCCTTGACTTCCTCTTCAACCTCTTGATCCTCAACATAGTATCCACTTTCCACGTTAAGAACACCATGGATGTTGACTCTAGCCTTGAGCTTGCAGATCATAAACTCGGTATTGGGATCAGCCTTGACACCCTTGACAGAGAACCGGCCAATGAAAGGGGACATCTTTCCAGGCAGCTGTTCGGGGTTGGCATATCTGGCCTCCAGGTCGAATGGCTGCTTGCGGTAGAAGGTCAGGATTTTCGTCGAAGGAAGAACGTTACCCTTGTTAAAGACGGTAAGGCTCGTATCCTCATCCGGAATATCAACATCCTTCTCCCAAGAGAATTCGATAGGATAGTTGACGATATCCAGGACGGAAAAATCACGGACCTTGAAGACCGGCGAGAGGATGGCGCAACTGAAAGCGCAACCTCGAGCGACGGCTTCGTCCTGGTTAAGAGTGAACGAAAGCTGTTTTCCGAAGAATGACTGGATACGATCTTTGAGAGCAGGGACGCGTGTGCAACCGCCAACTAGCTCGATTACGTCGATATCTTCCTTGCTGAGCTTAGCTTCTGCAAGAGCCTGCTCTAACGGTATCGTAGCTCTGCTCAATAGCGGCTCCACCAATGCCTCGAACTCTTGTCGAGTAATCATAGCCGTTACATCGACATCGTTCATTAGCGACTCAATGTTCATAGGCGCTTGTTGGTTAGCAGAGAGGATCTTCTTCAACTTCTCGGCGGCAGCTTCGACGCGGACCATAGCCTTAGGGTTAGTCGTGATATCAATTCTATATTTACCCTTGAACTCCTTCTGGAAGTGGTTGACTAAGGCTGAGTTAAAGTCTCGTCCACCAAAATGGCGGTCGTATGCTGTAGACTTGACACTCAACTCGCCCTTCTTAAACTCGACAATCGAGCAAGAATAGTCGGCATGGCCAACGTCGACAAACGCCACGCGGCGAGGTTTCTCGTCGCCAGAAGGTAAGTCCAACTTTGTGATACCGTAACCAAGAGCGGCAGCAGTAGTGTCGTTCATCACACGGAGGAGTTTGAGACCAGCAATCTCAGCCGCGTCCAGAAGACCCCTTCGCTGGGTGTCTGTGAACCACGCAGGTACGCTTATGACGAGGTCAGAAACAGGCAACCTCAGTTCGTTCTGTGCTGTTTGTTTGATCTTGTTCAAGAACATGGCCGTCAGCTGAGTAGCTGAGAACTTATCCTTCTTGCCTAGGTACGACACCTCGGCACCAACTTGGCCGTTGACATCGACGAGAAGGGCCGAGACAAATTTCTGCTCAATTTGAACATCGGGATCATTGATGCTTCGGCCGACCAAGCGCTTGAGAGAGCTGACGGTGTTCTTGAGGTTAGAGATCTCTTGCGTCTTTGCAGGTTCACCGACGTATCGAGACTTGGGGCCAAATCCAACTAGGGAACTAGAAGGCAAATATGTTAGCGAGTAGTTAATATATATGGAGCGGGGTGCGAGATGGCTGTGTTCAACTTACGGCGTAGCTCGATTTGAGACTTCATTGGTAATCTAGATGCATGGTTAGTTATAGTCGTTAATAATATACGGCGCATCTAGAGAGGGGGATATATAGAAGGGTAAGGTAATCTGATGGTTACTTACGACATCGACACCTCGGTTTCTGGCGACTGCGATAACCGTGTTAAGAGTCCCAAAATCAACGCCTGTAGTAATTAACGGTCAGCGATTTCTTCACCTCGTCACCATAGGAATATGCAGCACTGGGCTTGCTACTTACCGACTACACTACTCATATTGCTAGAATGTGTGGAACAAGACTGAGGGTAAACAAATAAAAATGATATTTGACTGCGGGGAGGTCAGGAAACGTCGCGAGCCCGTCTACCTTGTACCGGATTAGAATTACGAGTAAATCTTTGACAATCGAGTAAGAAGCGATTTATCGAATTCGGTCTAGGTTTAAGAGGAGAAAAAAAATCCAGTTGGTGTTTAGTTTGAAATATCGTGTTTGTCCCGAAGGAAGAAAGATTCTAGGTAGGAAAAAAAAGCTGCCCAAAACTGCGAAGTGGGAGGTCGCGAAGGACTTTGAACTTTAGCGTTTCTAATACGTACAACCCCTCACTTATCTCACCCCCGGGGGTCTATCAATTTTGTTTATCGCGAAAGTTCTGGACATTTCGACTTCCATCTACTGTTAACCATACAGCTTCCAATTCTTGGCTTTTTTCTTCAACGCCACATCGCACCAGCCTTTCTTTATTAAATACAGCCAATGGATATCTATCTATTGAATATGTATAAATATGGACATTAGTGACTAAGAAATCCCAAGTATTTACTTTATTGCATTCACTTACCAAATATATAACCTGCAATTGAATTAATATAACTACACGTAATCAGATTGTTGATTTCTTAGGTACGTACCTAATATTACATTGCGACTTCCACGTTGTGTTCATTCCAGCGAATTTGTTATCAACCAAATTCTTTCATGGCGCCTTAAAGAATCCCAAGAAGGAGGTAACCTAGGTAGATAAAAACGTAATATGCAACCGAATTCAGTTAGCACGCATACCTACCTATATATACACCCCTAGGATGTATCATCTACTTCACCCCGCCTTGAGTCCACCAACTCCCCCACCATGCCTTGACCATGCCTTGATTATGTACTACTATGTAATGCCAGCCACGATGGTGGGGTTTTCACGTATGTACTGACCGCTTTGCCGCCTTGCCGACATGCCGACAAAACGCTTAATTCTTAGGTATAATTGCTTAGATTCCGGATTCTCATGATTCGTATGCTACGTGTACAGAAAATATTACAGCCCATTTTATATAAAGACGCCGAGTATTGATAATCATTAATTATTATCAACAAGAAGGTCTCGACGAGATGACTCAGAACTTTATACGCATAGGTTTTTTATAAGATTTTTTCAGTATCCTCTTCAAATTTTCCGTCGTCATCCTAAGCAGGTGAGTTGATCAGGTAACCTAGGTAGGTAGAGAAATGCCTGTACGTAAATATTCAAATATTTGGCCAATACAATTTTATATACATTGATACATGAGGCCGACGTCAGAGAATAAAAATTTTCTGACGAATTAAAACGAACACAGCTACCATTCAGTGATTGGGTCATATGTAATGTCTATATACTTCTAATGGCCTAAACGCTCATATATTGAAGATGAACTCACAACATTCAGCCCTCTTGAAGAGGGCAGATGTAAACCTAGGTAGATATCAGAAATTGTCTACGTGTAGGTCCAATTGCTATGTTGTCTCTTATTCAATCAACAGCTTTCTAATCTGCCCATGACGGCTCGATACCCCGGCAGACACTTTCGTAGTCCTTAAATCTCTGCTCGTCCAAAGCCAAGCCCGGGGTCGTCCAAAACATGGTCCAATTCATGCCACCTAGCTTCAGAGAGCCCCTCGACCGCTCAAAATACCATTTGTTGACGGGGTTGTCTTTCCGACTCCTCCAACAAACCCCGTTTGGAAAGCAGTCTCGAACCATGGCGTTAAAAATGATATCGCTAACCCCCCCTGCCCCCTGGCTCTTGCGTAGGACCGCAAACTTATCTAGGTAGGGTACGAGCCGGCTTTGAACATCAGCTCCAGAACCTTCTACCCCCGGAGGTTTCTCCCAAGTCAATAGAGCGCCACCTTCATATTCCCCTGCAATGATTATACCGGCTAGATTTCCATGTATCCTCTTTAAATAACCCTCTACGTCGAGCTTCCTGCCGAAGGAATCCTCAATCAAGTTCACAAGCCTAGGCAGGTCTATACATGGATCTGTTAGGTTCAGGTTTCCTCGTCCCGGCTGGGGTGGTTTCCATGGAGTAACCCGAGGGTCTGGGAATATGGTTAAGGGCATGCCGCGTTTAGCCAAGGTTGTTAATGAACCGATCTGAGCCATGCCAGTCGAGGATGTAACGGGTCTAAAGCGTTCAGACGGCAATGACGAAGATTGGATCGGCTTGTCGGTCAGAAGACTATGTATTAACGGATTCTGTCCACGTCTCGTTCCAACAAGCGCCCAGTCAATAGAATTATCCTCCAAGGAGTGTTCGTTTGCTACTTCCTGAGGAGTCGTGATAACTGCGGAGGAAGTTGGTGGCAGCAAGGACAAGACATTCTTCGCTAGCTCTGCATTTTCCAAGTGCTGCGAACGATTCGAGCTTGAGAGACTCGAGTTTGGGGATGTCGATGCTGTTAGATCATTTCGGACCTCCTGAAACTCATGCTCTAGGTTCAAAAACAGGTGTCTTCCAGTAGCCCGGTTTTTAGCGGGGATTCCTCCGAGAGGATCTAAGACGATGAGTCGATATACCTCGGCAGACCTTGATGTCTGTATTACCTTCGAGTCTTCGACCGGCTGACCTAGGAATTGGAGGCCTGATAATTGCCTCGTCAAAGCCAAGATGGCATCGTTGGCACTAACAGGCTTAACAGCGCAATCATCGGCAGTATATCCGAAAGAAGAGATGATAGGAATCACCTCCTCTTGCAATGCAGCCATCAGGTCATGAGCATTTCCGACAAAAAGACCACGCGAAGTAAATGGTGAAGAATCTTCTTCCTGCATGGATTCGATGGTAATTGGCGAATCAATAACCCGTGCCCCAGGTGCATCGTAGTTATCTATCGCCGTAGCGATTCGATTAGCTTGCACAGTAGCTGTTTGTCTTCGGTGGGCCTCATTTTCTCCAGCGATGCCAGTTTCAACCACAACGATGCTAATTAATCCAAGCTTTCGGAGCTGGCCAAGCGTCTTTCCTACGCCATCTAAAGTAGCATCACTGACTTCCTGAGGGGCGCGGAACTTAACCAGAGCAACATATAGAGGTACCTGAATCGCAAGATCCAGTTCAGGCTTTAGTCCATGAGCGGCATTCATTTGTGTAGCAACGGCCTCAACACTGGGTGCTTTTCTGGTGGTGTCTAGGCCATTTACTGGACGGCTCTGAGCTGCACGCTGCTTGAACCCCGTCGCCCCTTTCTTTTCTAAAAGAGGCACAAATCTGTTCATATATGCCTTAGCATCTCTTTTAGTTACTGAAGTCTCGAGGACCGATACGAAGAAGTCCTAAGGTAGCGTCAAAATAGGTTCAGAGTCAATTGGTAGAAAAGCTTCAATACCCTGTCGAGACTTTTCTTCTTTTTTTCCGATTTTGAAATTGAAGTATATGGAGAAGCAAATGTTATCGAGTGCCCACCGAAATTTGGGGGCGTGCTCGGCGCAGAGCGCAACGACAACGGGTTTGAACCATTGATTCTACTAAGGTCCGTGGTAGACGGCGTCTATTCACAGTTAGTTTGGACCTATGATCCATTCGGTTCTCTTGAAAGTAGACCGTAAAATATCAATACAAAAAAACTATGTCACTCACATTCAAGTTTGAAATTGCCCTCTTCCAGGCCATGAGTCGCATTGTCATAGCGCACAGAGCATCTTGGACCGTCGAATGTTTTGACGAAGGAACACGCTACCACCACATATCAAATCTCTCTAATTCCTTCAAGTTCAAGCCAAAGGAACTGGATTTGCCTTGGGGATCTTGGGGATCTTGGGGATTATTATTCGAATGCAGAGAGAAGGGACTTGAACTTATTAATTTGGGCAATTGAATTCCAGTGACTTAAGTTATTCAGACACGGGTACGATAACAACTGATAAGGGATGCACTAACAACGCCGTGGCATGTACCTAACCTACCTAGGTATTGTACTTTAGCTACCACCTGAAGAAGCAGGGAAGGAGGTATAGAACCTGCAGGTTCCGGCTACTACTTGACCGCTATCGGCTTGGTCAAGTTAAGGCCCTCTCCTCCGATCGTCCCGTATATTTCTACCCCAAACCATTCATTCAATTTGCACTCGTAGTCTAGACCCCACTAGTTGTGACATCGAAAGTAATGAATTTTTTATTTTTTTTTTTCCTTAGAGGCGACACCCATCGGATTTCCTATCTTGTCTTATGCTCGTTAACTAGGAATTCTCTTTGCCGAATGAGAGGCCTCCCCGCGGCTGGGCTAGTGTTATTTTTATGCAATTATCACGGCTAAAGAAATGGCTCAGTTACATAGGTCTCGCCGCTTGCAATACTAACCTACATCATTACCCCGGATTTAATGATGACTGGTATTAGTATCACCAATAGCCGGGCAAGATCTCATCCAGCATTCTCTCATGTTCATACCTAGGTATGTCAGAGAATATGCTGTTTCTCCGAATATTTAGGCCATCAGTCCAGTGACAAAAGGAAAAGCAATATTGCTCTCTCATTTCAGAAATCACTCGTTATATCACTTTTTATTTTATTCAAGGCTCAAGGCAAATTTTTTAATTGCGGATAAGTTAACCCCTAATTGGCGGTTTCACCTCTACGGATCTCAACTTCGAAAGTGAAGTATTATAGTACCGGTATAACTAATAACTTCTCATTACTTAACACCAGATATAATTATCATAAGATTAACGAGAGCATATCTTAAAACGAACCAGCCCGATAATATAATGCACTCCTAACCCCTTCCAGAAATTATGTGTTCTCAAGCATCGTGGGCCATAGGTTTGCCGGGTTAACAGGTTAAGAATTCATCGCCCGACGCCATACTATAAAGTTCTAGCTTATGTAGGTAGCAAGCCGAAATAATGGCAGTCGAGGATTTCAATACTTCTTGACTAAACACTATCCGCAAAGAAAGAAAAGTTACCAGGTATCCAATTAACCTTCTATGAAAAAGCAAGGGCGATTAGTAATATAATCGAGTATCTCATAGGCATAGGTGAGCTTCTCGGATTTTCACTGGTTTCACCTAAGCGGATCAAAGAATATAAATAAAACCGACAGTCATATCCTTAACTTTGAGATATCTACGCTAATGTACACTATGAAAGAGTATGGGTTACATATTAGATTTCTGCCGAAAAGTGATATCAATATTTGAAGTTGAGAATAGTGGTATTCGAGAAGCCGTGAGGTGCCCCCAGCCTAATAGAAAAGGAGTAAACTTGTAAGGTGTTAAGAATAGATAACTAATCGACCATGTAAACTACCTGTTATTTTCATGAAATAAGCTGAGAGTGTTCGAAAGGTATGAATCAGATAAGAGTCATATCAAAGATTTAAACCCGTTGTCATGGTCCTTGTACCGGACCGTGTGTTTTGTTTACCGAACCGCCAACACGGCAAGACGCTCAATCTCCCCCATAACCAAACACTGCTTTGCACTTTGACGATAACAACTAACTACGCCGCAATTTTCGGTTTCATGATACCCTTTGCTTCGAAAATTTATTCCCTCGTAGAATTTTAAACATGCTAACAACCTCCATGATCGGCCTTGCTTTTGCTGGCAGCTTCTTGCTGCCGTTCGCGTCTAGTGTACGCATTTCCCCGAATATCGATGGCTCCCTGTCGCTCCAAGATAGCTACGACTACATTATTATTGGCGCAGGGATAGGTGGGCTTGTCGTTGCAAATCGCCTATCAGAGAATGTGTTAGGCAAGTTGTCTAAAACACTCAGCTCGGTAGAAACAACCACAGAACTAACGTGCGTGAGATAGTATCCGTACTAGTGATCGAGTCTGGAGATCTGTATGTTTCGCGGTCTTTGTTGATGTTTTAGGGGGTGTCTTGCCCCTTTATCACCCTACCCTCCTTAACTAATCACTCGTCCTGTTTAGTGATGATCGCGCCGAAGATATTTCGATACCCGGGAATATTGGACTTGAAGATCCACGCAGGTATGAGTTAAAGCTAGAAATGGCGCCGCAAAGGTTCCTTGACGGAGCAACCCGAGTCTTTACCCAAGGAAATGCCGTCGGCGGTAGCACGATAGTCAATGGTCTTGTCTGGACGAGAGGCTCAGCGGCAGACTTCGATGCATGGGAACATCTTGGAAATACCGGTTGGGGATGGATGGATCTTTTGCCCTACTTTCGGAAAGTGAGTTAATATGTTCCATGATTTCCTTACCTACCCGTTGCTACCTGTCTTCTCGAGTCGGACCAGATGAGCTCATGCGTAAGGATGTGCAGTCCGAGAATTATTCAACACAGGTCGTTAACAAATCAACACGAAATATCCCAACAGCCGCCCATCCAGCTACCAGCAAGCATGGCCATGAGGGACCAATCGAAGTTGGTTATCCAAACTATTTTTATAACCAATCTTGTATGTCGTAGTCATACATCGTCGGTTCTCATACTAATTGGGTGAAACGTAGACAACTTCCTCAACGGCATCCAAAAGCTTGGGATACCCGCTAATGAAGACCCCAATAGTGGGAATGCTACGGGTGCTTGCATAGTCCCAAGTAGCATGACCGCGAAAAACCAGTCTCGTTCCGATGCGCGCACTGCATACCTCGATCCCGTGTTGGAACGTCCGAACCTACATCTCGTCACCGGTCACACCGTTACCCATATCCTCCACGGTGAGGGTAGCGGGAGATATCCCAATTCAACTTATACCCGTGGTGTTTCTGGCTTGAATGTAACTGGTGTTGAGGTAAGCATCGGCATCGGCATCGCCACCAGCACTGCTCGTAAAGTCAATACTAAATCTATATTGTATTATAGTTTGCTACCAACGAGACAGCCGACAGAATCACATCCACATGTAAGAGGGAAGTCATTCTCGCTGCTGGCTCCATTTTCTCGCCGGTCTTACTGCAGATCTCCGGTATTGGACCGGCAGACCTTCTGAGAAATCTAGGAGTTGATGTCGTGGTAGATTTACCTGGAGTAGGAAGCAACTTGCAAGATCATCCTACCCTGGAGCCTGTTTATGACTGTGAGTGCTATCCGCTTCTGAAAGTTTAGCGCATTTCCCTAAACGATTGAGAAGATGCCTCACCAGACGTGTTTTCGGCATGGGATATTGTAGGAAGTATGCGGGATGTCGTCCGAGAGGAATATCTAGCCAACCGCACAGGTTCGTCGACTAGAGGTATCCCATTTCCAATAAACGCTTACACGTAATAGGACCTTGGACGGCTCCGATGGTAAATGCCATTGCCCTGCCTGTTTTAAGTTGGATAACCAATCGTGTTCAAGAGGTGCTAGACGACGCGGCGAACGCAACAAACGACCTGCCGTCTTCGTACGATACAACCCTTCGCACAGGATATGCCGCACAGCAAGCCGAGCTGTTATCCCTTCTTATGCGGACTGACACGCCAGCTTACGAGGTAATGTCGACATCCTGGGGCCAACTAGCAATAAGCGCCATGAAGTCGTTCTCTCGAGGCACAGTCCTAGCGAATTCTTCGTCTATATTTGAAAACTCTCAGCCCATTATTAATCCGCGGTTTTGTTCACATCCTGTCGACTGCGAGCTGCTACTCCTCGGGCTTGAATTCAATGATCGCCTTATCCAGACGCCACCAATGGCTGCATTGAAGCCAATGCCTCCGCCAGGCTTTGGTATCGAGGAAGCACGAAACAAGACAGCGCTCGACGAGACGATGCGGAGGAAGACTACGACCGGATTTCATCTAAGCGGCACGACCTCAATGTTACCATTGGCCTACGGTGGAGTAGTAGACCCGTCGCTCAGAGTATATGGTACGAGGAACCTGAGAGTCGTAGATGCAGGCGTTATACCACTGCTACCTGGCGCACATATCCAGGCCGCAATATACGCTATTGGTGAAAAGGTATGACTTATCCCACTCTATATGAGGCAATGAAAGGGACAACAGTATTGACAATGATAGGGAAACAGGCCGCGGATATCATCAAGGAAGAAAATTCGGGGGATCTTCCCAGCGCAAAGCTATGGCCTGGGAAGTCCCCAGACCCACGACCGGCATCATCTGACAACTCTTCAAAACCGGGGGTTTCTACCGCTTCTGATGCCGGGCCATCGATACGATACAACTCATGACAACCGCAGGATTCGTTAAGCATGAAGGCCCAAAAGCTATCATGATTTAGCTGAAGTACTGTGGAGTTAGATAGATACTGCTGCTTCCCATGCGGTTTTGATATTAGCAGGATTGGAGAGGGCAAAGCCTAAATGTGTAATGTTTAATGCTAAATAGTAATCGACTCGTAAAAGTGAATTGCTATCTCTCATAAACAATGAGGGAGGCTCAAAGTTATGACGAAGGTTCTTACCTGCAAATATGTATATGTACATGGAGATCGACATAATTAGCTTCAAGATCTGCTCTGACTTGAAGACGCTAAGCAAAGGTAGAGGGAAAGATAATAGTGGGTTTACTAATCCTCTAATCCTCTAATCCCGGGTCCTTAAAAAAGTCTTACCTTAAAAGGAAAGGTCAAATTTAAGGTACATATGTACATTATATAGAGACCAGCCTCTTCCGTGTGGGTCCGGGCAATCGTGCACAAAAGGCCGTCCTCTCTCTCTCTTTTCGATTGGAGCTTTTCTCTTTTCTTCTTTATACTTACCTTGGGAGAAGAGTCCTCGTTCAAGCATAAGGACTCTTAAGGGGGGCAACCTGCATTGCACATCGCGGAGTTGACCCTCTTCTATTATCCTTCGTGGATCGTAGTTCCCGTAATTTTTGTTGTTTTTGCATCTGCTTTCATTATGGACGTCGCTTTACGCGGTGCTATGAAGAAGACGAAATTTGGGGTTCCCCTGGTTGTTGCTCTCAATAATAAATACAACACTAAACCCCAGCGGCGTGGTTTCCACCCTGTGGTGTTGAGTCCCTCAATGTTAGTCGGTTCTCAACGATCTGGTAACCGGTTCTTTCTTACATACCTTTCGCCCGTATTACTTCCACTGATATATTTCTATGCGGGGACCATATATATGGAGAATGGACCTACCTTTGGACATTGTATTTCGTAGTTAAATAGTTAAATTCTTATACATACCTAGGTTAGGTAGGTAGCTGATTATAGCTTCTGATATTACCCCTCCAAACAATATAAAGTCAGCATTCATTCTTCCGCCTAAGCAACGTAGTGTACAGCTATACCCGCACGGCCGCATTCGTTTACTTTGCGTGATGTGACGCGTTTCAAGAGATTAGTGTCTTACGAATTGACATTCCATCAGGCCATACCTCATCGCTTATAACTATATTAGACTAACCTAACATCGAGACATCCAAAAAAGTGAAATTGACGGTTTATTACCTCATGAGAGCTCTTTGGTACCTGATGTATGGCCGATCACCCTGGCAGCGTTGGTACCCCGCGGAACCTTGGTTTCAGTTGAACCCATTTCAGACCTAGGAGGACGAAGAGGTCTTGTGCGTCTACATCTACATAGTATGCTCATGAGGAATATGTGTGGTCAGACAATTCGCTAAATGTATTGACATGTCAACCGTTTTTGCTTCTAATAAAACTCCAAGTTTGGTATTGTCAATCTAAGGATTCATGAATACTAGGTACTAACCCTACCCGAAGAAACAAGCCCAAGGGAAATATTGCTGTACAGCTTGTATTTGCTGTAAAGGATAGTCGTATGAGACGAGCCATCGATTGTTCACGTAGCAGTTGCATCAATATATTGCTCGCTGCGGTGTGTATAAGTGTGTCAAGGTTCTACTAGGCTTCAATGTTTTATGATACGGTATATTTGCCATCGGATTCGCGAAGTCGTGCTACCACCGCCAGTCGGGGTCGGTACAAGAAAAGGAAGAGTACCTACCGTATGAATGTATGTATAGCCGTGGAAGCGCTTCTCACAAGGTTGGAAGATCGAACAATGTGTAAAGTATCCGAGGGGTCCAAACCCACTGATCAGATTTATGTATGCAGGCTTCTGGACTATGCACAGACTGATGATTGGACATGCGAGATCAGACTTGCAAGCATAGCCACGATGTCATGCATTTGTAGACCGGGATGCAACTGATGATGACCATCGAGACCTTGTAAGCTAAAGTGTCGGATCTTGGCCGAGACGCTCAACGCACGCTGCCGTATTGATTGATACATATATGTACAGCCAAACAGCTTCGGTCGTCTCCTATACGCAAACGGATGAATAGCAACCAGAGAAGCGGTCAAGAAATGCACCCGAAGCAGCCATATGTATTATATGTATCATATGTATCTGTGATGCTTCCATAGCGAGGCTCTGCCTGTCTGCCCACGAATCACAGCAGTTTTTAGGGTCTATCACACGATCATCTTACAGGATGAATGCCGCAAGTCCGGGTCAACGCAGCAAAACGGAACGCCCAGTTCTTAGGCTTGGATAGGCTTGGATACCTAGGCTTGGATGCCAGGAACTCGTCTCTTAGCAAACAGCCCAATCATATGCCAGTGGAATATAGCACAGAGCAACGGTACCGGAGTCTTTCCCCCGCTTTCACAAGAAAGTGTTTTATCTCACGCGGCCTAGATCTTTACTCGTTACCGACCTTGCGCAGCATGCGAGTACGCGCGCAAATGAAGAAATGAATCATTATTCCGTTCTCTACCACGAGAAAAAGGCTTTGCCGAATTTTATCAAGTCCTCCGTAATACTTAATTGGCGAGCGAAAGCAACCTGATGCTAGCTGACGCTGTTGTTGGTAAATCAACACGAGGATATCGACACAAAGATGACGGAATACGATTTTTCACATGTTCCGCCTACGCGTTCGTGTTCCGAGTTGAAAACTTAGGTTGTGTTCTTTTCTTTTACGTCGGAGCTCAACTTGTTACAAGTGCGGTACAAATGTTGGACACGTACATACCTAAGGTTAACCCTAGGTACTTGATCCAGTAAGTAATCCGTATCTTACGCTACTTGCAACTGTATGTAAGCTAAATTTCCCGTATCGCAATACCGAAATAATTAACCGTTTCGTTTGCACAAGTGTTAGAAACCCCGCCCTTTCTTTATGCGATTTCAAGTTTCGGCTAACCATCCAAACCAGTCATATCGTGGTCAACAATTGGCCATCTTACCCCCCCTTACTTCCCTTGCTACGCACTGTGTCAAGGATAGTCTAGACCAAACTTTTTCTTACTCTTTCATCATGACATAAATTCCTTTCCCCTCTTACTGCAGGCTTGTACCTGCGAAGACATATCATCCACTGCTATGCGTGTCGCCCAACTGTGCCCTTCCCATCAATCACTCTATCTATCACCAAGACCAAGGTGGATTTCTTTCTTTTTCTAATTCCCTACGCTTTACGTATTCTACCATCATCACATTGAGTTATTCTAGGTTACGCCGGAAATAATCTTGATCATTTGGAATAAATCATTTTGAGGATAACTCTAAGAATCGGATGGTCAACTTGAGATAGAATCCAGAAAGTACTCGTCAACTATTGAACTCGACTTGATCGACTCGCTATAAGAAATGACGGCCCTTCCTTTTTACACGCTATTTTCCCCCCCGGGGCTGTGGTGATGGGAAGCCGGAGTCCATTTCTTTGATGGCCTGGTAGAAAAGGTTGCAGGAAGTACAAGCATATGCGGCTATTTTCATTGGCCCGAATTTGTGCGTTGTGGTCTTATACCTTTTTCGGATTAGCGTCTGTCTCGAGGATTGCCCAATACGCAATGCACTGCAGATGAGTTGCTTCCTTCTCTCCCCCAGCTTCAGCTTCTCTCGCTCTTGCGCACTCTCTCATCTCCCTCAATCCTTTCCTCCTCTCTGAGCTTTGCTTTTTGTAGCTAAGCGCAAATTTTTACCTGATATAATATGGCCCATACTTTCTTATCGTTATCTTTATTATTGTTTTTTTATTAGGTACGGTTCACTAATGTACACAGGCATAATAGGTTGGTGTGTCTCAACGCTTTCCATTTGATTTCCTTCTTGCCTCCGCTCTCTATTATCTTTTTCAATATCTCCCCGCTTTTTACTGGTTGCAAGTGCCGCAATTCTCACCAGCGTGATGGCCGACCCAGGTGAGTTTCCAAGGGGCCCTTTTTTAGGTGGTTCCAGCACCAAAAATTCAATCTTGCAAAAAGAGAAAAGTGGCCCCCGCATAACCCGCTCTGAGCAGCAGCCACACATGAGCATGATGGGGCACTGTTGCTGCACCACAGCACTATTGTACAAGTACATTAGTATGTACTACTTTTTTTTTTTTTTTTTTTTTGGTTTTTTTTTTTACTGGCCTTCCCAGGCACTAATTTTCCCGCTCTCGCTCCTATGCCAATTGGTGCTGGTGCTGGTGCACGCACCACTACTCAAAATTGTCAGTAGAAGCTGCAGGTGCCCTGCAACGCTTCGCGCTACCTCTCCGCTCCGCTCTTGCAGGGCAGGCCAGTCCAGCAGGTAGCAGACAGGTAGGGTAGTAGGTAGGGTAGTAGGTAAGAGGTACCTAGCCAGGCCTAGGTAAGGTAATCACTCTCTTTGCTTGGTGCGCATTCTCGCTCTCTTTCCCACCCTGTCTACCTATTCTACTCTCTCCCTTCTCGTACTCCTCAATTCTCTTCCCGTCCCTCATCCTCAATCTCCTCGAACAAGTCAAACACGAATTATATCCTTCTGGTCCCCAAGCGTCGAATCTTTCGAGAAACTCCTAAACTTAACTTAATTCCGAACTCGTCATTCGCCCCCGATCCGTTCCAATTCCATTCAACCCCGAGGCGCATTCTTTCTGAAGCCAAAGAAGACGAAAAAGCTCGAAATTGTCATTTCTCGTCGCCACGTCCCTTTCGCGACCACGTTCTTGAATCTCTATTTTGCCATTTTATTCAACACACGCAATCGAGATACACC